ATGCTCAGCAACGGAGTATTGTACATACGTCTGCTCGTTGAGTACGAGTACGAGTGCGCGTCGGCTGTCAACTGTCACATGGCACGGAATTGGCATATGATAGCATAGCACAACTGGGTACGGGAGAACCCCGCATCCCACTGCACCGCTCAGAGTACTAGTACGTGTGATAGTAGAGGTGGGAATCACATGCTTCCCCACGAAACCGCCGCCAGTACACAGTTACCTAAGGAAGTAGATAAATCCCCCGGGCCGTAGCCCGCATACCAGTGTAAGTAGGTATTGTACATACACAAAACCGCTCGTAATGATCTGCACCAGGCGAGGCTCAGGCTCGCCCCCCGCTACGCTACGCTATCGAGGGCCGAGGCTAACCAAGCGAAGGCATTTCGCGGAGAACGACATTCCAGAGAACGGCATGCGCGGATGCTCCGGTGGGAGTGAGACTAAGCCAACTACGTACATACCAGCTCGATCTCGGAAAGTTCCCTGTTTAATGCGTGCGATGATCCTAGGGGGGGAGGGAGGATTCTCGTCAGGTGTATGACAGTATGACTACTTGGTAGCTAGAATTACGCCGAGATAACGATAGTAGAATAGCTACAACAGAGTAAACCCGGTTTGCACCTGAAGGCTGAAGGCTGAAGCCGTGTAGCCATTGTAGCCATGGTGGCGCGTGGCGTGTGGCGGGCTTGGCCGGCAGGCCGCGCTGCGGCTGAAGCTGAAGCCAGGGTCCTCTGCGGTCCTCCGTACGGCGGTAGGCCCGTAGGCCCGTATTTATGTAGGCAGCTGAACATCCTCCGTAGCCCATACCGACACCGCTACCTGTGAAGGTGGCGAAGTGCTTCCGTGTAAGTAATTGCGATGCAAGATTCTCAAATCATGCGCAAGCACTCGTATAGCGAGTGATATAGTGTGTCGGACTCAGCAAAAGTTTAGGTATGTAGGAACTGAGGTGGGGAAGCAACACCGTAAACGAAACGAAAAACCTTCACCGCCCCCAGTGGGTGGCTGGAAGCCCCCGGGAGTTGAATCGGTGTTAAATCTCATCTCCCTCCGCCGGGTACGTGAAGCTAGGCCACGTGGGGGTTTTTTTTTCCACGGTGGAGTAAGCGTTTCGCAGGTTATAAACTGGTGATGACTTCGGGTAACAGACGAAGTAGTGCCGCCGCTCTGGTGCTTTTTGGTGCACGATGCACACGGATAACTACTCCTTGCCTTTCAGGATAATTCAACAGTAGGTGACTATATTTTCCAACCGCGAGCTCGATACCGGCCCCCTATTGTTCTCCACCCAGCCCTTCCCGCTCAACCCTCTCCACTCATCGTCGATAATCATTGATTGCATGCGACCTATCTACTGGCATGTAACTATTAGCGAGTGACCGATTGTGAAGAAGTCCGTCTGCAAAGACCAAGTCGGCGGATCGAACAGCTCGTCTTGGATCCTGTGCAAGTCCTTTCAGCTATGCTGATCTCTGAGTTGCAACGACTATAACGACGACGCGGTATGGTCCTGTCCGCGTCAGTTGCAAATACCAGCCACGACCTCTCTTGCTCAACCTACAAATCGATAGATCGGAACACATCGGGGAGGGTGTATGAGCGTGACTCCTGCAGTTTTACACAGTCGAGTAGACGCTTTACGGTGGATAACACTCCGGGAGTACTGCCATGTGTGCAGTGTGCACTGCAGGACAGACCGTAAGGAATTGTAGGACTGGACTGTAAGCGCTGCCACTACTACCAGAAGACTACATTCAAAGCACACAGCACTTTGCCCGCTCTCTCAACACATACAGCGTTTTAGCGGCGGAGCTTGTCCTTCGGGGCACCCACCACTTCATAATTTTCGAATTCATGTATCCAGCACGAAAAAACCCCCGCGAGGTCTAGTTGTCAACTACCTAGGCCATGCAATCGGCGAGGGGAGTTGAGTGAAAGCTCGGAGTTCAAGCCCGGGTGAAAGCTCAGCTCTTGGGGTTTCCAAGCTACCCACTGGGGTGAACCCCCGGGGTGGTGATGGTTTTTGTTTTTGTTTCTGTTTTTGGCGTGGGGGAGGGAGCTACCATATTGAGCCGTGTACTAAAGTCAAAAGCATTGTGACAGCCACACATGAGGGCGATTTTGACACTAGAGTTTTGGGGGAAAAATACTAATGTAAAATAAGGCTTGGTCAGGGTTTTCAAATTCCAGCTCTGATTGTTGAATATGGCTTCTTCAATCCTGAGTGCAGTGAAAATCAGTCCCGACTCGTAAACCTTCTGCAACCACTACGGGCCCGCCCGCCTTGGAAGTTCATAAGAGTTCTATATGAGCTCTGTAGGGAATCTTGAAAAAATAAGGATTAGTAAGGCTTATACGCTCAAAAGGTTTCCATAATGGCTCTTCTGCGAGAAGCCTCATCTAAATGTCATACTTATCACTTATCAATGCGCTTCATTTGACGATGACTATCACTTGTTCCGTACCCTTATATACCTAAAATACTCTTCTTCCCCGCTTCCCAGTCTCCTACTCACCATACTGTGTCCCCCTACTGCCCCTCGCCGTGGATACCGGTATGGCAGCGACAGGATGTAGAGAAGAAAGTGATGGAGGAACTATCAGGGCGAGGAGGAGTTGCGGCGACGGTAACTGTAAGAGATAGTAGTATCAGCAAGAGAATCTATCCGGGAATGGAGGAGCTGCAGCAGGAGTAGTAGCTATATGAGAGATGAGATATCAGCGGGAGTAGCAGTAGTAGTTGCGGCGGGAGTAACAGTTGCGGCGGGAGTGGCAATTGCAGCGGGAGGAGGAAGTGGAAGAAGTGATGCAGAAGCTGTCACCGAGAGAGGAAAGTGATGGGGGAGCTGTCAGCGAGGCGATGAAGTGATGGAGGACCTGTCTGGAAATGGACTGGACGGACGATTCCCAGGCCTGGTGACGGGGGAGCTGTGGGCGAGAGGAGGAGTTGTTAGAAAGATGAAGAGGACGGGCCGTGGGCTCGAGAGTCTTAAACTGAAAAATAAGCTTCATCATATCTGTCTTCAGAAAACTCTGCGCCTAACCATACGTTAGGACATTATCTGGTGGGTTCGATTCTGTCTGAGCTGCCTCTCTCTCTCATCGCCATCTACAGAATACCTAGAGTCCTGGACGTTCAACCTCCCACCCCCGCTCTCTCCTCTCGATCCGCCGCCAATACGTGACACACTTTACGCCGCTGCAGGCTGGGGAGGCGAGAATCCCTACATACGATGGACTTCATCATCGAGGGAAGGGAGGAAGCAAAACGTACGGCGAGGAACCCAAGTCCCCCTACACAGGATGTAAGACTATATACAGATGGATCAAGACTGGAATATAAGGCGGCGGGCCCCCTAGGGCCCAAGCAATGCGTGAATCACGCATTGACTGTAGTATAGATTACATACACTATCGACGTTATAGCGGAGTGATGGAGGAGCTTTCGGCGAGAGGAGGAAGTGAAGGAGGACACCTGTCGGCGGGAGAAAACGAATGTGGTTAGTAGTGAGCACCAAAGTTGGTGGAAATCAACATTGGCGGGCATGGCGGGGTCTTCATCATCATCTTCTTGTTCTTCTTCTTCTTCTTTTTCATCCTGGAGAATCACCTATCGAATAGACGGTCAACCCGCCCATCCCCGCTCCCTCCTCTGTGTGCACAGTGCTCCCTTCCGCGTCCGAAGCCTGCCGGCCTAGAGAGGCATTGGTGAAGAGCCCTCGGAAAACTCGTACTACGGTTCTTTCGCCCCGAGTCCTCTTCTGCATCATGCCGTCCATATACCGGTATTCGGTATCATGTGATCACCTTTTTCAAAAAGCCACTGCCGGTTCGTCCACCACGGTATGATGTACATACGAGCATATGTAGCATGCATACACATCTACACGGTCATCACCGTCACCAGCAGACCAGCAGACCACCATCACTCACGCTCACTCACACTGAATATAGCAAAGTATCAATTGAATTGAACCACTTCCCTCCGCATCCTCCCATCCCATCCCATCCCATCTCCTTCCCCCATCCCCACCCCATCCCCACCCCCCTCTCCTCCATCCACCAATCCTTCCACCAATCCAGAAAGAAAGAAAGAACAGCACGGTTTACAACAAACAAACATCAATGATCAATCGCATCGGAATCAACAAAATGCATCAAAGTGGTTAAAAAAGAAGAAGAACAAGAACACCTACAACACCTCTTGCAACTGGGCGGCAGGATCGGTTTTTTTTTAGGATACCACCCCCTCTCCTCTCCTCTTCCCCCATCCCCACATCCTCCCGTCCTCCCGTCGCTATTCACACTCCCGTCACTACCCACACACTCCCACTCCCACAATCAACCATCCGCTCTAAGTAAAAGCGTAAAAAAAAGGATATCCAGAAGAATCGAAGTCACAAACCAACACAACACAACACACAACACACAAGACAAAACACTATCTTAATCTCCCTCGATCCCTCAAGGGTTCCCTCGAGGGGAGGGAGGGAGGGGGAGGGGGGCGTAAAATAAACAAAGGAAACTTAGGTTAGAAAATCATAAAAAAAAACCATTGAGCAAGTCCAAAAAAGAAAACGAAAAAAAAAAAACTTGTTCATCCATCCACACACCCCATTTCCAGGCATAATAAGGGAAGAAAAGAGAAAAGAAAAAGACATCCATCAAAAACCTCGAGCCACTCGATCAAGCAACATTCCCGCACTACACCGTGAACGAAAAGGAAAAAGAGAAATAAAAGGAAAAGGAAAACGAAAAGGAAAAGAAAATCACAAACATCAAGAACGAGGACACGTTAACCCCTCATGACCGCCGCATTACTAGAACACAAGAAGAGGAAGAAAGAAAAGGGAAAAATACGTAAAATAGAAGATGTAAAAAGATCAACACGGAACCTTAACCCCAGCCAGCCAACCAACCCAACCCGCAGCAGACCAGCCAACCCACATACCCTCCCTACCCAATCAAGCCCAGAAGCGATCATCTTACCCTCTCTAAAAGCACGCAAAGCTCCTCGTCTTCTTTTTGTTCAATGCCTGCATGCGTTCCTCGAGTGCCGCACGAGCTTGCTCCGCCTTCTGTCGAGCCATCCTCTCTTCTTCAACCGCCTGCACCGAGTACCGGCTCGACGCGCTCTCGTTCTTAGTCTTCTCGAGTTCCTGCTGGACCTGGCTGGCTTTGAGCTGGAAGCTGTCGCGATCGCTCGTGAGCCGCTTCATCGTCGTCTCACAGTCGGTCAGCGCCTCCTCGAGCGTCGCCGTGAGCGCCTTCTCGGCCTGGAGCTGCTTCTCGAGCGTCTTGATACGGGCCTCCTGGTCCTCAAAGTGCGTCGACACGTAGTCCTTGCTTGGTCGGCGGGCCGGGCCAGCACCTGGTGGAGGGCTGGTGGAGGGCAGCGGGGGGAGGGGAATCGCTGGAGGTGGTGAGGGCAAGGCGCTGGATGTGCTCTTGCGTACGCTGCCAGTGTTGTTGGAAGAAGTGGAGTTGGATCGCTGTGCTCTCGAGCCCATGCTTTGAAGCTCCAACTCAACCTCAGACAATTTCAACTAGTTATACCGTCAGCAACTCATTCACTCAAACGCATGTATCCAGAGATAGACATACCCTCAACTTCATGATTTCCTCATTAAGGCTCTCGATGACCTTCTGTGACTCGGCCGACTTCTGCTCGGACAGCGCCGCCAAAGCATCGCGCTCCTGCTTCGCCTTCTCGAACTCCAGCGTGATCGCAGCCAAGTTCTTCGAAGACTCCTGGTTCTGATCGAAGGTGAAAGTGAGCTCCTGTTCGAGGTCCTCGACGAGCTTCGCGTGCTTCCTCTCCTTCTCGCTGAGATTCTTGAGTTCCGCCTCGCGCTGGTCCTGGACGTCCTGCAGTTCCTTCAAAGAAGCAACATGCGCAGCAATCGTCTCCTTCTGCTCGGCGAGTTGGCGTTCGAGGTCTTCCTTCTGCGCAGCGAGTTGGCGTTGCAGATCTTCCTTGGCCTCATTCCCATCGTCCGCGGCAACCGACTTCTCGCTCTGCGCCTGGTCGTACGAGGTCTGGACCTGGTCATACGAGGCCTGGAGCTGATCATACGACTCCTGGAGCTGTGCAAGCTTCACAGCGTGTGCGGCACCGGTCTCCTGGCTTTCGGCGAGTTCGCTGCGAACGGCGGCAACAAGCTCCTCGTGCTTCGCGGCAGCGGCGGCAGCCTCCTTCTGAGCACGCTCTTCTGCCTCCTTGAGGGCAGTAAGCGCGGAAACCTTTTCTTCCCGAAGGACCTCAAGCTGTTTGACAGCCTCGTCGTAGTCACGCTCCATCTTCTCGAGGCGACGTTGCTGGCCCTCGATGAGTTCCTTGTTCTGAGCAATATTCATCTGAAGGTTCATGTTGACGATTTGAAGCTGCTCGATCTGGTCTTTGGATGAAGCCTCATTGGTGAGCAAAAAATCGATTTGTCGGTCGGCATCGGACTGGAACTTCTCAAGCTCCGTAACACGGTTGAGCTGCAAATTGATGGTCTCCTTATTATGTGCGATATTCTCCTGCAGTATATCCACGCGCCTTTGGTAGTCGTGGAGCTGCTGATCGTACGAGAACCGGATGTCAAGCTCATTCTGCATCGATGCCTCCTTGGTTTTTGAAAGATCGATCTCAAGGTCACGAAGATTCTTCTCAAGAGCCTGCTTCGACTCCTGAAGGTTGTCAAGTGCCCGGAACTGGCCAGACTTGAGCTGCTCCAGGTCGTTGTGGAGCTCAAGGATCTTAGCCGCCTGATCACTAGTCAGTCGCCGTTCCTTGGTCAACTCGTCGAGAAGACTGAGAGCATTGGACGGAGAGTTTGTTGCGATCGACTCCACAGCGCCTCTCGCAGATGCAAGCTCGCGCTCGCGGTCCGCGAGAGATTGCCGGGTCTTGTAGAGCTGAGCTTCGGTCTCGTCGATTCGGCGCTGCATAACCGCAACGACGGAAATGTCCATCGGCGAAGTCTGAATGCTCGTCCGCTCCCTGGTCAGACCGGCGATCATGGTAGACTTGGACTCCATCTCCTTCCTGAGCGAGTTGACTTCTTGCTCCAGTTCAGAGATACGGTCCAGGCGATTTTGAAGTTCCCGCATGGCACCATCAATGTTGAGCTCAAAGTTCTCAAGCACATCAGGTTGCGCGCTCAAGTGCTCATTCGCAAGTCTCCGAAGACTGGTAAACGCACGTTGCGCGCGATCAACAACAGCCAAACTCTGACTCGACTTCCTTCTAAGAAATTGAGATGGGCTGGGGCTGCTGCTGTTCCGGGGGCTGTTGCCACTCTTGAATTCGGCAAGCTCGTCGCGGGTTTTGCTGAGTTCCCTCTGGAGATTCTGCTGCTCTTCCTCGGCTGCACGCTCGAGCTCTTCCTTCTCCTTGAAGAGCATCTCAAACTTCTTCAAGAGGTCATCCGGCGAGGCGGTAGAAGCCCTGGTGACTTCGCGTTCCGTTTCCGTTTCGAGGGTGATCTTTAGCGCGTTCTCGTCGGTTTCAGTATAGCCCGGAGGGGCATGAGACACACCAGCCAAGGACAGCTCCGATGATAGCGAGAGCGATGATGAGAGCTGTTCCTCGGATTCCTTCAAACCGTTCACCCTCGCGTCTGCTAAAAAAGAGACAGGCCGCAGTTCTGGGGACTCTGGTGGTGAGGTTCCCCTTGATATGGAGTCCATGACAGGAAGGGTCTTCTTGGCGTGCCGAAGCTCGTCGAGTTGATCGCGCATCGCTGATATGTTTCGCATGGCCTGATCGTAGTTTACGGTGACCTGCTCGAACTCCTGCAGAGTCTGCTCGTGCTCCACCTTGAGGTCGAACAATTCCTGCTGCACAGTCTCGAACTTGTCGGCAACAAACTGCGACTGTGCGGGACTTTGCGGCATGTACTTGTACTCGTCGTCTTTGGAAGTAGGCAGGTAGTCGTCCTCCGCAACGGACTCCAAAATCGGAGGAGTGCCGGACATGACAGGTGGAGTGGGTGATCGAACGGCGAACCGAGAAATGTCCAGCGTGGGATGGTTCCGATCCTCTGAGAATGGCTCGGAACGAATAGAGTCTGCCTTTGATGACAGCGAAGGAACCGGCGTTCGGCCTTCCTCGTCGTTGGTCTCAGCAGCAGGCTCTACAGCCGCCTTCTCCTTGTCCTTGATGTTATCCAATTCGAGGAGCAAGTGGTCGAGCTTGCCGAGACTCCGTTGTCGGTCAATGACATGCTCCAAGCGGTCGATCTCGCGCTGCATCAGCTCCATGTCCTGCTCAGATTCCGCGAGTCGTTCCTCGAGAGTCGAAATGTAGTCTTCGCATCCCGCCTCGTTCTCACGAATCCGCGCAATCTCCTTCTGCAGTTCTCGGATGATGGCGGAGTTTTTCTCCTCTCCCGATGTATGGCCACTAAGCTTTGTCTCGAGGTCTTTAAGGTAGTTTTCGGTGCTCGATTCGCGATCCACCATCTTCTGCAGACGAGCCTGAAGTTGGTGGTTGACGGTCTCAACATAGGCAAGCCTGCTCTCCTTCTCGAGCAGAGTGCTTTCCGAGTTACTCAGGGACGATCGAGTGCTAGTGAGCGACGATTCAAGGCTCTGAATCGTCTTTTCGTACTCCAAGACAACCTGCTCGACCGCTTCCGCAAAGGAATTCGACCTCTTGATCCTGTCCACGGCAGAGTCGGCGTACTCAGTGGGGTGCGCCCGAGGCTCATCCGTGTCTGTCGCCCGGGTGATCTCGGAAATCACTTTGGCATGTCGTTGACTCAAAGCGGTGTAATTCTCCTGAAGATCGAGGAGCTGGTTCTGCAACTCAACCTCTCTTTCTGCCGAGCGACTGTCTCTAACTCCTCGCGTCTTCTCATTGGTTGTTCGCTCGTTCGATTCCGTTCTGTTGCTCTTGAGCTGCTCGCGGAGGAACGCAATTTCAGCACGTAACCGATCGATGAGTTGTTTCATGTCGCCGTCATCTGAGATTTGCTGAATCCGGGGTTTACTCTGGATGGCACGAGCGCGTTGAGCGTACTAGAGGCGAGGTCAATCATCCTGCACTACCAATCCACAAAATGCAATTTTGGATTGACTTGCCTGAATGGTGTTCAGTGTTTCACTCAAGTGGAATTCGGCAGGCGTTACACAAGCAATCATGTATGTGATGGCGTTACCACCCAGGGAGTCTTGCAGAAGTCGTGTGAGTTTAGAATCACGGTATGAGACGTGGGATCCCGATTGGCGTGATGAGAGTTGAGATATAACCTTGCCCAAACTTGCCAGACCTGCGTTGATAGAAATACCCTCCTTTGCTCGCTCTCCTTGGGCGTGGGTATTCTACGCACAAATTCTTAGCAACCCATAGCTTCGACTCCGCCTCCCCTTCGGCACCTTTCCCCCTGTATCGTGGATGGAGAGCCCTACCTTCAAACGTTCACTTCCCGCCAAGTCGACAAAGTGCATTTTGCTGTCAACAGTCATGAAACCCTCCGGTCCCATGTCCGCCGGCATCGACATTCTTTTCGAAGCCTTATCCATGTCCTTCACCTTGCGTTGGACCAAGTTCAAACTGAACACAGCATGCGAACGCGAAGATTTGGCGTTGATCGCGGTGGCATCGGTCTGTCGGATTGAGGACCCGAAGCTCAGCACTCCCATCAAATCCTGTACATTATTGATCTCGACTTGTCGCAATCCGGTCAGTAATATGCGCCCCTTCGTGTCCTCCCGGACGGTTATAGGTGCTCTGTCGTCGTGTCGCGTTCCTTCCGGCAATAACAGATCTCGCAGTTGCTCGTTGTAAATCTACAGGGTTGTGTTAGAGAAACATGCAACATCCGCCATCCCCGTTGGCACACGCGCACACTCCGTGACGGAGAGGGGCTCAGCATCAACAGCACCACAAAGACTCACCTCGACATATGTGGCCTTCATTGTCCAGCCTTTATCGGGGTTGTTCCGCTGAAGTGTCGCGATTGGGGTCGAATAGCGCACGGGCGCCCTAATACCAGAATTCTTATCGCAATTCGATCCTCCGAGTCTATCGAAGAGAGCAATGGCAGCCCTTGGGATTACCCCTGAAAAATACCAGTTGTATCAGCCCGCCATCCTGGTTACCGAAAAACAAAAAAACTACCCGCGCAGGCTAAACAGGACGACCCCCCACAGACTCGGGGGCGGAGAGTGCAGTGGGAGTTTCTGCACAACGAATGCTGCGTCTGGAGCCTGCCGTCTGACCCGGGGGAATGGCCTTACTCACCCATTTGGTGGTGATCGGGATGCTCGCCAGGCTCAGCCGTGCCCATGGTATACGACTTTCCAGCGCCGGATTGACCGTAGGCAAGAACTGACACATTGTAACCCTGAAGAAACGCGTTGACGCTCTCCTCCAAGTACTCCCAGACGCCATCCTGTGTGACATCGGGCCCGAAAACACGATCGAAGACGAAGATTTTCCTGCCCTGCGGACTGTCGACGGCGGCGCTGGTGGGGCTCGTAACGTGTACCATTCCCCTCTGAAATCGCTGTGGGATCAACTCAAAGCCGGGGTCGGACGGTTTGAGCGGCGGCCGGACGCGTACAGCTGTGACAAAACAAAATCTCCATGTTAGAAAAAATGCGCACAATAAACTTTTTCAATGCTCGGAGTTTATAGCCCGACCAATCCCAGACCACCGCAACCGTTACCGCTTAAATCCCCCCGCGATCCCAGCCCATTACCGCCAACTCTCCTTTCCCGACTCCCGAGAACACAGGGGGGCGGGAGGGTAGGAGGACGGCCAAGTAGGAGAGTATGCGGGAGAAAGTAATGCACAGGTAAAGCCGGGGATTGAGCTATAGCCTTGCAGTGGTGGGGACAGTGGCGAGGTGATGGAGATACACGTACCGACTTTGACAGATGTCCTCCCATCCTCATCCGAGGCTCTGCTTCCACCCGCTCGACTGCTCATGCTCATCCGACTCGAGCTTCGCGCAGGTCGCATCATGGCGCTCATGGGTCGCGGAGGGTGGTCGCGCGGTGACGGCGACCCTGGAGACCCGACCATTGCCGCCGGAGGATTGGTTCTGACTTGCTGTGTATTTTGAGCGACGATGGTTCGGTGGTTGATGTGGTTGTAGATGGTGTAGTGTGTGCGTGGTACGGTATTACTATGGTTGTGGTATATGCGTGTTTATTTGGAGTCGTTGTAGGTAATCGTGCTCGTGACGATCGTCAAGATTATCGTCGAAGGAGTGATACTGTTAAGGAGCGTATTGGGTTGATTCTGGGGACGGTGGTGGAGGTCGGTGGGTGGTTGAAGGGCCGTGTGTTGCTAGGCGGAAGAGGAGGGAGGGAGGGTGGTGGGTATTGGTGGTGGTAGAGGTGGTAGAGGTGGTAGTGGTGGTAGTGGTGGTGGTGTTCTTCCTATGGCTTTCCTCTCTCACACTTCCTCGCTCTGTCGAAGGAGGTAGGACAGATGGCAGGCGTAGCGATACTGGTGGTGTTGGTGTTGGAGGAAGGAGTGAGATGGCAAGGGGGGGTGTGTGGAGGGGGGCTTGCTTGCTGTAGAGTAGCGGGCTAACGAGTCGTCGCGCGTTCCTCCCTTCGGTCGTTGGGCGGTGGTGCTAGTCCCGGTATTGGTCTTCGTTCGTTCTGCTCGTCCTTCGTCTTCTTCTACTTTTAGAAGGAGTCTTCACGCTCGCAGAGCTGTCATGGGCGGCACCCGGTTCGACTGCCAGTTAATCACGATGGGCCACGAATGGGCACCCTCTCCATGAACAGCAGCAACAGCATCATCAGCATCATCATCACACATCTATCTAGAGTACTCGGCGTCTACGTTTACGTCTGCTGCAGCTGCCTCGCCTGCTGGCAGCAATGAACGGTGATGGGTGAGTAAAGTTCGCAGCTCGCCGGCGAGCATTGCCACTGGTCGGACCGTCGAAGGATGGCGAGGCAGAGCGGGGAATTCGGTGAAGGTAAGGATGTGGGACAGACGGCACTCTAATATCGGGCCTGACAGGCAATCAATCGCAAGAAGGTGCCGTCAAAGGAGGAGACAGAAAAGGAGATCTTTCTCTCCAGATCTAAAAATGCCCACGCCCTCCCATTCCATCCAACCAAGTCCCTCTCTTTCCCCGTTCATCCACTCTCACTCTTTTAATCGAATGAGGCGATCTGAAAGGGTCCGCACACACCTATTCACACACACACCACACCACTGCCACCCACCACCTCACAAAACACGCGGCACACAAGCGAGATCAACGGTTAAATCCAGGAACACCAGTCAACATCTCTCCTTCGGCGGGGAGCGGCAATTGTTCTCGCACTCTCTCTCAGTCTACGCCACCCCTTTGCCTGCGGTACCGGGCCGGGACGATATCTGAAGTGGACCCTTTTTCTTCAAGGGAAGCTCCTGCAGTTTGTTTCGTTTCTTTTTTTTCTTTTCCCATGGTAAGAGCTTGCTCGCCCTGCAACTGCTGCACTAAGCTAGTGATGCCGGCTGTAATCCTCTCGCCAAGACAGAAGGGAAACTGCGGGAGTTACCTGGCGATGCTCCCAGGTATCCTAGGTAGCCTTCCTCGAATCCAAAGTATCAATCCGTGAGTTCAACTTCGAGTTCATCGTTGATGATCCGTTGGAAATCATCCGCTGCAGACGTCAAAAAATCTAGCACTCGAATGGCCCACGCCTCGTCGATCCCCAACTCCTGCTCCGGAGCTTTTGCATGAGATATCCAAGACCGCGGAGCGCCCACTCGCCCGGCGTACGTACTCTACATATGTAGAGTATGCAGAGACGGGGCGGTAAATTCTCTCGAGCGATGTGGGGCGTCAAGATGTCGCACTGGATCTAGAGGATATGTCAGGCGGTAACTCGGAAGACAGGAGAGTACAGTTCCCACATACCGCATAATCCACACGTCATCGAGTTCGACGGTGAAGCTGTAAATTTGTCACCGTTGTCGTCGTTGACGCTGTCGCGGTTGCCTTCGCCGTCGTGGTGCTGTCGTGGTCGTTGGAGTTGTTGGATGGGGTTGGCGGGTATGTCCGATCGAACAAGTCCCCTCCACCAGCAACGAGCTCGTACTCGGCTTCATTCGGATTCTTGCAGCGGGTGCTCGTGTTCGAACTTCACCCGCGCGAACAGATGGGTGAAGTACTCTACTATAGCATATCTACTGAACGTCGCGCCGTCTATGCACGTTTACTCGCCCACTCCTCCGAGCGGTTGCGGAGAACTCACAGCCAACGCAACCACCACCACCACCATCACCACCACCACCATCACCACCACCACCGTCGCCATCGCCATCGCCAACACCAGCATCCGCAGCATCGGAAACATCTGTACTTACGCGTCCGACCCAGCGTCTCCCACGCGACCGGAACCGGTTAGCCCGACAATGGGGGGTCCGTTCGGCTGGGAAGAACACGGAAAGATGGGGGCGGGCGAGACTCGAGAGGGGGAGGGGGGGAGGCATGTTTGGTTTGTCGAGTGCGGAAAAAGTCCGAGCACCCCTCTCCCTCTCCTCTCCTCGGCATGCAGAATGGATCATGCATATCGACTGCTTCCACGAAGCATAGCATGCACATGTCGAGGATGCGGCAGTTGCTGTGCGATACACGATCTCGGCTCGCCCAGCATTCCGACCGTTCGTTCGAAATCCAAACCTGCAGTAGAATTTTCCCTTCCCCTCCAAACCCTTTGATGGAGAAAAAAGGAGAACATCCCCAACCCGGTAGAAGATGGATGGAAGAGTTCGGCGGTGGGGCGGGCACGCACGCTAGATACTCTAGTTGGCACTAGCAAACACAAGCGACCACCCCTCGTTCTTCCTGCAGCCAGCAGGTGTGCGCGCATGCAGGAGGGGCGAGCTCGTCACGTCCTGATTCGGGCGGAAGTACGAAAGTACGAGCTGAGGCGTCGAAAAGGGGAAACGAACGAAGACGAGAGCTTTTTTCTTTTCCTTTTCGTTCCTGGCTAGGGGCGAGGGTTGGGTTGGCCACCCGGCTGCACCGCTGCCAGTCAGCAACACCTTCCCCCCCCCCCCCGACCCATCCCATCCTCCTCGAATCACCGCGGCTACGGTGGGAGGTGGAGACATGTACCGTACCGGTGTATGTGCACACACGTCTGGTGCAGCATCTTTAAGCTGGGTTGCTTCTCTAATTGAGTTGCTTCTCTTTCTCTTTCCGTATGGTTCGTCTGTTTTCGCCTGTAGGCTGTGTTTGATGAGCAGCAACTTCCCTCCGCACAGTCCACCCGCGTAGGTACTCTACTCTACTCTATGTGCCCACTCCGCACGGAAAGTCCCACCGTTTCAAGTGTCCCACGTCCCAGGGGCTGGCCTTGCTTGTTGGAGATCAACTCGACTCGTCTCGACTCGCGATGTTGCAATCAGTTGGATCTGCAGTTTCAGATGCAGCTGGCTGATTGAAAGGGATCTGGCCTTGTCTTTGTACTCTACACACTCTGTAGCTCTTGACGGCGGTGGGGTTCCCATCAGGAACCCCTCCCATTTACGTTCACCTATGTCTCCATCGGGACAGCGGGACAGCGGGAGATAGAAATTTTCACGGACAGAAACGCGGTGAAGAAGGTGAAGAAGCAGAGACCTTCCAGAAGTCGCGATGCAGCGCAGATCCTTCGTCCATCATCCAGCCATCATCCAGCCATCCAATTACATGTGCACGAGCAGCCTTGGTAGTGCCCCCCGTGTCTCCCCGTTCAATTTCGGATCTGCCGTAGAGAAGGCGGTATCTAACTATAGGTAGTAGAGCATCGTGGAGCGTGGAGCGTGGGGCGTGGGGCTAATGCAGTGGCGGAGATGATGCTGATGGATGGATCGAGTTGTGATGGCGGTGTCTCGGAGACTATGCCTACGGCGGTGGACGGGGCACGGGGTGCGGAACATAGGCTCTCACTCGGAGTGAGGATGATGGATGAAGGATTGGTATTTGAAGACGACGACGACAATGACTTCTCGCATGCGAAAATCGTGGTGGATATCTGAACGTGCTATTCTACCTACCTAGTTGAAGAGAGTCGGAGGCTGCGCATTGCCCGGATCTTGAGCGCGCAACGCCAGAGGCTACAGTGTCTGATAAAAGGTGACCTTCACCAGTAGAAGTCGGAGAGGCCGACGTGCGATCCTACGTGCGAGGAACATCTCGTCAACATCGTAGTCCCCTACAAATCCGTTCCCTTGGACAACATGGCAAATACATCCCGCCTCATGTTTTGGAATCAGATCTCACGATCGCGATTCAGGTCTGCGAGTCTGCAGTGATCACGACCACGAGGAAAGCAGCAGCCCGTTGTCTTTCGAGGGCTGTGGGATGATTTGACTTGGCTAAGTCCATGTGAGGAATCTGGAGACACATACATAGCTAAAAAGGGAAGTATCATGGTAGACACGGGAAAGATACTCTTCGGCTGGGTGCATATGTGGCTTTTCGAGGACGACTCAGTTCAGCTCGTCTCTGGGGTACATCGACCTGTTGCAAGAGGGGGGATATCTCAGCTGGAATGGAGTATCCAAGTCTCATTCCTCTCTGGATCATCCGAGCCTGCACTTGTATGTACCGCCTCTCACGAGCGGATCGAAAGCGAATGGCACTTCGAGCCCTCTCTCTGCCCAAAACCGAGTGACAGCCATGATTTCACATGCCTCCCGGCCTTGGCCGAGCTCAGCCCTACGGTATCAGCCTTCGTTACACGGCGCATCTATACGGCAACGTACGCGTGCGTGCGAGCGTGCATCCCGCCAACCTCGGCCCACGTACGGCCCACGTACGGCCAACCCACGGCATGCCTTAACCGCAGCGCACCGCACCTCATCACCTCCGCCAACGCTTCAAGCTTCCCATCTCCTCTTCTCTTCTGTTCTCCCTCATAGTTACTCTACCTCACTAAACACGGCAAGAAACGAAGCACGATACAATACTATGGCAAACAGACTTGCACAGTTCGTTGGTCACTTGGAGTTATCGCCCATTGCGCAGGTCGCTGGGAACTCGGTTGGGAGGTGGGTTACGGCGGGATGGGGCGGGCAGGCGGGCAGGCGGGCAGGCAGGCGGGGTGTCTGGGTGTCTGGGTAGGTGGGAGTGCTGACGAAGTGAATACCCAGACGTTTGGAGGGGAAGGTTGCAATTATCACTGGTATGTCCTGTATCCCGCCCGATCACTTATGAGTTGGGCCTGACATTCCGCAGGCTGTAATTCACCGGTAACGACCCCCACCTCTCTCCCACCATGCTATCATAGGCTCTCGTTCTAAGAGCTCACCGTCCAGCTCGGAATCGGCCGCGCAACAGCGCACCAATTCGCTTACAACGGCGTGCGGGCATTGTACGTGTGCGACTTCGACGGCTCCCACCTTCCGGCGCTGCAGCGCGAGATCGCCGCGTCATACCCGGGCGTGCAGGTGTTCGCGCGCACTTTCGATGCCGCCGACGAGGCCGCCGTCAAAGCCGTGGTCGATGAGGCCGTCAAGGATCATGGCCGCCTCGACGTGTTCTTTGCCAATGCTGGCATCGTCGGCAGTCATGTCCCCGTCACTGATATTCCGATCGATCAGTTTATGTGGACTATGAGGGTTAATGTTTCGAGGTGAGTGGGGGGGGGGGAGGGGCGAGGGGGAAAGTGTGCGGGGAGCGGGGGGGGGCTGATTTGGAATAGTGTCTTCCTGGCCGTCAAGCATGCGTCGAAGGCAATGATGTTCACCGGCCCAGAGAAGCCGCAGTCCGGCGGATCGTTTATCGCCACCGCATCCACCGCGGGAATCAGGTCTGGAGCTGGCGCAAGTACTAATCCCCCGTTCCCGTAACCTACTACCTATCCCATGACCCTCCGAACGACGTTGCTGGATACACAAAGTCAAAATTCGAGGTCCAGAGCGGTGATGGCGAGGGCACGTATATCTCACGGCACCCGCCCGTCCTACGGACCGCGCCGAGTCCGGTTATATATGCCCCACTATTAGCGGGACTCCGCAGCCGGGAGTGCCGTGCTCGGTGCCCTTCCTGTCAAGCTGTCAATCTGTCAAGCTATCCCCTCTCCCCGACCGTTTCCCATACTCACCTACCCACCCACCTACCCACACCCCCTTCCGCAGACATATAATAACACGCCCTCATAGCCGACTACTCCGCGTCCAAAGCGGCGGTGATAAACATGATGCAAACGAGTGCGTTCCAGCTATCGGGGACGAACATCCGCTGCAACGCCGTGTGCCCAGGCCTGATCGAGACGGGGATGACAGCGGCGGTCTACGACGGCGCCCGCAAACGCGGCACCGAGGCGAAGATTGGACAGATCAATCCCCTCAAGCGCGGGGGAAACGCGGATGAGATCGCAAGGGTTGCGTTGTTTCTGGCTAGTGATGAGTATGTCTCCGCCTCCAGTGGAAACGGGGGGATGGGGGGATGGGAAGGGGATGCGGAGAAAGCGGGCTGACGAATGCTGGATCGTGCAGGAGCTCGTACGTGAACGCGCAGTTCTGGGCCGTCGATGGCGGGCTCAGCGGGAGTCATCCTACTATGCCGGGGAGGATGGCGTAGGCCCGTTGAAACGTTGAACGGTTGAACGGTTGTGTTGTGTCGATATGGTTGTTTCATGAATGGTTATGTATTCTGTCCGCTCGTAGTCATGTAACTATCGCCGGTTGATATCCTATATTTCTTAGGGCATTGCGCGGGTGCGATGGTACATCCGCTACATACCTCCGGTACATCGGGCATACCGTCGCCTACAACCCTTCATTCTCGCCGGATGCCGGTGTGTAGGTATGTGGGAAGTAGTTGTTGTAATTGTGAAATGTATTTTTACCGTGCATGGCATTGCATCAGGGAATGAGTATAGTAACAAGTGACAAGTAACCCCTAGTAACGAGTATACAACGAGGATATCGATTGCATTCGGGCAGGGAGTACATGAAGTCCACCCCCTCACCCCCTCACCCCCGCACCGTGTAGAGTATATATGTGGGAAGCAAGTGGAGTGGAGTAGATGCAATGCCTAACTGGGCCCTGTGCATGCTATTCGCCTCCAGAGCATGCGGAGGATGCAGAGCATGCAGAGGATGCAGAGCCTACAGAAGTTTCTTTTGCGGTTGTGGAGGCGGTTGTAACAAGTAAGCAACTTCTTACCCACAAGCAAGAAACCGAGTGCAAACTCATGCCTCACCTGGCCCTCACCCTTCTCTTTCCTCCCTCTTTTTCCTCCCCGTCTCCCTGCTTCCCCACCCCTCTCTCCCTCTCGCTCGCCTCCCCTCCTCCGCCTTCCCCTATGTAGAGTATGTAGGCAGAGTAAGCATGTATGTAGGAAAGTGGATATCACGAGACCACCAAACAGACAAAACAACAAAACAAAGCAAAATAACACAACACAACACAACAACACGGCCCAAGCTCCCGAGCCGTGTGTGTTCGTGTGTTCGTGTGTGTGTGTGTGTGTGTGTGTGTGTGTGTGTGGAATACTCAGGGTACTCCACTATGATGGTTAGGTGGGAGGGAGGTAGTCCGTGTCCCCTTCTATGGAGCAGAGTGTGATTTTGTTTCCTTTCTTATTTCTACGGGCTGCTTGGTGGTGCTGCTTGGTAGTGCTGCTTGGTGGTGGTGGTGTCGCATTTTGGAACGTGCCCACCGCCCACCGCCCACCGCCCACTGCCAACTGCCAACTGCCAACTACTAGTAGTGTACCTGGGTAACCACGGTAGAAAATAATCGGATACACAGATGGATACCATGGTCCACGACTGCGCCAGAGGGCCGGACCGTCGCAGCTACTTTTATAAGTAGAGTACTGGTAGACTCACTCTCGACGTCTCGACGTCGAGGATTCGAAAGCAATAGCTATCATATCTACAGATATTTGAGTTGTACCATAGATACCATACAGGAGCTTATCATGCTGATACGGTAGTTATCTTCATTCACACACACACGGCTGTTCATGAAGTCCACGCTTTATTTATGTCTATGTGTGTGTGTGTGTGGGGGGGGGAGTTTACTATTAGCGCGTCCGATTACTATTTTCCATGTCCCCTGGTGGATACTGGAGAGGGAAGCGTGGGCGTGGGGGAAGAAGCAATTATCTTTTATTTTCGCCTTCCTTTGTTTTTGTTTTCTTCGATTCTCGGCGAAGAAAAGGTCAAGAAAGAAAAGGTCAAGGAGGAGTGCTGACTGTGTAGTAGATACCGTATGGTGATATGATCGCCACGATACGATACATACGGCGGTAAGTTGGAGAAACCCACGGGTTTACCTACCTTGATGTTTGACATATATAGAGTGATATGCATCATAGAAGGAGGAGGAAGAGGAGGAAGAGGAGGAGAAGTTGTGCGGTGAAGGAGTGCAGTGCGCACGGGCGCAGGGAAAAAAATGAGAATTTGGCCATGAAATCGGGAGCCGAAGGCGTTTAGCCGAGGCCTTTTAGAGCGGCGGTTTCTGGAGCGGTTTGTTTGGGCGGGCGGACGAGCAGGGAACAGAAACGGAAGGGGATGGGGAAGGAAGGGTCTTGCTTGCTGTCTTCGGATTCGTTTAACCGATGAGTGTGGTTGTCGGATACGAGACGAGTAGAAACAGAAGAAGAAGAAGAAGAAGAAGAAGAAGTAGAAGAAGAAGAAGAAGAAGAGAGAGGGATGTTCCTGGCCTGGAACTGGATGGAGAGCAGGCGATATCTATCCGTTCCTCGGTGGGTTGTCAGAAGGTTAGGTTGTGATGTGGTTCTAGAGTAGTGGCTTGTTTTCGAAATTCCATCCGTGCGGAGGAGGCACGACCCAACCAACCCCCACGGGCCGAAACACCGACAGTGAGAGCGTCGGCACACATCTCCTTTCCAGGTGGAAGGCGTGAACGCTTTGATGGCGAGTCTGCACTCTCGGTGTGCTTACACATCTACAGACCTTCCTTGTTATGTATAGGCAGGCACCGTATGCACAGAAATACGGGTCGTTGACGCAGTGCATCATCGTCACTTCCGACAGAGTGGTCGTCGAACTAGAGGAGATGGAGGGTCATAGTGAGAGGAGCTTGCTGCCCCGGGTGCGAGGAGCATTTCCCTCGAGATGATGGCGGTGATGATGATAGTGATGATGCTATCTATCCGCTGTGCGGTCGGTCGGTACTGCAATCTGCAGAAGCAGCAGCGGGAGGTTTGTGATGGACTCTGCAAATGCGCAGACTAGAGTGCTACTGCGTCGTGCGGCCGCCGTGGGTTGGATGCGAGATTTGGTGTTCACAGATACTCTAGATATCGATCGCGCCGGCGGCGGCGGTGTGCCGGGGGGAGGGGAGGGGATGAAGCCAACATGTGTGCTCCTGCAGAGTGGACATCCAACCAACCCAACCGTCACCAACCACCCACAGCTGCGATCCGTGACGGAGATGGGGGAAGGTGTGAGACTGATTTCGATTGCCAGTCGACTGTTGGATATCGTGAAGCCGACAACCATGACAGGTATCTCGGTGGGTCTCGAAATGCTCGCACTCTATTTCCTTTCCTTTCCTTGCCTGTTCTCTGTCGTCCTGTTCGCCGTTGACTCCGAACGGCCGCAGGGAGAAGGCCATCGTGCCAAGTGCATCGATCAACCGAATTCTGCAGACCGAATCTCCAACAGCTGCAGGTACCTCACGCCCCAAGCCAGTAGGATTGCGAGCAGCGGGGCCGGTCTAGCCCGACTCGTCACGCCCGCCGACCTGGAAGACTTCCGACGGAGGCCCGAGCTGCCTGTGGTGCGTGCATGCTGGAAAAGGGGATGGGAAGGCATGGGATGGGATGGATGGGGTGGAAGGCATCTCTCGCCGAAGGATTTCTTTGGGCCTGTTCGGACGTTCGACTCGCAGCACCTGCCACTAGGGCAGGTAGTCGGCGTGCCCCGGTCCTCGCGCCGCATCCCTGCCCGCGTCTGGCCATCGCGCTCTCCAGCCAATGGCATCGTAGCATCGCGTGTGAGACTGCGGTGGAACGCCATCTGCACTTGGCCTCTCCCAGCCGTTTCGTGATGTTCCGTGCGGCACTTGGGAGAATGCGCGGAATGGTCTCGTCCCCTCGTTCGTTCCTCTCGCTCCTCTCCTGCTGCATCTGCCTGCCTGCCTGCCTGCCTGCCTGCCTGCCTGCTTGCAACTGCAGGAACGCTGCCCTGCACTCGCCGCCTCGCTCGCTACTAGCACAGCTGCGCCGCTCGAGAGACCATCCCCCCGTCGCCGGACTGGCCTGCTAGTCGGCCTCCCGTCCAGCTGCTCTCGCTGCTATCAACCGTCGAAATCCCTTCTGCCCTTCCCTTTCGGCTCGACCCGGACTGTGTTCTTCGCTTGCTCTGCTTGTTGTTTGCATGCTGGTGCTTGCCTGCTTGTGCTTGCCTGCTTGTGCCACTCGTTGACCGCCACTCTGAACTCCACCTGCTCCTGGTGCTGTCCCCGAGTTATTATTATCATCATTCTCATTCAAAGTCACTCATTGCTCATTGCTGTTCGCTCCCCATCTACCCCCCCCCCCCCCCCCCCCGCCACCCACCCTCCACACACACACTCCCCCCCTAATCCCCGCCCGCAGGCAACATCTGAATCCTTCCCGTGGATTGTCTCCTCCGTTCCTCCCTTCTCCTCGCATATCTCCTTCCTCCGTGCTCGAGAGACTCAAGCTCGCCCGCCAGCCCGCAGTCCCGCCGCCGTCCCGCCCGCCCGCCCCACTCCGCTCTCTTACCTGGCCGTTACTGCCGACGCGGCCGTACTGTGCTCGTTCCTCTCTCTCTCTTCCGGATGACCGCGTTTATTCCCGTTCGATCACTGTAACGAAACGACAAAAAAGTTACTACTGCATACAATACTGCTACTGCTATACACTATCCTTTTTACAGCGCGCGCGTTTCTTTTGAACTCCCTTTTGACGAAAAATAACAAGTCCGCTTCTGCCCAACTCACCTACCTTCCCCACCACTACCACCTCCACCTCCACCTCCTGCCGGAACCATAGTTGTGGAGAGAGTGAGAGAATTCGGACGACCAGCCCAACTCCCGTCAATCTTTTCACCATATCACCCTCATCTTCATCGGAAGGTGCGGCGGCTAGAAGAGCAAGAGCAGCAACAGCAGCAGCAGTTGGTTTTCTCGCTCGCCGTCCATCTAAATCGCCCACCGAAGAGATGCCTCCGTCACTTCGAACCCAGCCGTCCTTTGTGCGGCCACGAACTTCGGACAATAGATCTGAGCGGCCAGTGACCAGAGGCGATGATAACCCTTTGCCGATACCCAGTCGGACCTCGTCGCTCCACAGCAGGATCACCCAGCCAATTCCCTCGACTTTAAACATCAAAGTGCAGCCTAGGACACCAAAGACCCTCACGCACGCGTACCTCGTCTGTGGTGTCGGACGGGAACCATCACAATGGGTCAAGGCTCCGACTCCCGCCCAAGGGAAGATCGCACACATGAAGGGCGCTGTCAACCAATTCTGGCTCCCTGAGATTCTGGGAAGCAGCCCCCGGTTGGAACAGGACAATGAAATGGCAAGATCGTTGCATGCGGCCATGCGGGTACGTCTCGAATATTTTCCCCTGTATCCCCTCGCGTTGCTTCGAACAACCAGGTGACGCGAGATGGGGGTAAATGAGAGGTGCTGATTTGGATTGGCGATGATAGGCTTGCTTCCCCCACGACGTCGAAATTTGCACCGGCCGCACGCAGCCACATTGCATTCATCACACATTCGTCCTTCAGCAGGACTCCTCGCACACGCTCTATGGTATCGCTCTGAGGGTATGGTCGAGGGCCGATGACAAGCGGGCAGAGACCATCAGGGAATTGCGAAAACGGAACGAGCCCGATTATTACGATACTCCCGACGAGACATACTGGATCCCCTATGCTCTCAGCTTCTTGTCGCGGTATCCGCTGTTCAACTTGTTGGGTGATTATCTGAGGGGCATGTGGATTCACTGGAATAAGGCGACGAACCTTTTCCACGCAGAGTACGTGTAACCGCCCTTCGTTTGTGGTCCCACAGCGGGCTGATATCATGTGTTTAGGGAGGTTTCGAGGATATTGTCCTTTCCCGCCCCGCGGTTGAACGATCTCGTGCGAATCGACATGAAGGATTATGCGCTCTGCTACCAGTTTCCCTCTTCGCCAACCGGATTCCAGAACGTATGCAATCACACCACTCTGGCCTCAACCCCCAATTGTGCTGACGATCGAGTAGTTCGCGATGTGGCCGCTGTTCTGTTGTTTGTCGATCCCCAACATTGTCGGTCTCGTCGAGGCCGCCCTTTCGCCTACTCGACGAATAATCTTCGTCTCTCACTACCCAGCAATGTTGACGGTTGCAGCCGAGACATTGCGCTTCTGCGTGAGAGTATTCGAATGGAGTGGTCTGTATGTTCCGATCGTGCACGCTAGACATGCTAGAGATATGGTCCAAGAGCCCGGTCCATATATTCTCGGTTTCACCGCCGAATGCCGAAGTCTATTTACTGCTCCCAGTGACGTAAGTTGGCATTAGAAACAACAATCAAAACAAGCACCGCTAACAACCGAATGTAGGCTCTGGTTGTTGATTTGGACCGCAACTTTGTTCTGACCTCTTCCCCTCCTACAACCCTCAACCCGGGACAGCGTAACAAGATGATTCAGCGCCTCACACAAGCTTTGAGCGGAGATATAGCCATCTCCGGTGTCCCATCTCACCTGAGGTCCGCGTATGGCGGCGGCAAGCTCGTTCCCGCAGGTCAGATCATCGTGATGCGAGGCGAGGTCGAGAGTGTTCAGGATCCTCAGTGGTGGGAACAAGACGCTGTAATGGCCGTCTTGGACCATGCATGCGAGAAGATGGGACGCAACACCGGTATCAAGGCGATCTTCGGTGGCTCGGTCAAGAAGCCTCTCATGACCAAGGTCTCTCTGAGACATCTCAACGAGATTGTCCGTGAACGCAACCAGTACTCGCGTGATGCTGTTGAGGCATGGCAAGATTACATCAACCTTAAGGGGCGCATGGACACCGAGTTGCAGAAGGTCAACAAGAGGAATAACTTCCTCCTGGAGGAGGTTGAGAGCTGGAAGCAACAGGTACAACCCACCTTCCATCACCCTCCTAACGCCCCCCCCCCCCCCCCCCGCCACTCGTAGTGGGTGCTTACGGTCTTGTAGTTTGAGAAATTCCAAGCATTCGCTGCCCAGCTCACCAAGGAAGCCTCCGATCTCAAGGCCAAGATCGAGCTGCACAAGAAGGAGAACTCCCGTCTCGCTAAGCTCATCGATCAGCAGAAGACCGACAGCAACAATCTCGGAATGCGCCTTGCGGGCACCGAGAAGCAGCGCGACGACGCCCTCGAGGCACTGGTCATGCAGCAGGAGGTTGCTGAGGATTTGGAGCGCGAGAGGAAGAAGAACAAGAAGGAGCTCACCGAGCTCATCCGCACCAACCAGAACATCCAGAGACAACGAGACGAGGCACAACGGGTTGTCATTCACCTGCGAGCACTCATCGAGGGCCAGGCCCATCACATGGAGCACCTTGTCCGCTCCCTCACCGATACCGAGCCCGAAGATTTCATCGAGGAGGAGGATTCGAACGGCCAGGTTACCGCCCGGCAAACCCCATTCATGTCAAGACGCGCGTCGAGGACTTCCTCGAGAAGCTCATCACGGACAGCGTCGCGTGCCAGTACGATCGACCCCAGAGGCCTTGATTCCGATGATGTCACGCCTGACATGGAACGACGACTAGTGAATAGCCCATCAATGAAGCGATTCTCCCAGATGAGCTGGTCCGACGTCGCCGACCGAAACATCCGCGACAAGACCGACGCGATCGCCGACATCATCCGCAACATTTCCGAGCAGTGCGCTGCCGCCGTCGAGGGGCTCCACCTTGCACAGGCTGCCGCGGCACAAGAGGAAGAGGCCATCCGCTCCGGCTCGGGCCGCGACTCGGAAGACGAGGATGAGGAGGAGAGGGAGGAACGGGAACGGGAGAAGCAATATGCTCTCCGCAGACGTAGGCGATCGACCATTGACGAATCGAGCCTGCTGAGCCCCACGCACTCGTCTGTCCCCCCGACCCCGGAACTGAGTCATCGGTCGAGCACGGCCATGAGCATGACCTCAACCCTTACACCCGATAGGCATTCACTCGGATACAATGAGCTCGATGTCCCCACAAGAATCATCGAAGCGGAGGACTGCATCTCGGAGCACACCGAGGAGACTGCCTATCTGGAGGTGGTCAAGGACAAAATGAGGAACTCTGATGGCATCATCAACCGTGCTGGTGCCCGGGTGTCTGCTTTCGGTACTCCGTAGTTTAGGGTGGTTTAAATATTTTTGCAGGATGAGATGAATGGTCCCCACTCTGAACTTCTTTTCCGTTTTCCTTTTCCGTGTCTTCCTGTAGGATCGTTTGGGTGTTTCTTTGGGTGGTGTTTTTTTTTTATACTTGTTTCTTTCTCGCTTCTTTCCTTTACCTTCGACACGATGATCTCTGGGTGCTTCTATGTATACCTTTTTTCCCCCTGTGGATTGCCCACACGACACTGCGCTGCGCTCCGGAACCCGACTTCCCTTTCCCTTCCATTCACTTATTGGATCCCCTCGAAACAGTGATACTCTGATACCTGACTATGACCTTCAGCGTCGATTTTTCTTTTTTCTTTTTTCTTCTTTCCTTTTCTGCTTCTCTTCTGTTCTCTTCTATTTTACCTATTCGATTCGATTCTTTCTTCGATTCTCTCCTCCCTTCCGATTCTTGTAATTGATTGTTCAGCGCCCGTTATGGTACCTTGTGTGTTATATTGTTTTTTACTTTGCTTTACTTCTACCCTTTGATTTCATGTCAGAAACCCAGGCGGTGTGGTGGTGGTTACTTCTTCGCAAGTAGGAGGTTAAGTTGGTGGTTATGTAGGTGGTTGGTTGGTGGTGGGTGATTCGGTCGTGGGTGGTTGGGTGCCCATTTCATGATTGTGGATGTTTTTAGCGGTTTTTATGCTTGTGGTTTGTGGTTTTGTGGTTTGTGATTGGAACTTGGAACTTGGAGATATCTGCTTGGTAGGGAGGGAGGAGGGGCTTGGAAGGGATTGGTTAGAGTGGGAAGGCGGTGGGGATGAGTGGGGGGCGGAGGGGAGCAGAGGGAGGGAGGGGACGAGTGGGCAAAGGACGGGAGGGAAGGAGGGGAGTAATTAAGGAACGTTATGAACTTCTATCTATTGGTGACTTATTGGTGACTGCTCAGTGCTTGTGACGTTTTCGCTGTGATGTTTTCGCTGTGATGAGTCTGTAGTTAAGTATTTGCTCTGTGAATGGCGCGATAGGGCGGGCGGTGGCGGGGATGGTGGAGGTGAAGGTGGAGGTGCAGGTGAAGGTGGAGGTGCAGGTGAAGGTGGAGGTGCAGGTGAAGGCGGGCGAGTAGTGAATGAAACTGATTGGCCGGGGTTTGAGACGGGGTACCTACTCTAGAATGGATGTAAGATAAGATTGGGACGGCCAGCCCGAAGCGTAGCTGCGTTACAGAGTTGGAGTTGGAGTTGGAGGAGGCGTGACAAAACCGTAATACGGGTTCGAATCCAGAGCATTGAGCACTGTGTAGACAACCTCGGTGCCCCCAGACAACTGCAGGGGGGCAAAGACAACCCACGTGGATATGGATACCGCATGTACGTAGGTACTCTAGATATTGTGGTGGAACCCCTCAGGGCCTCCCCATGCATACAGTATAGTACACAGGCACTTACGTACGCAGCACTGAGACGACTGAGACGACAGATCTAGACGAGTGAGACGAGTGAGCTCCCGTGGCGTGGATACTCCCTGGCCTACCCACTACGGGGGCCTGTCTACCACGGGGGCTTGCCTGCCACGGAGTTGGGATATAGGTACTATGTACTCTAGGTATGTAGATGCAGTGCCCACTTATCTACATATCTACATAGGTAGCTTCCAGAAGGTGATAAACTGATAAACTGATACACTGATACATGCTTACCTACATGCTTACCCACCTACCCACCTACCTACCCACCTACCTACTCGCCTAAGCATAAGCCTACACCGGAGCCGGCGCCGGCGTCGGCGTCTGCAGATCTCACCGCTGCTGGATACTGGCTGCAGGGTGGAGTACTGGTACATATGAGTATGGGTGTATGATTTCGTATATGCCGAGGGTGAACCCGTGGGGCATGCCGGCTTGAGGTGATGAGTGGCGGGGGAGGGGGGGGGGGGGGGGGGGGGGGGGGGGGGCTAACTATACGTGTTGCATACGAATGCATTGGAGTCGGCAGTGGGGTGGTGGGTGGTCGGCAGTGGGTGGTGGAGGGTGGGTTATCAGATTAATCATCAGCCTGGTGCGCATGTACTACTCCATGGGTGAGAGAACTTGAGGTTGAGGTTGAGGGTGCATATCACGTCTCCTTCCGTGTTATTGCTTCAAACAAGAACGGAGTGGATCCGGCATCTCATTCATCTCTCCAGCTCTGTCCTCCATGGGCCATTAACCAAATCCAACCATGCCCCGCCCCCGCGGCCATCCCAACCCTCCCAAATAAACAAACAAAAAAAAAACGCCCGTAGTCTACCGGTATATGTAGTTATCTAAGTATGTACAAGGTCTCTGACCCTAAAGAATGGAGGGGAATTATATGTAACCAGACGATTAAAAGGAATAGATGTTATGTTTGTATGCCACATTACATTAGGTGTTCACAGCTTCTACAGCTTTGTAGGATCCTGCACTACAGGAAACTTCGGGTAGTACTGATTGTACAGGCTCTGGCAGATATCGTTATAGTCCGCACTTTCACCGTCTCCGACTACAGCGGCGAGTGCGCCCCTCAGCCCCAGTCGGCCCACCACGCCGCTGCCAGGCGAAGTCTTCGCCCACCCCGGCCCGGCGCTCGGATTCTTGATCCACCTGACGAACCAGTCGTGGACAGACTCGGCGAGCGCCTGCTGATGCACCGTGACGGTGTCGCGGATATTATCCGCCCATGCGGCGCCGCCGCCGTGGAAAAACGGCACCTCGCTGCCGTGCGTAGGCCCCGTGCCCGCGATGCCGAGCACGTTGTCGAAGTCGCCGAGCCACTTGTAGCGCCACACGTCAGTGGAGCGCGCGCGCACGTCGACCATGTAGTCGGTCGCGCACTCGAAGCGCACGTCGCCGTAGGACTGGCCGCTCATTGCCGCGATGCTGGGGAAAGCGCTGGTATTGTAGGCCGCGAGAAGCTCCGCTGTAGGAATGTGCGCCATCGCCGCGTCGAACGTGCGGATCCAGGAGGTGAACGGATTGTTGATCCCGCTGTACACGTATGAGAATAGGGCGCCTTCGTTCGCGGTGCTGCCGACGAGGAGGGGGACGTGCGTGGGGAACGCGCGGTCAGTGTACGACGAGAAGTGGGTTGTCTCGTCGACGACAGGCGCGAACCACGTGTTCGTCGTGCTGTTGAACGTGGCCGTCTCGATCTCGGCGACACTCTTCTTGCGGAGGCAGGCGAGCTGGCCGCTGCCGCTAGTAGGACAGCCGACCTCTGCGGCGATGGCGGAGAGGCCGACCCCGGCGGGGGCGTATGGTGGGCCGGAGACGGCGTTGGCGGACATCTCGAGGGCGCCGGCGAGCCAGGTGTCCGGGTGCGTCCAGAGGTAGTGGTCGACCATCACCGAGCCCGAGGAGTGGCCGCCCAGGACGATGCGCTCAGGGTCGCCGCCGAACGCCTGGATGTTGTCGTGCACCCAGTCCAGCGCCGCAGTCACATCCTGAATTCCGAAGTTCTGCACCCCGTCGAGTTCGGGGGAGTTCGGGAAGCCAAATACGCTCTCGCGGTGGTTCAGGTTGACGTACACGACGCTCTTGTTGGCAAAGTTGGCCCCCGTCAGACCGGGATTGCTGTTGCTCCCCGTTACCTGCGAGTGATCGTCAGTGGATGCTACATGCGAGTGAAAAACATATGAAGGGGATGGGTGTTTACCATTGCCCCGCCATATATGTAAACGAATACTGGCAGCTTCTTCCCCTTGGAGGGCGCCCAGATGTTGAGGTTGAGGCAATCTTCGTCTTGCGGCGAGAACTCAAAGTCGTCGCGGTAGGCCTGCGGACAGGTGTAGCCATAGCTCGTAGCGTTGAAGAAGGACGGTTTCTTCTTCTTCTTGAGAGGTTGCGGCGGTTTCCATCTATACCCCGCGGCGTCAATAAAATTTCCCGGAAGCCGAGAAAACCGGGGGAATCGCGCATGATGCCGCACCTATTCTCGCCGGCCGTCGACTCCGCGTACGGGATCCCTCGCCACACGTAACTGCCATTCTCGACGAGTCCGCGGACGACTGCATTGGTGATCGTGAGTGCCGTGGGCGCGCCATCACACAGCGCCGGGTTTCCCGTGATCACCGAGGCGGCCACGGAGAGGTAGCACCATACTGCAGCGAGGTCGACCATTTCTTTGTGGTGGTGGCCCGCTCGCTCGCTCGTCGTTCGAATGCTTTGGAAAGGGAGCGCAGTACGGCAACGACTGTGTGTGTGTGGTGGGTGTGGTATGGCGGGGCGATTCCGAGCGACTTGTGGCGATTGCTAATATATACGATGACACGGACCTTGAATTTCCGTGGTTGCTGCCGCCATTGTTATTTTGTTTTGGCCATTGCAACAGGCCTTATGCTGGAGATTGCCTTGTATGTTATGGATGTTGGAACTTGGTTGGTGTAAGGCGGTGATGGTGCTGGGGTTGGCCTTGGTACCATACCTAGCCCTGGACGCTCAGACGTGCGACGGTGCGAGCCCTCCATCCCACGCCGCTCGGACGCGGTCTCGGAGGGAGAATAAGTACCAATGTTTCGACAGGTTCGGGCCGCATGTTTACGAGGAGACCACAGGCCTCTCAGAATATTCGACGTGGCGGTGTGAACCGTGCTGAGGAAATTCGGTGGTGCGTACTGATACCATCCGTGCCTACGCACTTCTCCCCGACCTCGAGACTGTGCTTCACGGGGTAAATCAATAGGTAGTCAATTCAATCTGGAGAGATGATGCGTAGTTGGAGCGCGATTCATGTAAGTACTAGTTACCGTCATACCTACAAAAAGTCCCTCCAACTTCACAGCCCTACCCCGCTGTGCAGTTCTAAGTATTGCCATCAACAACTATAACTTTCGTACTATCCCCTTCACCACGGTTTTGCAGACGACTCTTCTGCCAATACCTCTCTAGGCCGGAGGCGGGGTTAAGCGGAGAGCACACAGAAGAAAGAGGAGATAGAGGTCGAACGTTTACTCTGTAGAGGGTGATCAAGAAAGAAGAAGAAGAAGAAGAAGAAGAAGAAGACCCCGCCGGACCCACTTGGTCGACCCCACCATGGTCGCCATGGCCGCCAACGTTGATGCCCACTGCTACTAACCCCATTCACTTCCTCCCGCCGACATCTCCTCCATCGCTCCGTCACAGCAGTCAACTGGTAACCAGTCAAACAAACGAATCAGATGAAATCCGTCCGAGAGGCGATAGAGTACTACCCAGTACTTTGGTGAGAGCTTGCGTTCTCGGCAGGGATTGCTATAGTTATAAACGGCGGACCTCCCACAGCATTGCTGAAGGCCCGTGAAGCTAGTAATCTGCTCGGTGGTTCGGCATTGGCGATCACGCGTGGCGCTGCGTCGTCACCCGTTCGCGAGATATCACTCGATACCTGCCCGTCCGGCGCAATTTGGACTGTAACTAAGTTTGTTTATTGAGCTGTTGGATTGTGGATATTGGAAACGGCGGGTAAATGTTGCTATGGTATACCTAGATAGGCCGCAAGTGATTAATGATTGAACCAAAAGTAGATGGATCTAGCCAGTGGCCAGAAGCCTCAAGGGCAGCAGCGGCGTCGAGAAAGCGGGTGAATCATGAGGCGTTCAAGCTGACCATCGTGGAGCCGGACGCCCGTGCAGTGGATTAGCCGCGTAATAATACGGTCAGTACGGCAAAAGGCTCATGCCGTCGCCTGCCTCGTTGTGCTGTTACCTGTAACTGGCCATCGCGGAGAAGAACCGGCAAGAGCAGATCTGCCAACAATGCAAACTGGTTCGAAATTTTGTCGGAACTGCACTGAACCGGCCAACTATGGAAGGGGCTAGAACTGAACTTCGTACAGAACCAGTTTGAATATTCAGTTGGAACTTGTCAAACTGAATAACTGGGAAATTGGTTGGTAGCATCCCAGGCCGCGAACGGGTAGCAGTTGCGAGGCAGAGGTGGCCGTCGACTCCACTCCGAGCCGGTCTGTCAAAAAATGGCAGCGAAACCATCGGCTTGGAAGGTTCGGTAGTCACAGGGCCGGGCCGGGTCAAGCTGGAGCTTGCAAGTTGCAGGCTGGTTCGTGATCCGTCCGCCGTGGGCTGTAGATTATCGGTAGTGAAATGAGAGCCAAGGCCGAAGAAGCTTGGCGAGCGGGGGCAGCTATATAAGATCCTCCGCAGGACCGTAGCGGAGAGAGAAGTCTAATGAACCATCATTCAACCATTCTCCTCTCTTGCCGCTCCGTCGGCCCTTCGTTCCTCATGGGTACCTAGTCGGGCAGAAAGTCTTCATCCGCCTTACCTACTCGGCCCATTGATTGGTAGGTAGTACGGCGCGGCAGTACAGTGCGTCAGTCAACTGATTCGCAGGAGGGTGGGCATGGTATTACCGTACCGTACTCCTTACTGCTCTGCAGTGTATTCGTCGTCGTTGTCGTCCGCTTATGTACATACTTGGTAGGTAGCCAACCAATCGCCCAGGAGCATTGCGGGCTCGAGTGGGGTTGATTGATTTTTCATACAGCACGGAACCCTAAGGTGATGGCTTCCGTGCTGTATGAATTGTCAATCAACTACACTCGAGCTCGCGATACTCTGCTCCAGTGGAGTGCGGTGGGGTGAAGTGAAGTAAACATCACTCCGCCTCCACATCTCGTCCTCCCTGGGACATCGTAGACTTAGTTATAGTATACCAGATGTTTTCACGATTTCGACGTGCATGGCGGCCTGCCCACTGTCACTCAGGAGGGGGCACCTGGATAAGTGGGAGGAACGGGCTGGGCGGAAGCTACTATAAGTAGTATGTAGCATCCAATCTCTCCCTCTCTGTCTGCTTAGATTATACATTCAATTAAGTTTCTACATATATCATTACATCCACCTCGTCATCTAGCCGTATGGTTGACCTAGATATGTCTCGGAAAATCCACCGTCCGCTGACTTCTGAGAAGACTTCTCCGAATCTCTACGGGTATAGACCGAGGACTGGAGTGGCGTGTGGGCAGATCTCTGCCATGTGGGACTGATAGCTGGCCACCACGGCCCGGGGGGCTCTCTCTTTCTGCACTCCAGCGCCCCGCCGTCTACCCGTTCGCCGTCTCGGTCTCCATCCTCTCGGCCCTTATGCCTGTCCTCATATGTATGATACGTATATACCCCACTTCACTGTCCATCCTCCAACCCAGCCCCCCGCTCTCCTGCTATATTTCAGCTTTGGGCTGTATTGGCACGACACCTGATTTGTTCACCGCGGCCGAGTAGCTGCGTTAAATCCTCCAAGCTCTTCTCGTCTGCAACCTGCAGCGCTGTGCCGCAGCCCGAGCCCTGGGCCTCAGTGTAAGCGCCGTAGTCGAGCAGCAGCTGGACTGTGATTGTATGTCCGGAGCTAACCGCGCGGTGAAGCGGTGTCCAGCCCAAATCATCTTTGGCATTGGTGTTGGCCCCGCGGTCTAGAAGCTGTTGCATTATGACCGTATACCCGCGCGTGGCAGCCTGGTGAAGCGGTGTCCAGCCCGAATTGTCTTTGGCCTCGATGTTGGCACAGCGGTCGAGCAGTAGCTGCACCATGTCCGCATTGCTGTCCCAAGCCGCGCGATGAAGCGGCGTCCAGCCGTTTACGACCTTGGCCTCGATGTCGGCTCCGCGGTCGAGTAGTTGTTGCACTATGGCTGTACGGCCGCGCCGGGTTGCCTGGTGAAGCGGCGTCCAGCCGGCAACGTCTTTAGGTTCGGTGTCGGCTCCTCGGCCAAGCAGTTGCCGCACTATGGCTGTATACCCGCGCGTAACTGCCCGGTGAAGCGGCGTCCATCTCAAATCGTCTTTGGCCTCGGTGTTTGCACCGCGATCGAGAAGTAACTGTACCACATCTGTTCGACCTGCCCATACCGCTATATGTAACGTCGTCAGGCTATTCTTAGCCTTTCCCTCGATGTCGGCGCCGAGGTCGAGAAGCAGTTGTACCATATCCGTTCGACCTGCCTCTACCGCTGTGTGCAGCGTCGTCAGGCCGTCCTTGGTCTTTGCCTCGATTTCGGCACCATGGTTGAGCAGCAGCTGAACCGTACCAATATGTTCCGAGATAACCGCGCATTGCAAGGCCGTGTATCCGTTGTCATCCCACGAATCTATGAGACCACCGACAACCTTTACAAGCGCCTCGACGGCGGCGTTGTCACCCTTGCGGGCTGCAGCGTGTAACAGAGAGATCTGTTGCCTTAGAGGTGTCAAGAGATGCCCTATTCCGACGTCGCCATCTCGCTGCCGCTGGAATTGCTCCACGGGAATCCTCCTGCTCGCAAGCTTATCATAGGATTCCCCCTGACCATGAGGGTAAATGTAGCCATTGTTCAACTCAGAGATGTATACCGGGAGACAGATGACCGATATGTTTGAGATCTGGGCCATGCTCAGCCCGGTGAGTTGAGACCATCTAGAATCCGTCGTGCCGATAGTCATGCAAGAGCTACTTGAAGAGTTTTTGTATGCCTTTTTGTACACCCGGGTCTCAACCAGGGTCTGTTCAAAGGCGATCGTGAAGCGGCGAGAGCATCTTTTGGGTTCTGTGGAGAGGATTGAGGTTTTGGAACGAATTGATGATACGTCGTCATTGTTCTCGGATGATCTGGCCGCTTCCAATCGCTCTGCGAGGGCCGGAATCACCCGCAATACCTCGGCCAAGTTGTGCTTCAATTCTGCGTTTTCCTGTTGCATTTGCTGCATTGACGTGCTAAACTTCAATGTTAGCATGTATGTATTTCCATGGCCACAGCAGAACTTTGGGGTTTGGACCGACCAAGTATACACCGAGAGCAACAGGCTCAGCGATGTTTTGTGCATTTGCAGGTTCCGCAGTATCTTGGCGATATCCTGGTCCTTTGCTGCCCACTTGACGCTATCCCAGGCGCCAAACTTGGATCTAGGACCGTCACCGTCACCATCATCGGCTTTGAGGCCTTCGAGCTCCTTGTCGAGTTCGGAGAAGGCGCAAACGCAGCCCGTCAGAGCAATGATCAGATCCTCGACGTAGATCCTGGATTTCCGGGCCGTGCTGTGCTCGGCGAAATGGACTATGAATTCCTCCAGCTGGCGAAAGATTCCGTGCAGAGCATTGACCTCGGCGAGCACGGCACGCGCGGTACTGGGGGCGTCGACGGCGGTAGAGAGGAACCCGATGACCTTTGCTCCGATCTGCAGTAGGCCGGCGACCGACGCCGCAACTGAAAGAGGGTCCATTCTGATGTTCGTGACGCGTATGTAGCGAGTCGTTCTCGTTCTCAACGGGCGGGAGGATTCAGTGCGAGGAGAACGCGTTCGTGAGGCGGCCAGTTGCAGAGCTGGGCTCTCCAAATATTACCCCATAGCTGCGAGCCTTGTGCAACGCAACACCAATGCCATGGCAGTGCTGACCTGTGTTCGTCTAAAGTGCGCACACGCACACGCAGACCAAATTAGTACAGATGATTATGTCTGGAACTCCAAAATCGCGACGCGAACGGTGAGATTTAAGTATCTACCTCAACCCAGGATCGATGGACGCAAGTAAGTACTACATGTAGTACCCTGGCTACGGATTTGACGAGCATGGCGGCCCGCCCACCGCACCACCTCGTGGCCGTTGGAATTGCTCTACGGAGAGCTCCTCCACTCGTGACCTTGTTAGAGTACTGGTTTCCCCCTGAGGGTGGTTGCGGTACATACAGGCGGCGGGACGAGAGGCGGGTTCAGTGTTTATTTCGAACGTTCTTTCTTAGTGCACGCCCTATACCAACCTTGCAGAGATCGATGGTGCCGGTAGTGGAGTTAGTGATGTGTTATGCATTTGTATGTAGGGTGCGTAGTATCCTCGCGATCATATCTCGATCTTTCGGTACCCACTTGGTGATGATACTAGGTAGCCGAGTTGGACTTCCCCGGCATTGGCTCGAGTTACTATTCCTTTTTTCGGTTTGTTTCTTCATTGATTGTGTGCAGCCTATCCAGACTATGGTGATTTACACGCTCTTGACAATCATGTCCACGGTTCCGGTAACGGGCTCGGTGCAACAGCCTCGTCTCCCTCAGTCTTCCGCCTTGCCGCGCAGCCGCAGTGCTAACCTTTTCACAACGCTGAATATCCCCGAGCTGGACTGATAACGACAGGGAGAAAAACATAGGAAAGGGAGGAAAGACCGTCCACATTCTACTCTTCCATCGCCTCCGCTTGCCTCTCCGCTTCGTTCGCCGTCTCCCTGCCCAATAGATCCAGGAAGGCCATACCTAGCTTCCTCTCGCCGTCCATTCCCTCGCAATTCCTCCGACTTGAGCTGGTAGAACCGTGCCGCTTGTCAGAGTCAGAGAGGTGGCCTTCGCTGGACTGCTTCCTTTCACACTATAAGCGGGCACTCTGGCCACTTCATTTCAGATATGGGTAGGTTGAAGTGTGTCCGAAGTGTTTGCTGACTTCGACCAGCCACCCAACTCCATTCCGGTCCGCTGGCTGGTAATACTGTTCCTAGCGTCCATCACTTCTCAAAGCCAGATGAGTGACTGTGATGCAGTGGCTCCGGAATAAACATGCAGGGTGCACTGTTTGTCTGGTATTCCGTTTGAGACCGCGTTTGTGTGCTCTAGTTAAATAGTTTCCCCTACATAAGTTACATAAGTTCTTGGTCAGATATGTGGGATTATGATGGATATATCACTGGCGAAATGAGATGTGCGGCTGGCCCAAGGGCAGTGCAGGCAACAGCCCGAAAAGCCCACGGGCTGGGCTGGGGCTGGTGGGCTGATTTGATAGCCCGGGCTATCAGTTGGGCCGGGCGGGCTGGATCCTAGAGTCGGTATGGTAGGGTAACACCACGACAATCGATAGGAAACAACGTTGATAGGCAGCGGCGCAGCAACGGGCCGTGGTGGTACTAGAGCTTTCTTTCGACCAGCGGCGCTGGCAGGAAAGGAAAGGTTTGGAAGTTGGTGGTCGCCATAGTCTAGTAAGGTCGCGTGCGATAATAATTGACGTTCTCTCTCTCTCATGATAGATAGGTAACAGTCCCACGCCGGCAGCGCCCTTAAGAAAGAAAGCCTGAAGAAACAGGAGGAAAAAACAGTACATGAAATGTCAAGCTACTCTACTAAGAAGACAGGTCCACAGTGGCGGAAGCATGCCAATGTCGCAAACATTCGCAGGCCTCAATGATCTCCGGCTTCAACCCAACCATGAGTTTATCGCTACTAAACACTCGTTCTACCTCTGCCGACATATGCGGAGGTTATTCTCTTGCGGTTGTTGTTGGGATACAGGAGGTGGCCGTGCCGGATCCACCACCCTCGACGATACTAGCAGTGAGACGCATCATTGGAGCTCTCTCGCCGTCGGCCAGTGTGCTGCTCCATTTCCGCTGGACAGCCGTATTTGGCGTTACAGCACAAATGTACCCCCATCTTGATGCGGTCCGCTAGCGTCGGAATGCGGCAACAGCTCGCTTGATTTCAACGTTTATTTAGCGAGGAACAGCGGCTCACAAGCGTCCCCGCTACCAAGTTCTGGGACCGCTACCAACTATTTAGTCTTCCGTCCCCTCACATCCCTTCCCCACACTCCCTCTCTTAAGTGTCACCAGACACTTCCTCCTCCCACTCCCGTCCACACTCAATCCCCACACTCCTTCCATTCTTCCATCCCCCACTCCATCCCTTCTTCCATCCCCCACTCCGTCATCTTCAATATGCCTCCGGATCCGCCCGTGGCTACGAACCAGCCTACCGCCAGTACGAACCAACCTACCGCCACAATGAATCACCCTGACGCCGCTACGATTTGCACCGACGTCGCCTTGCTTTCGTCGCTCCTCAGCTACGAACAGCGCCTCAAGGTCTTGAACCATCATCAGCTCTACGACCTTCTCCGTCACCTGAGGCAAGACTTTCCGGGGATGCCGGCTCTCAGTGCCGACGAACTGGAGAAGAAGGTGGTCCCACGAGAGCGTCTCAGTGGTGTTCTCAGCGGCGACGGCGGCGACCTTCCTCTAAGTGTTAAAATCCTTCGTCTCCTCAACCACCGCCAGCTTCGCGCCATTGCTAGTGAAATCGACGGCATGGCCGGCGTGCGACTCCGCGTCCTCACCTCCGAGTTGGTCCTGAAGAAGGAACAATATATCTCGGCCCTTACTATACCCCAGCGCCACTATTTGGAAGCTCACATGCCGGGACTTCTCCAGCTGGAGGAGAGCAAGTGTCTGACCCAACTACGCTTGGCTGACGAATTTTCCCCCGATGTCATTCGCAAGATCCACGAGACACTTATCCAGGTTTTGGTGAACGCCATGCCCGAAGTGGACGCGCCACAGCAGGTGAATCACGACGCAGGTGGTGGAAATGGTGCCCCAGTGGTATCGGGACCCGAGCAAGAGCCCGACGAGCAGCACAAGAAGGAAGCCGACCCCGCATCCGAAAACGACAGCGACAGAGAAGAGACCATCGATAAAACGCGCATTCCCGTTTACGAACAGATGGGCTATCACAGCTCAAACGCTGCGGGCTACAAATTCGATCGACGGGTTGCCGTAAAGGCTCTGACCGGGGCTCCGAACCGATTGAAGCTCGTCAATCAGCTGGAATGGACGTCGCTCGACACTTCTGTCCAGAACGCCATAGTCGAAAAGGTTCACCAGGCTCTTCCAGCGCACAACCTCGAGTTGTGTCGCCGCCTGGTTTGTCAGATCATTCGTCCCCTCCCCACCGGCACACTTCACCCGAAAAAGAAGAGGCGCATTGATTCGCCCAACGCCTAGATTCGCCCAACGCCCAAGGACAGAAGAGCTGGTGGTAAGATGAGGGTCTTTTTTAGGTGTGGGTGATCGGGTGAAAAAATGGACGGTGCTGACTTCGGGTTGTTCTTGGTTTTCTGTTTGTGTGGGGTGGAGTGCTACTCTTCTGCAGTGGCCTGCGGTGGGAAGTTGAACTTTCCTTCGGTCGATTGTGTGCTCATGAGGAGTTGATAGGGATTACCGACTACTTGTGTAAGTACTTGAGTGCTTACATCTTACACTTTGTACTGACTTGCATGGTTTTTTTTATCTTTAGCTTAGTTTTCTGATTGGGTGGAGTGCTACTCTTCTGCAGTGGCCTGCGGTGGGCAGTTGAACTTTTCTTCGGTTGAATTGTGTGCTCATGAGGAGTTGATAGAGATTACCGGCTACTTGCCTACATGATTTTTTTATCTTTAGATTGCGGCATACGTAGTAATGGGAGGGAACAGACATCATCCTCAATGAATCCCCTTTTTCTCTTATGCTCACACATCTAGATACCTATGGTGGCTGTATTTGAGAATTGCAACGTCGATATATCCGATGGAGGCCTGCACCTGAGTTTCCTTTCCTCGCACGCACGAATAGGATGGTGGATGTGCTACGTAGGTGGGTACATAGCCTAGGTATGCGATATGCCTCAGTGGCAGCGGCGGCGGGGATGAGAGGGTATGCAGCGACGATTGTGTCGTTCTTAGTGCCTGGCTAATGGATCTTATGATCTAGGGGGTACTACATATTGGGTACATGCGTATGCCTAATCGGCAGTAATTTTCATCTTTTTGATTTGTAGTTAATCGCTTGCGACCCATCAGATCGTGGCAATATACACACACCGTTTCCGTATATAACTATTACCGGCAATATTGTAGTTTTTGTTGTATCGTTAATTGCTTGCGACCTATCTGGACCATGGAAATACACGCTCCGCTTCGTCATACACTGTCCAGCCCAACAATAGCCAGTAACAGTGTGTAAACCACCGGCGCCAGAGACACTATGTGAGTGATTTTCTATGACTGCAACACTACCACTGATCGACGGGGTTGGGATTGAGTTTGAAGGTTGAAGGTCAGCTGCGAGGGTGAAAAGATGATCCGGTTCAGAGGATAAGACAAAGACACGGAGAATCGTTAAATGTTTGCGCTACACTCCGAATAGGTAACCTCTTATCCCAGCCGAGTCCCGACCCAGTGACGAATCACGAGTCCCAACACGGCGATTCCCGCACTCACGTGTCATCACGTCTACTCGCGCCAATCGTCCAAACGCGTTCGCCCGCCAACCGTGCCCCAACCCAACCACCATGCCGCCGCCTCTAGACCCCGTCTTCGAATCGCACGTCCAAAAGATCCACCAGATCACGGGCAAGGCACTCAACGAAATCCGCTGCGACCTGCGATTTACCCAGAGCGCTGAGGCTACGACCAACAGGGTTTACGATGGGACGTTCTTGGCCGGTACTGAGAGGGATCCGACGAGGATGACGGGTATCCGGAAGGGATTGTTCCTGCTGCGCCCATCGACTTCGCCCGCTGCTGCCGCTGTGGGGCGGATGGATGATCGGTGAGATACCAGGTGCCATGTTTCTCTTTTGCGTTGCCCACCAACTGCTGACGGCGACGGTCGTCAGCTTCATGACCGATCCAGGTGCAGCTGGGGGGCAGGGTTCAAGCTTCTCGCCGGCAGCTAGCGGCGCGAAGAACGATCGCTTCAACACGTCGGATCATAAAAACCTTTACGCAGTCGACTCCTTCTCGTCCCTCCCAGCAAGAGGAAACGGCATAAAACATCCGCCCACAGACTCGAGTCCGACGCTCCCGATCCGACCGACACCACCACCATATCCCTCGTCGGCGCCGCTACTTCCCATACCACCGGCAATCAAACCCTCGTCATCTTCGGGGCCACTGTTCAATCTCGAACTTCCAGGGATGGATCTAAACCCGATAGAGTTTTCGTCTTCGGCGCCGCAACTACAGTCACGTCCGCGACATCCCATACGGCGACCGGCACAGCGACCGCCGCCACCGCCGCCAACGGGAGAAGTTATCGATCTCCTCTCCAGCGGGGACGAGCTCCCCTCAGTGATCATCCCCGCCAAACGGAAACCCAAGGAGAAGGAGCAAATCAAAGCAGTTGAGCGTTCACCCGGCAACAAGAAACGGAAGAGTCAAGGTACTGCAGAACTACTGGATCTCAGCAACATCCAGGTTCTCGATCTCTCGCAACCGGATGTGACGCCGCGTAGTGGGTTGATCCCGTCTAAGACGCCCGGAAGAAGCAGGGTACCACGAATCGCTGTTGAGGCCAGGGACGAGATAGTAGCTTCTTGTTCGTCTTCGCCACAGGCTGCAAAGAGCATTGGGGGAGTTCCGGATACCAGGGAGGAACCGGTCTACTTCAACAGTGACTTTGACGACAGCCTGTTGGGAAACTGGCGCTCACCCGTATCGGCTCCCAAGATGAAGGCCACAGCTACAGGAAACCCGGCTTTGTTGGTTCTTTCGGACTCTGATGACTCCGACGACTTGGATATGCTTTTGGGGACAGCAGCACAAAAGTCTACTCGGACTCAGAAGACTACTACAAACTCTGTCCGTCCCTTCAGCGCAAAGACTTTGGAGATTTTAGCAAAGTTCAAGTCTGTTCCTGACGACGACGACTCAGATAATGAAAACCCACCTTCAACAGAGAAAAGACATCCCGTCATCAAGCGAAAGACCACTACAAAGAAGGCATCCGCTCCTACTTCCCGCGCTACATCCGCTCCCGTCCCCGCTGCAGCTGCATCAAAACGCGGAGGACTGTCCGAGGAGGAGAAAGCCCATCGCGCCGCCGAGAAGGCCGCCGAAAAGGCCAAAAAAGAGGAGGCAGCACGAGCCAAAAAAGAAGCCAAAGAAGCAGCGGCAGCCGAAAAGCGTCGCGAGCAAGAACTTGCATCGTTCAACAAGCTTCGAACATCCAAGAAAGACTCCTCACCCGAAATGATCGTCGACATCTCCACCGCCCTCGCCAGGGACGATGTTGGAACAAGGCTGGTTGGGCTCTTGAAGGATTTGGGTTCCGACCCTCGCCCTACGTGGCAACTTTCGGGAATCGAGCGCGATTGGAAGGTCGTCAAGTGGAGGCGCGAGGTCAAGGCGGAATACAATCCAGCTCTCTCCGTATTCGTCCCGCTCCCACAGAAGGAAATCAGAAACGAGAAGCACATTCTCGTGCACCTCACAGCTAAGGAATTCGTCGAGCTTGCCTACCCCGAGGACGCAGACGCTCTCCTGAATCTAGACGCCCACGTCAAGATCATGAAGAAGCTCGTTCGCGGCCCCGACGTTCGAGTCATCTACATGATCGACGGCCTCGTTGCCTACGCACGCAAGTCGAAGGCTACAAAGAACAATAACTTCCGCGCACAGGTTCTCTCTGCTATGGACGGCGCTCCAGCACCCGCCGCCCGTCGCGCCGCCCCCTCGGCCCGTATCATCGATGAAGAGATGCTCGAAGACGCGCTCCTCAAGCTGCAGGTCAAGCACTCCTGTCTGATCCAGCAAACCGCGGGCTCCATCGAAAGCGCAGAATGGATTTCAATCCTCACGGGCGACATATCGACAATCCCCTACAAGACCTCGCGCATGGTCTTAGACACCAGCTTCTGCACCGACGTGGGACAGGTCAAGACCGGTGTCGATACTATGGATACGTGGTCCAAGATGCTGCAGGAGATTCATCGCGTCACCCCGGCTGTCGCCAATGGAATCACCGATAGGTATCCCGACGCCCGCAGCCTTATCCGCGCCTTTGAGACGCTGGGCGAGGGCGCGGTGGCGGATGTGCCGCTTATGGCTACCCGTAATGGCGCACCGAGTAATCGCCCGGTGGGAATGGCGTTGAGCAGAAGGATTTGCACTGTCTTTGCGGGGAAGGACGAGGATTGCTTGGATGTGTGAGGGAGTATCTGGGCGTTTGGTCTGCTTTATTAGATAGTATGGTGGAAGAACTGGGAGTCTGGTGCCTGTATTATTGCTACTACTTTGAGTTCTTCTCTTGCTTGCTGCATTTCTTTGCTTATTCGCTGGGGAATCGGGCGCGTATGGTTATTTGTGGGGAGTGAGATTGAGTGAAGGTTGTTTATGCTTGCTTATTCCGGAGACATCTGGCTGGTATACACTTATTATCATAAACGATGGAGATAACTAGAGGAGAGAGTGCGGACGGTCCAGATTTGGCGAGTGAGAGGGGAGGTATATGATGAGGAGTAATACTAGTAATTTCAACAGGCCGAGTGTCCTGCGTGCAGGCTTGGCCTAGGTACTTTAGAATAGGTAACAGCGACTCTTAGCCACGGCATTCTCCGTCCTCGACATCCGTCGCGTCTCCCCAGCACCATCACGCCCCGCACTCGCACCCAACACCACGATAACCATGAGCAAATACTACGATATCGATGCCATCCTAACCGACGCCCAAGTCCCTCTCCCCTCCCCCTCCGCCTCTCCCGTCCTACTAACCAACGCAGAAACTCCCCTGCACCTTCGAACACGACGTCCCGGGCCTGGGCTACCTCGAGTCCTCATCGAGCAGCCCGGACATCAAAGCGGGCACGCGGCTGCAGCTCCCTGTCTGGCTCGCCGAGATGCTAGCGGTCTCGCAGCGCCTGGGCACGCTGTCAGACGTGATCACGCTGGACATACCTGTCGCACTCTCTCCGCGCGTGCAGAATGCACTCAAGGCCGATCCTAGGACCGTCGAGCTGCGGAGTTTGGCTACGCACTTTTATGGTCTCGGAGAACGCGTGCTGGGACTGTTTGAGGAGGAGGTGCTGTGCGATGTGCTTGTCTCGGTGGGATACTACTCTCTCCCTCTACCGCGACCCGCATGGGGACGGAAAGTATGCTGACCCGGGGGCGCGGGGTAGACGTACAAGCTTAGAGCAGCTGAGATCGCGGATCTTGCGCATAATCCGCAGGGTGCAATGGGCGGCGAGGCGGGCGCGTTCCTGCGCGGGCTAGATGAGGAGGAGAGGCAGTGTGAGTTCTCCTTCCCCGCACGCACGTGAAATCGGATCGGCTGCTGGGCGGGCTTGCACTGACGGTGCGATCGATCGGTCGATAGTGTTTCGCGTTGCCCATGAGAGCTCGAAGGCGATCAAGATGTATCTCGGAGGTGGGGAGAAGAAGAAGTGATATAGGTAATACGGTGCCAATGCGATTCACGACGATACGAGCTACATACTTGCCTATAAACGGAACGGGTTTTGGAGGTGCGATGATGTACAAACGAAGTACCGAATTGTCGTGGGATGGAGTATCGGTGGTACGATGGCTATCACGTTGGGCTCACCCGTGGATACGGCTGAGATCCATATGTGTCATCTTGCTGGAAGCAATTACGAGTCCGGCAGCGGTGGACTAAGGTCAAGTACCTAGGGGCTGCCTTCACGGTCCCAAATTCCCAATCATCATTCCTGATGCCTATCTCCATCTCCACCTCCATACCTATCTCCATCCCCACCACAAGCACAAGCACAAGCATGTCCACCACGATTGGCCCGCGAGAAGCGAATACCACACATGATACTACCGTTTCGTTATGAGAGTCTGAGACAAGAACGTAAAACGAACATGTTACCTATCCCAGCGCCGTGGATAAACCCTCCGGCTCGCTAAGCGGGTCAATCATCACCTATGTGCGCCGTGAAGCGACGAAAAAGAAAAAGAAAAAAAGGAAGGAAGGAAGCGATGTGCATGGCTGCGAATGCATTTTTTCCCTCTTGTCGTCGTCAACTACCGTATGCTCTACAGTAGAGTACGCGAGGGAGAAGAAGGTCTACTGCTCCGGACCTCCGGCCTTCGTATGTAGAGCTCGGTGCATAGTACTGGTAGAGGTGGAGGATTAGAAAGTGAAGATTCGGTAATCCGGTGGTCCTGTGGATGCTGTCAGACTCTGGACTCTGGTGCGTGTGGGCAGTGGAACACGATGCTGTGATGCTGCGATGGCGACGCTGCATTATGCATATCGACGATACCCACACTTCGCATGTGGGCACCAGCGGGGTAGGTACTTTGGCATAGGTAGTTCGAGAATCGAAACACTGTTAACTACGGTACTGCGGTCACGACACAAAACCAATAGCAACGATTTCCCAGTGAAGTTCCCACAGTCAACCCATAGTAGGTACACAAGTGGGCAGATACAGTCAGCGATGCAAACCAGCCGCGTAATTCCTTCCAGCTGATGGTGCATTCGAGGACCCGGAATCACGCCCGCTTGTCCGGGTTGTATTTGGAGCGTGCTGGACTATGTACCATAGTTATCGTCCAAGTCCTGGAGTCGTGAGCGGTGTCGAAGATTCGAAAAATGTCAGACGTCGACATGCAGAATGGAGTGCAGCATCAAGCCCTGTAGAATATGTACTCTAGATTAGCGATCGCCGTTGCCGGGTCGTCAGCGTCATGACATGACATCCCGGCCAGGTAGCTGGGAATGGCGGGGAGCAGCGATTCCGCGATTGTGGAGACCCCCGGCCGATTACTGGTGCGAAATGTGCTAGGTGCCCAATCGTAATCTAGGCGGGCGAGCACCATTATGCAGATATAAAAGTGCTGCTCTCGGCTTATGAAGCGGAGGAGATTTGTTCTTGTAGACGCTTCAATTCAATATACCCCGTTTCGTTTCGTTTCTGGCTTTCTTTCTTTGCTGCCTCCATCGTTGAAGATCGATACCGCCCCAGAACTCACTGTACCGGTCATGGTGTTCGGATTCGCTACCAGAGAGAGTCCTGATTTCGAGGAGAAGAGGGAGGATGAGGAGGAAGAGGAGAAGGAGCAGGCGTATAATGACTGGCCTAATACTGCTGGGGTGAGTGATCCTCTTCTCATCTCTGCCTTGTGTCTGCCGCCTAACTCGTGTCTAGTTTGACGGATTCCACGAGGAGACCGCGCCCGTCGAGCTGGTGGTGAAGGGGAACATACCTGAATATGCCCTGTGAGCTCCCACCATCTTCGAAGAGATGATCGCCTCCGCTGACATGTCCTCTTTACAGCGGCGTGCTCTATAGAACCGGTCCGGGAGGGTGCGTAATCCCAATCGATCAATCCACCCGCCCGCAACCGCACTGACAGTCCCACCAGCTATGACGTCCCCACCTCCAAGGGCACAACCTTCAGCATCAGCCATTGGTTCGACGGCTTCGGGCAAACGCACCGCTTCCAGCTGCTCTCTTCCACCCGGGTTCTGTACAACTCGCGGCACTCAACCGACAGCCTCGTGGCGCACGTGCGGCGCACCGGCAACATCCCCAGCAGCTTCACGTTCGCGCAGCGCCGCGACCCGTGCCAGAGCCTATGGCGGCTGTTCCTGACAACGTTCCAGCCGGCGATGTCGGAGCTGGAGGGGAAAGCCGACGGGCTGAACATCGCGGTGACCGTATCGCGCGACGTCCCCGGCCTGCCCGCTACCGCGAAGGACGGCAAGCGCAGTCTCTACACCGCCACGGATGCGTCCGTGCTGCAGGGCCTGGACCCGGATACCCTGGAGCCGGTGGGGATCGCGCGGCAGACGGACCTGCACCCTGAGCTGAAGGGACAGGTTTCGTCGGCGCATGCGCACGTCGACCCCGAAACGGGGGATCTGTTCAACTACAACCTCGACATCGGCCGCACCGTTACCTACCGTGTCTTCAAGACGTGCAAGGCGACGGGGGAAACGGAGGTGCTCGGGACCATTACCGATGCGCCGCCCGCATATATCCACTCCTTCTTCATGACGGAAAACTTCGTCGTGCTGTGCGTGTACTCGGCGCACTTCGGCATGGGCGGCATCAAGATCCTGTACAACAAGAATATGCTGGACGCACTCGACGATGTGTCCGCGGACAGACGGGCGAGCTGGTATGTTGTCGACCGGCGACACGGACGGGGCGTGGTTAGGAAGTACACTTCCGATGCGTTCTTTGCGTTCCATTCCGTCAATGCGTGGGAGGAGGATGGCGGCATCGTCGCCGAGGTGCCCGCGTACGAGAATATCGACATCATCAAGAAGTTCTACCTTCACAACATGAAGGGCGAGACGGATGAGGCGAGGAAGTGGATAGCCGAGGGGCGCTCAAGGTTCAGCAGGTTCTGGTTGCCGGGGCTGGACGATGTTGAGGCCGGCGAGGGGAAGGCACAGCTGGTATGGGCGAGGGAGGCGGATATGTCCATGGAGCTCCCCTCGATCAACCCTCAATTCTCGACCAAGCCCACGCGGTACGTCTCTCTCCACCCCATCCTCCACCCAGCTCACCCAGCTCACCCCACTAACCCACCACCAGGTACACATACGGCCTAACCAACCGCCTCAAATCCACGCTGATGGACGGAATCATGAAGCACGACAGTGCCACGGGGGGCCACCTGCTATGGGAGGAACACGCGCACACACCCGGCGAAGCCATCTTTGTGCCCGACCCCGCAGGCACAGACGAGGACGATGGCGTTCTGATGAGCGTCGTGCTGAATGGAAGGACCGGATTGAGCTACCTCCTCGTCTTGGATGCGAAGACGCTCAAGGAGGTGGCCCGCGCTGAGATGCGCTGCGCGGTGTTGGTCGGGTTTCATGGGAGTTTCGTGGGTGCTTAGGGAGCGAGGGGGAGGGGGCGTTTGGGTGGTGTGGAATTGGGTATTAGGTTTTGGCATACGCTGCGTTAGTATTGTTTACGATTTTGTTCGTACTCAATTGAGTGAGCCGGCCAGATTGGATTGGGCGGGGACAGTATTCCGGGAGCTTTCCGTGTGCGAGGACGAGGGGACTGCAATGTGCATTGTGCATTGAGATTCGAGAGGTTGGTATTCAAATATACCTCATGGTGACCAATCATGATTCATCAAGCCTCAAGTTCCGACGACGACTTGCACTTGCACTTGCACCGGTACATCTAGTAGGTAGCAAAAAGTGAAGTGGGATTGATACGGGAGGAATACCGCGGTCATTTGAATACCGACGAACGACCAGATTTTATTTGGCCAACTTCGGTAGTACTACGTGATCAGCGACCAGATGGCTGCGGTTTCAGTGATCACTACCGAAATACTTCCGTGCTTGCAGAAAGAGATGCTCACCAGTACTTCAAAGTCCGTAGATATACATACAATGCGATCTTTTGGAGTACCATGGGCTTTGGTAGATGCAGGAGCACAACAGAGTTTTGGGAAGTGTAACTGATATTGGAGATGCCAAAGTAATGTTGAAGGGCTGTCATAGTACTGGAGGAATCCGGCAGAACTACAGCAGCGGAAAACACCACGCAGTGTTGGCACTGCCCGATAGTTGCTTCTCGATTCCGTAGGGACTCAGCAGCTCTACTATATTTAGCTCAATCCGAATGGTTTCCTCTACGGTTTTTATTCCGTAGGCCTACAGCACTTCCTGCACTACACGAATGTCGTAAATATTTGCTTGCGTACAGCACGGCTTACTCACTGTACGTATTCCTGGAACTAGAGGGTTTCTACCGTGTGCATACCGGGTTCAGTGACCAGTGCATTCTGCCCACCACGGCATTTCGTCTGTAGGACTCTTGTCGGCATGACAACGTTTTCTCTGCAATACGTTGTTGCGCGAATTGGGTAGTTCTCTGGTAGGTCTCTGGTAGTTCTCCGGTATTCTGGACAGTGCGTAACACCTTACATTCAGAAGAACCGCGGTAGTTCTTCCGGTGTTTTGGTAAGCGTATCTTTACAACACTGCGTATAATTTGTCGATACTGCAGAAATGAGAATACTAGTATAGAAAACAAAATATCAGAATAAATCTGTATTCTTTACGACTGCTGGATGTAAATCTGAGCGGTAGTACTACTGGGGAACTTCGGGCATCAATCGCACCCCATCTTTTGCTCCTGTAATTAACAAGCTGGGACTCCGTCTTTGAAGAAGTGCGAACTCCGTAGGCAGTTGTGTAGGAACGGTATCCGGATTTAGGAGCAAATTTTCTTCATCATAAGACTGCACAGCTTCCAAGAATCTAGGTTGCATCAAATTCGGATAATACATAACACGAGGTAGATGCAGGATCACAACCAGATCCCCAAAAATACGTCTTGCAATGAACACCCATCAAATACCACTTTATATACAAGACTGAGGTGCCGCCTAACGTTCGCCGCGTAATCATATGCTCGTCGACACTCGGCCACAGCCGTTGAGCGTCCTGTACTCTACGTAGAACGGAACGATGGGAGTGACGACGTACGGTTAGGCAGTCAAACAATTTATTGGTGAGTGTCTCGGTACATACAGAAAGAAGAACCACAAGATTGAAGAGAGCCCGCCGCTCCACTGCCCGTCTCCTCCCAAAACTAAGAAACCACTATATAAACATTCGATCCAACGCTCCACACTGTGACCGTCGAGGCTCGGTCTCGACCTTCCACCGCGAAACCCTATCCGTGCCGACGTCTCCGGACGACTACCTAGAGTTTGCCACTTCCCCTCGAACGGAGAAAGTACACAAATGGTACAGACTGGAAAGAAGGAACAGCAAGGGCCAATACGATAACGAGACGTTCCGATTGGTCCTCGCAGAACATGGCATCACCTTCGACTCTCCGAGCCTTCGCCGCCAGACACTCAACATAGGAACGGCGTGTTCGAGCGGTGATTCAGACGCATAACATGAAGGCCCGATATATGCTACTGGATAGCAACCTTACACCGAGCGTGCAGGACCCAGGTATTTTGCGGTGGGTACTGATACTGCTTCTGCCCACCTACGCGGTGGAAGATTGCTGTCCAGTAGCATAGCTCGAGCCTTCGTGTTGTGAGTCGGGATCATTCGCTCGGACACGCCGTTCTCATGCTGAGTGTATGGCGGCGGTGGCTCGGAGGTGATGCCATGGTCTGCGAGGATCGATCGGAACGAGTCATCTCGTTGTCGTATTCGCCCTTGCCGTTCCTTCTTCTTCAATCTGTACCTACTTTCTCCGTTCAAGGTTTTGTTCTTCCAACGGCGTCCTTTGAACTTTCGAGTATGACCACGATGTTTGCGAATGTTTTGGCGAGGGTTGCGAAGATGCGCATAAGTAAACTCCTAGGTATCATCGAGCTCGTCTGGGGTTCCTTCTAGCTCCTGGCGTATATCGGATAGCAAGGAGGTTGTTGAAATATACGGGTAGACAAATGATGATATTATACCTATACGATACCGGAAGCAGACGTCATGGCCAGTTAGGTTCAGTTGCGGAACAGACAGAAGCGGAGTTTTATGGTCTGGGACATATAGGGCTTCTATGTACCCGGAGCTCCATCCCACAGTCAAACCGGAAGTGAATTTGGCCGATGGCAGTTGCTAGACTCGTGGATTCGGCCGAATCAACGTCCAGAGGTGGGTCGAGGGTCCGGTACGGTATTCATCGAAATCCGCCAGGTTAGGTGTGATGTGATGAGTAGAACCAGAGCCGAAATCCAATGGCTGGTGCTTCTAAGTGCGTTGCCGACAGAGCGGGCACTGGCCGTTAGGCCACGTACTATGTTGTCACCATCGGCGTTCCCAAAGGGTCCGGATGCCTGGGAAGCTCGCCTGTGTTGGTTTTCCTTCCGTATCTGGGCTGCATTGTCCTTCATCCGACATTCACCAGCTCTATATATGGCCTTTCTTCGTACAGTAGAAGCATACTACCTATGTCGGGGTCCGAGCTTTCCGGCTTCCTGTCATAGGGCTTACCAGTGTTTTTTCCGCAGCCCTTCCGCTTCCCATGTTTTCCGGAGTTCCTCCTATTGGTATTGGTTGGTCACCATTGCCTGAATAAACAGTAGTACCGGCGGTGTTAGGATTAGACCCAGCTAACGCGGTGCAGAGGTTTTCGGAGGCTTCGTGCTCGATAAGGACTGCGGCGACAGAGTCGAGGGTTTGGTCTTCCCAAGGGTTCCCTTTTCAGGATGACGACTATGTTTGCGAATGCTTTGGGAAGGGTTGCGAGGAGGCGCATGAGTACAGTCCTCTCTTCTTGTTCGTCTGCGGTACCTTCTAACTCCTGTTTTATATCTGATAGGTAGGAGATGTAGTCGGACACCGGAGTTCTAGGTTTCATCGATGAGTTGTGAAAGCGGGAGATGGTGGCTATACGTGCTGACTGAGATGTTGCGCAGTCAAGTCACTGTCCAAGGGCTTCCCATGCGCATTGCGGGTCGCGATGGCCAAGGCCACTGATAAAGGAACGGATAATTGGCTCAGTGGACGATCGTATCACGCCGAAGGCTTTGTTCGACCGTCTAGAGTAGTCTCTTCCGAGGGCAGATGTCATGTTGGCTGATGCTCCTTCCAAGCCGAGGACAATGTCACGGGCGTCGTCCATACCGAGGAAGTCCACGAGATCGTTCTGGTCCCAACATCTTGGCAACAAGTCCGTCTAAAGTCCGCAGCCCCGAGTGATAGTTTCTTGCGGTGACTTGGGCTGTGGAGCCGTGTTTGCTGGTGTGCATCGCGGTGGGCTCGGCCATGGTTTTTGGTGGTCGCCATAGTCTAGTAAGGCCGCATGCGCTGGATTCATAGTCTGTTGAAATATGGATAGAACGATAGAGATGATTGATTTGATACAGAAAAAACCTATCGTCAGCGGGCGGCGAGGCCTCTCTTTATACAAGATTGAGGTGCCGCCTAAAGTTCGCCGCCGTATAGTTAACCATATGCTCCTCGACACTCAGACTTCAGTCGACGCCGTCGAGGCCCGGTCTCGACCGTCCACCGCAAAACCTTATTCGTGCCGACGTCTCTTGGCGACCAAAGTTTGACAACGTTTATGTGGAAGCCGTTCTTCTGCACTCAGTCTTATACTAGTACTCGAGTTTATACTATAGAGAGAGATCTTCCTGTTTTATTTTGCATGCAGCCTATCTAGACTATGGCGAACCCACAACCTCCGTTTCCTGTCCGCCCTGGCCAGTCGAGGTGAAAAACCCACCCGGGACCGACCAGTCTGATGCGGCACCCCACTTCCCCCGCCCCATCCGCCTCGGACCGACACAAGCAAAGAAAAAGTATATCGTCAGTAAAGACCGGTATGGGCCCACATGCCCGCTCCTCCTGCTGCACCTCGCCTCTCTTCCCCTCGAGTTTATACTGTAAAGGGCCCGGTTGGATGGCCTCAGTTTTAGCGAAAACTGTCAGTTTTTCGAGAAACTGAGCAAATGGAACTGAGACCCCGTTTGGATGGCACAAAAACTTAAAAAAAAAACCTGAAACTGTGCGGCTCCAGCGACGAAACTGGTACTGGCCTCGAGAGATCATTTCTTTGCTGCCACTCAGTATCGCATTTTAACTTCAACCATGGACTCCCTTTACGGGGAAGAGACAAAAGCGGGGCCACAATGTGTCCACTACATATTAAAGTTCTGGCGAAGCCTATTATTCAGACTTATGGCTGAGTAATCTAAAAATTGCCAAACACTCTGTTCATCTCACAGTTCTCCGGAAACTGAAACTGGACAGTATTCGGTGTCCCGGCGGGGAACTGAATTTCGCTCTAACATTGGAACTGAAAACTGAGGCCATCCAAACGGGCCCTAATAAATCTCTCGTTCCGTGCATATCAACAGTGCTAATTTTTGAATGCCATGATGCTGCTCAACTACTCAAGCCCAAACCGCAAACCCCCCTCCCCGTGGTGCAAAGTGCTCCCATATTCTACATGCATTTATACTCCCAAACAAAAAAAAACCAGAAACCAACGACCATATCTATGCAAAACTCCATTCCCATCAGATTCCCCACCGGCCTCACTCCTCCCCTCTGTTCTCGCTAACTACCGCTGCGGATACGGCAACGTATTAGTCTTCTGCAGCGGCACGCCCCTCGAGTCCCTCCTATCACTCGCGGCCGAATTCGTAGCGCCACTCTCCCTCCTCGGCGCAACGAACCCCGGATACGGTCCCGAGCTCGCACTATTCGTACTCGCGCTGGAATCCTGTCTTTGGGGCGCGACATATCCAGGCCTGACATACGCGGGCGCACCACCGGGGGAGACAGTGCGGGGGGCCGGAGTCGCCGTGGTGGACGACGGCAATACCGCCTTGCTCTTGATGACATGATTGAGCCTTGCAATTTCATTCTCCCTTGTGGCGAGCGTTGTGCGCACCACCTGCAGCTCATGCCACGTCTTCTGGTGCTTCGCCTCGTCCGCGGCCCTATCCTGCAGCTCCAGCCGCAGCGTCGCAACCTCGGCCCTGGCCGCCTCGAGCTCGCGCGCCGCCCCCGAGTGCTGCAGCGCCGCCGCCTGCAGCTCGAGCGCCTCCTTCCGCAGCTTCGCAATCTCTGCCATCGCCGCCGCGAGCTCGCGCGCAACTCCCGCGTGCACCACCGCAGCAGCCTGCAGCTCCCGCACCTCCGTCCGCAGCTTCTGCCCCTCCGCTGTCTTTTCCGCGACCTCAGCCCGCCCCTTCTCCACATCGCGCTTTACCCCCGCCAGCTCCCCATCCCTCTCCAGCGCCCGCTTATGTGCCGTCTCGACCTCAACTCTAAGCGCCGCCACCTCGCGCTTCGTCCGCACCAGCTCCTCATCAGCCTCACCCGCCCTCTTCCTCGCCACATCGATTTCCGCCTGCAGCACCGCAGCCTCCCGCCTACACTTCTCGAGGGCACCCGCCTGCTCCCGCGCTTCGGCCGACTTCCGCACCAGCTGCTGCGTAATCGTTTCCAGCTCGCGCGTGACGCGCGCGCACTCGCTGTCCTTGTCCGCGAGCACCCGCGTAAGCCGACTGTTCTCGATTTTGGCGTCGTACATTTCGGCGGTTTTGGTTTTTAGCGTCGATTCTTGCGAGACCGTGAGGGTGCGCAGGCGGGCGAGCTCCGGGTCGGGCGCGCTGGACGCCGCGGGATGGGAGGGCGCCGGTGGCGTGTAGGGCGGCGTGGGCTGTGCGGCTTGCGCGGGAGGTTGGTATGCCGGCGGTGGGATGTGTTGGGACTGCGCAGGCTGCTGGGGGTGGGCGGGCGGCTGGAAGTGCGGTTGTTGTTGTTGTTGTTGTGGATACTGCTGCTGCTGCTGTTGTGACTGCTGCTGCGGAAACTGCTGCTGCTGCTGCTGCTGCTGCTGAACGGGCGGTCTATACTGTTGCTGCTGTTGCTGTTGCTGCTGCTGGGGCGGCTGTTGTTGCGGCCACTGTTGCGGCGGATGATTATACGTCTGCGGGCTGGCCACATACTGTTGTGGGGAGACGGGCGTCACGGGCTGCGGAAACGACGGCCGCGACGAAAAGATGTTCAGGGTCTTGACCAGGCTTCCGCCAGACTGTTTTGGCGAGACGGGCGGCGGGCGGTAGCGCGGGTCTAGGTATGCGGGCTGTTGTTGTTGCTGCAGTGGTTGCGGCTGCTGCTGCTGTTGCTGCGGAGAGTAGTTCGGTTGCTGGGGCGGCCACTGTGCCATGGTGTTTTTGTTTTTGTTTTGTTTTGTTTTGTTTGGATATTAGATGGCGATGCGGATGTTTGGCGTTGCACAAGTGATCGTGGCGATGGAGAGAGTTACGAGGGATTTTTAGGGGGCTCGGACTCGTTTTAATCGCGTCCCGCGAGCTCAGAGTCACTCCACCCTCCCTTATCCTCCTCCTCCTCCTCCTCCTCACATCACATTCCGCCTCCACCTCCGTGAGTATGGGTTTCCCCGCAGCTGCGCACTTTGCACGCTGCGCTGCGGCTGAGAAGAGAGTCAAGCCTTTGCTGGGTGCTGCTGCAAGTGGGTGGGAACATTAATGGAGTATACGAGCAGCTGCCCAGCTGATTGGCCGCAGTAACGAGCGTGACACCGTCTTCTTCCCCCTGAGCCGTGGAGATCTGGAAGGTGGGACAATGGCCACAGAAACCGCATGAGGACTGTGGGGTGGCGGCAGGTGGCGATGATGAAAGCTGTCTATTAGGGAAAACGTATATAAATATTCAGTGTCTTCTTGTCGACGAACCGCGCAGTGGACTTGTTCGGTTGGTGGACGCGGAAGACCGCCGGACACGTGTGTTTGAGGCTAAAGGGGCCGTTCATCCAGGATCACTCACGGAACTCTCAACAGAGCAGGCAGGAAAGGCTGTACGAGAAAAGGAATTAAAGTTTTCTCTCCTTTCCACCGTGAAACCGGGTCGCCATAGTCCAGACTCTTGAAAGGCTGTATACGACAATAAACTGATGTCCCTCTCTTCCGTCGTGAAACCCAGCGGTGGGCACAGCAGACGGCTCTGTGGGTGAGAGTGAGGAAGGAGACACGACGGGAAAGGCGACGGTGGAAATGGCCGAGCTGTTCATACTTCGCAAACGAGCTGTGGGAATTCCTGAAGATGACAGACAGACGTTGGTAGGATAACTACATCTCGAGTATTTGGTACCCAGCAGACTTATCTAGAGTATCAGGGCGGTCAGTAAAGTAGTTCCGACGTGACACGGGTGGGAAAGATTCAAACACTTCGATTTTGGCAGAACCAGTACCGGTGAGCAGTCCCGCGCCCCGGCTTCTGTGCGGGGAGCGGCGGCCATCTTTTAGGCGAGTGCGGACAGCCCTGTCATCGCGGACAGTGTTGCGGGGCGTAACGTGGATCCTTCGGCGTGGCTCGTCCACTCTCGGGTACCAGCGGGGCGCCACAGTAGCGGCCGCTCGCAACAACCTCCGCGGAAGTTGCCTGCGCCTGTCCAGTGTCGGCAAAGCCCGAGTAGCTAGAGCGGAGCAGCGATAACGGAGTCGGCGCAACGTCTCAAGAAATAATACCATGAGCAAAGGCAAACATGCTGTGTCCGATCGGCCGGCGATTATTGATCAGTCATGTTACTTAGGTAGGGGTGCATATCAGTAGGTATTTAGAAGCATCGGGGGGCAATCCGAAGGGTTCGCTTCTCTACTGCTGCTGCAACCACCTACTTCGAGATCTTTCCCCGCCATGTCACTCAGAGTCCCCCACGCTCGCAGCCTTCTCCTCCGGCGCCACCGACCGCCGCCAGCACCACGACTGCGTCTGCTTTCCCCGAATCGCGCCCACTCCTCCTCCTCCTCCGCCGCCGCCGTCTCAATCGCACGCCCAGATGCCGTCCCCCCGCCGTCGCCGTCGCCATCGGCACCGCCCGCCACACCCCGCCTCACCGCCCTGCGAACAGCCAAGCCGTTCTCCGCCTTCCTGACGGACCGCTTCTCGCGGCAACACAACTATCTCCGCATCAGCATCACGGAGCGCTGCAACCTGCGGTGCCTCTACTGCATGCCAGAGGAGGGGGTGGCGCTCTCGCCCGCCGCGCACCTGCTCAGCACGCCCGAGATCCTCGAGATAGCGCGTATATTCGTCTTGCAGGGCGTGACCAAGATCCGGCTCACGGGTGGCGAACCGACGGTTCGCCGCGATGTCGTCGAGCTGGTCGAGGCCCTGGGCGGTCTGAGGGAGCTGGGCCTCAGGGAAATCGCCATGACGAGTAATGGCGTGGCCCTCTCCGAGAGGAAGTTGCAGCGCATGGTGGATGCTGGGTTGACGGCGTTGAATTTGAGTCTGGACACGCTAGTGCCAGCGAAGTTTGAGTTTATGACCAGGCGGAAGGGGTTGGAGAGGGTGTTGGGAGTAGTCGAGCACACTGGCAGGATGGGGTTTGGAGCGGTCGGCGGAGAGGGGACCAGGACGTTGAAGATCAATGTTGTTGTCATGAGGGGCGTGAATGAGGACGAGATTGTGGATTTTGTCGAGATGACGAGGGGCAAAGAGCTCGAGGTCAGGTTCATTGAGTACATGCCGTTCGATGTCCGTCTGCCCCGCCCCGCCCCGCCCCGCCCCGCCCCGCCCCCGGTGCCTATCCCACATCCCATGCTGACCGAAAAATATGTAGGGCAACAAATGGGCCACCAAAAAGATGTTCCCATTCGCGGACATGCTCTCGACCATCCGGGCCAAATACCCCACATTCACCGTCCTTCCCCAGCAGCGCCCGAACGACACGGCAAAAACCTACCACGTCCCCGGCTTCGCCGGCAAAATTGGCTTCATCACCAGCATGACCGAGAACTTCTGCGGCAGCTGCAACCGCCTGCGCATCACCTGCGACGGTAACATCAAGGCGTGTCTCTTCGGGAACGAGGAGGTGTCGCTCCGCGACATCATCCGGCAGTACAGGGCTACGGACGAGGCGGTGGGCGCGGGGAGGGATAGGGACGCGATGGAGAGGATGCTGCTACAGGCTATTGGCGGTGCGGTCGGCAGGAAGGAGGAGGGACATAAACCCGCTGAGGAGATCGCCAGGGGCGAGAATAGGCCCATGATTTTGATTGGTGGGTAGTCTTCTCGGTCCTTCTTGTTTGCGCGCTTGCTTGCTTGGTTCGTTTGCTTTTGCTTCTATTCAGGCGTGCATTGGGTGCTTGTTCAAGGGGTTCGTTGTGTATGTGTATGTGTACGATGATGAATGGGAATGTGTGTTGGTTAACGTGATGGACTCGCTCGGGACATGTAGATAAACATATGTACCACACTGGCAGTGGCAGTGGCAGTAGCCACACCAACCCCCACCGCACCCCCTCCCTCCGCATCCCTCTACACCTCCTCCCCCACAGCCTCACCCCCTCCCTCAGCATGCGCCAGTACTCGACCAAGCCCTCGACCAAGCCTTCACCCGCCCCCTCCGCACTCCCACACCTCACCCCCACCGGCGCCGCACACATGGTACCGATCCACACCAAGGCGGTGAGCACGCGCACGGCAGTAGCCGTAGGGACAGTGACGTTCAGCAACCCCACAGCACTCGAGCTGATCCGCAGCAACAGCAACAAGAAGGGCGATGTCCTCGCGCTCGCACGCATCTCGGGGATTATGGCCGCAAAGAAGTGTGCTGACATCGTCGTGCTGTGTCATCCCATTCCCATCTCGTCGGTGGAGGTGGATGTGAAAGAAGTGGTGGGGGAGAGGGAGGGACTGGGGGGCGGGGAGGGTGATGGGAATGGGGTACTGCAGATTAGGGCGACGGTTACGTGTGAGGGGAAGACGGGTGTCGAGATGGAGGCGCTTACGGCTGTCATGGGCGCTGCGCTTGCCGTGGTTGATATGTGTAAGGCGGTCGATAAGAGGATTGTTGTTGGAGGTGTTAGGGTGATCGAGAAGAGGGGCGGTCGGAGTGGTGATTTCTTTGCGGATGGGCCGCCGCCGGTGGAGGGGAGGTAGATGAATGGATCGATGGCTTTGGTTGTACATGGTGGTCACATTGATGTCTGGACTGCTACCAGTTGCTTGTCAAACTTGGTTGGAGAGAATCCAAACCGATCCTACATATCGCATTTCATTCCAGTAGATCATCGGCAGTCTATATGATACGCCCTCTACCGCCCAAACTCAGGCTTAAAGGCCACAACCCCACCCTTCATCACCTCCCTGAGCGCCATAGTCGCATAGCAACTCGTTCCCAACCTCATCCTTATGACAACCACCATCTCCTCCTCCTGCTCCTCCGTCTCCGTCGTCTGTACATCCTCCATCTTCTCATCCTCTCCCTCACGTTTCCTCTTCTCTCCAGCCTCCTCCGTGGCCTGCTTCCCCGCCTTTTTCTTACTCTCAATAATCTCCAGATCGGTGCTGACAACCTGCTCACCGAGCTTACACCTCCTGACCTCGTAGCTAATCTCATCATCGATAAAGTTACTCATGATCTTCCTATAACTACCCGTGAGCGAGTAGTCCCTCACGCTCCTTCGCATATCTCTAGGATCGAGCTGCTCCGCCGCCATAATCTCCTTGTACACCGCCATCAACTCCGGATTGGCGGGGTACTCGATATCCCAGCCGGGCGAGGGAAGAACGACATCGGTAATAGCGAACCTCCCACTCGCGGCCTCCTCAGCAGAGAGCGCTCTCGCGCGCTGGATCCCATCGCCGCCGACGTCAGCCGAGTCAACGGGCGCGATAACCACCTCGCCGTCCTGATCGACCTCCTCGACAGGTGCAGGTTTCTTCTGTTCGGCGAGGACGAGGTCGCCGGGCAGTACAGCGGTGCGCGACATCCGCAGCCTCGCCGACGTAACGTGATTCCACACGAAGCTCTGGTACGCGTGCGCGTACATGATTCTCAGCGAGCGGGGGATCGCCTGCATGGCGCCGAGGTAGTCGAGGCCCTTGCCCTTGCCGTCGCCGGGCATGCCGCGCTCCGCGAAGTACCGGAGGATTGCCGACTCGGCGACGAATTTGCGCGGCATGGTCGACGAGGCCCGCGAGAAATCGTACGTGTCGTGGTAGATCTTGCAGGCTTCCGCGCGCTCCCGGTCGTCGCGCGAGAATTTGTTTTCGTTCTCCACAGGCTGGTCGCAGAGTAAGGCGTTGTAGCTTAGGATCTTGTCCACGGCCCCGCGCCAGTCCCCGCGCAGCAGGTACACGCCGATGTCGGACGTGGTGACGTCGAAGGAGCCGAAGCGCTGCAGGCCGTAGTAGTTCGCGAAGCCGGAGCGCTTGACCGCGTCGACGCAGGTCTTGACGGCGGCTTCGAGCGTGACGCTGGCGTCAAGGCTCTGTGCCTGCCGGAGGGTGATGACGAATTCGTTGCCTTTCAAGTCGCCCAGAGATAGGCCGTACGGCTTGTATTCAAAATCCCCCAGACGCGCACCTCGCAGGCCGTGTTCGCCACCGTTGTTCAAGCCAGCCAACCTATCCGCCCTGATCATATGCGCCGCACATTTCTGCGCCGTCACAGCCCGCCGATCCTTCGTCCCCGCAAACGAAAACGCCTTCCCGCCACTCTTCAGCTTCAACAGCCTCGCCAGGAGATTCAGCACCTCCATCGTATCGCGGTTCTCCTTGTACAGGGTGAAATGGCAATACTCGCCGCCGAGCTCCTCGAACCCCCCCGGCTTCTTGTGGTTCTTCCCGCCGCGACGCGAGCGCCGCCGATCGTTTTCGAGCGCCTGGACACTACCTCGCTGGATGGAGATGCACGGCGGATCGTCGCTCGTCGCCTCGGTCACAAGCTTGCTGTTGAACAGCGTGCGGATCAACGCGTGGAATGCCGACCGCGAGTCCTTGTTATCCATGGGCGGCGTCGTGACGTCGGCCGCCTTGCCCGGCGCACATCGCGCCAGCTCGATGATCGCCGCTGCGGTGTCCGCAGGAACGAACGCAGCGAGCTGTTCCGCCGCGGTATCCGGCGTCTTCTACACACCCATCAGCATCTCTTCGCCAGAAAAACCCCAATCGCACGCACCTCCACAGCCACCTTCTCCCCCACCTCCGCCACAGCCGCCGCGGTAGGCTTAGCATTAGTCGTCTCCCTCTTCCTATTCATATTCGCATTCTTCCCCTCCTCGCCACCACGGTCCGCCTGCGCCGGCGGCCTCGTGTTGACAAGATGCACCACCCTCCCAGCCTGATCGACCTCATTGACGAGGAAATCGGAGTATCGCTGCTTCAGCACGCCCGACCACGCGGGTAAGGTGGGATTGACATATTCGGTGATTCCGACGGCGATTTCGGCGGCGGATTGCGGGATTGCTGTTGTGCTCGAGGCAGTGGTGGTAGTGGAGGCGAGGGGCGCTGGAGACGGGGACGAGAGGCGCGCCTTTTTTGGAGGTGGGGTGGACATGGTGTGCTGTGCTGAGGTGTGGTGGGGTGCGGTGGGGTGCGGTGGGGTGCGGAACCGTGGTCAGGCGTGAACGTGGAAGGACGTGAAGGTTCGGTTTGGCGTGGTTGGAACTTGGGACGCGGAGCCGCAGGCAGGCAGGCAGGCTAAGATATGCTTATGGACTATCACTCGCCATTGAGTATAATGAATACATAGACGTTCGAGTACGTAGCAGCAAAAGGAAGAGGCTGCGCATGCGGGGCTTTGCTTCGCTCTCGAATAGCTGGTAGTTTGCTTTTCCCCGCGCCGTTCAAGCTCGATTCTGAATACCGGCTGAGTGATATCCCGTGCCTGGTCAACACGAGCGATGACCATGTTCATGTTCATGTACTCTACAAAGATGTCACGCGTGGGACTGAAGTGAATATTTGTTGAGAATACGAGTGTGATATTATCCAGTTGCTTTATTCATTTGCAAAACACAGCGGATGACCAGCTAGGTAGGTACATAGACATACGTACCAGACAGAAGCAGGAGCAGAAGCAGAAGCAGAAGCAGAAACAAGTATGAGAATAAACAGGATTCTCGCGGCGCACTCGCGGCGCACTCGAGGAGGCGCAAATGAGGCGCATATGACCAATCTGACAAATGTGCAATATCTGGGAGGAGTGATGACGGTGGCTTTTCAACGAGGATCGCAACAATATTGACTCGATGCCGTGGGACTCTCGAGGTGTCGTACGTATTGATGGCAACGGTATATAGCAACCGCAATAGTTGGCTGGTCGGTCCGAATTCGATAATCCGCCTACAAAGCGCTTGGGTATTTGGGCTCCGATGGCGATAACTAACCGGAACCAATGCCAGTCCGGGTCATGGTCATGCCGAGAGCGATGGCTCTGTCAAGTTTCAACCGGGTCCGGAGATTAGAGTTACGGCCCGCACCGGGAGGGATTCGGATACTTGGGAAGCAGCTCCAATTTGTATCAGTCGGTACTCTACATACCTAGACTTCAATGAAGATTGGAAGGGGGTACCTAGGATAGCTAATGCCTACCGACGAGTGACTGTACATACTGCATGTATCGAGAGGCTTTAAAATTGCCGACGCACCCAGGTATGTAGAGTACGGTATCATGCCTGTTGTTTGGGATGATGGGATCCCCAACATTAGAGATCCTGGAAATCGGGTTTAGTAATCACCCGGTCGACAATGCAATTGTCCTCTTTCGGATAACTCGCTTCCACCGGCTGCAGCTGCCCATATATTCCCGGTTGTTCCATATTTCAGGGTGTCGGCGTTGGGGTCCCGTTCGGCGTTGAGTGGGCCTGAGTATGTGCGGACTGATGCCTACGCTCACCGGATTACCTCCGTGCCCCCCGTGCCGCACGCCGGTCCCGGTCTCCAGGGCGATGCTTTCCGGAATGTTCGGCTGTTGCATCGGCAATGTCAAATACGGCAGATAACCAGTTAACTACCGGTATCGAGATTATGCTTCCTGCTCGGGTTCGTTGCAATGTTTGCCGCCACACAGCTGCAGCCGCCCCCCATCGACACTGAAACACACGATATCCATGCAGGCGCCAAGAAGCCTGCCTACACCGGACTGTGCACGCCGCTGGGGGCTTGACGCCTTGACTCTCATTTCGTTGGTGAGAAGTACCGTAGTGCGGTCACATGCGCCGTGCGTCCGCCCACATAATCGACCGCGCTCCCTCCCTCTCTCTCGGAAGCTGGCGGCCGTCCGAGTGCTGGATCGCGCCGAATGGAACTCCGCATGTTCAGTTCCGGTTGTTCCTCCAACTTACGTAACCAGGGGGTTCCTTTGACTGCGGCGGATGGCGGCGACTCGAAGCCCGCAGATCAACCAGGACGGTGTGCCTGCCAAGCAACGGATAGGGCGTGGGCTTGGAATTCACATGCAGCGAACCGCAGGGCTCCTTGTTTCATCTGCGGACAAATTTCTTCTCGACTGCCAACGCCTGGCGCCCAACCAGTCGTGGTCTGGCGGCAGACCGCCAGCAAGTTACACACCAGAACTGACGGTACTACGTGGTATGTATCTGACGTGCCGCCCAGCATCGAGAACTTGATTTCTGATCATGTCGCTCTTTTCTCTCGCTGGCGGCAACGCTGTGGGACGACCATGCGCTCCATGGATGCTCTCGGAAGCACTTCTAAGTTCTGGATCTGAGTGGCATCACCGTAGCTGGGATCTATTTTGGATTCCCTGTGTTTACTCTGCTGTTCTCGTCAACGCTGTGGCCCCGGGTGACCCCCAATGTGTTTCCCGAGGCCTTCGTTCGGCCACCGGATTGTTCCCAGAGACTTTGATTCGGCCATTTCCTCTTTCGAACGGTGATGTGGAGTACTTAGCGCAGTGTACTGTTCGTTCCTGGCTTGGGGTGGCTTTTTTTGGATGCTTGGCATGCAGCTTGCCTCGTTCGGGACGTGCTCAGCTCCGCCGCCCGCGCGGCCAGGGCCAAAACGTCCGGCAGGGGGAGTCCGCATCTGCCAGGGCATGCATTCCTCCATGGTGCGGCCACTCTATGGCCCTTGGGTCTGTGCAACCATTCAAAGTCCGCCTCCTTATATCACACACTCCTCTCTTCTCTTCCGCTTACATCCGTTCCTCTTCTTATACGACTCCCCTTCCTCTCCCTCACCTCCATCATCACTACCACCACCACATTGACGAATCGCCGTCACCCACAGTCGCTCAATAATCCCATCCACAGTCCTTTTTTATTCGAGTCCCGATAGACCCACTCTTTATATCTGTCCGGAGTCCCACAGCTTTCTAGTCCGCCGTCGAACAGAAATTACCCACCTTCTGATATCAAAAAACATCCCACAACATGAAGTTCTCCGTCCCCGCCATCTTCTTGGCCTTCGCCGCCGCCGCATCGGCTGCCCCCACAACCAGCTACTTCGCCGGGTTCAACTTGGGCCACACGCATAAGAGCGGTAGCTGCAAGACCACCGCGGCATGGACTCAAGAATTTAAGAAGATCAAGTCCTGGAGCACCGGTGGCAAGGGAACCTTCAACACCGTCAAGCTGTTCTCCACCAACGACTGCAACGCCCTTGAGATGGCCGTGCCGGCTGCTAAGGCTGCTGGTGTCAAGATCTGGGTTGGTGCGTTATCGGTCTCCCATCCCGGTGGAGAAGTTCTTTGCTGACGGGATGTAAAGGTGTTTGGAACACTCCCGAGGACAAGTTCAATGCCGAGAAGGCTGCTCTTGAGAGAGCCCTGAAGGCGCACCCCGACACGGCTAAGTGGCTTGCCGGAATCAACGTCGGCTCCGAGAGTTTGTACCGCAAGGACGTTCAGCCTTGGAGACTGGCCGAGCAGATCTACGGTTAGTCTTATGATCCTCTTTGCCATGCGAGAGTGCTCTACTGACGATGGATTCTAGACGTCAAGGGAATGGTCCAGACCGCGTACAAGTCCCCCAACACCCCCGTCGGTACTGCCGATACCTGGACGATGTGGGTTGATGGCGCCAACGCCGCCGTGATCAAGGCCTGCGATGTTGTTCTCATGAACGGCTTCCCGTACTGGCAGGGCGCCACCATCGGCGAGTCGCTCGGAAAGTTCAAGGATGCCATTACCAACACCCGCAACGCCGTCGGAATTAACAAGCCCTTCGTCATCGGCGAGACCGGCCACCCCACCAAGGGCGACAACTTCGGCAATGCCGTCGCTTCCGTCCAGAACGCTGCCGCCTACTGGAAGGCCGCCGCTTGCTACCTCCAGACCACCAACATCCCGTGGCTCTGGTTCTCCGGCTTCGATGAGCCCAACAAGTCTGGTACCATCGAGCAGAACTTTGGTGTTGCTCTCAGCAACCAGCCCCTCAAGTTCAGCCTGAAGTGCTAAATGTTTTTGAGTCGTGTGCTTGGTGGGTGGGTGTTTTGGCTTTGCTTTATTAGACGGGGGTTTTGGAATGCCTGAGGCCCCCCCTGGGTCGTTACGTTAATCATTGCTTGCGCGCGTCGACGGATGGATTGGAAACGTTTCTTACGAGGGGTTTTTCATACCGTCCTTTTGGTAATAGAAGGGGGCGCTCGCTCGGGGGTAGTTAATTGTTAATTGACGCTGCGAGGGCTGGTTTGTGTCATACACTGAACCGTGAACTGTGAATCGTGATGTGATGTGATGTGATGTGATGTGTGCCATCTATGTCGTAGCATATACTCTAGCTTCCGCCCGGTGAAGGAAGGCTAACTAATTGATTAAAGTACGGGTGGGTACCTATTACTCCATTCCTTCGCTCTATGCATAACTTCTGCTATCATAGAAGTGAAGATTATGGAAGATTCAGTCATGGCATTACCTAGGTTAAGATGTGATTCTAAAAGTTGGTGAGATCATAGATGCGGCGTAGTTAGCTGTCGTCGGATTTGAGACTTCCGCTGGTCTGGTGGTTAAACTAGGTAGGTAGGTAAGTTCTTGCCGTGACCTCTACGGCATTACATTGCAACACTCTTGGTTGTTAGAGTATAGTAGGTACATGGGCAGGTTCAATTTGGTAGCGCATGATATGTAGATGGAGGAGGGAGGATGGAACTTCGGACATGGCATAGCATGGTCGGTATCTGTCTTGGTTGGCGTCATGGACATTGGATATCACTCGTGCCAGTGCAGGTGCATAGCTTCACTCGAGTACTAGGGTCTACCTAGGTAGTGCCGCCCGCTTCTACCAGCTGAAGACAGGGCACGCCATCGTGGCGACGTACCTGAAGTGGATTAAGAAGCGGGGTGATGACCATTGCTGATGGTGCAATAGGCCTACCAAGCAGTCCCGGGAGCACCTATTCAAAAACTGTTCACGGTGGAGAGGTCAACAGAAAGCCTTGTGGGCGAATGTCGGGAAGGAGACGGAGAGAAGGAAATAGAGGTGATCAATAGCGGAGCTGTTCGCCGACGAGCGGTGCAGCGAGGCGATACTAGAGTTTCTGGGAACGACGGATGTGGGGGAGAAAAGCTCCACCAGACCTGGAGGAGGAGGATGAGGAGGAGGCAAGCATCGGATCGGGGGCAGAGCAAGAGTGTCCAGCAGGATACTGCGTCTGCGGCCGGTACGAGGAAGCAGGAGATGAGGATGGGCGGTGATATTTCTTGGTGCGATTTCATTTGTTATTTGTTTGGTAGGAAGCGGCGCCACATCGTGCTGGCTGGCAACTGGGTCCTAACTCCCGGCTCGCCAGAGTGGGCAGGAAAGGAGTGTGACGGTTCGCCATAGTCTAGATAGGCTGGATGCGAAATAAAACAGGAAGATCTCTCTCTTTTACTACCTAGGGCCTAGGTAGGTAGTATAAACCCGAGAACTACCTAGGTAGGGCCCGTATGGATGGCCTCAGTTTTCGGTTCCGGTCTAGGTACATAGAGCCAAATTCAGTTCCCTCGCCAGGGCCGGGACACCGAATACCTACCTCCTACCTACTGTTCAGTTTCAGTTTCCGGAAAACCTTGGGGTGTTCGAACTTCAAGCAGAGTGTTTGGCAGTTCTCAGTACCTACTATATACTCAGCCATGAGTCTGAATACCTAATAAGCTTCACCAGAACTTTAATGGTATGTACACAAATATCGTAAGGCTTGTGAATTTTTTCTTCTGCTTCATCATATCATATCATATCATTCAGTACTCGGCCGTGTCCGGCCATGCCAGTTCAAGCACGTAGTGATAGGTAGGCGCTCCGCGACTTGGACTTGGGCTTCCGCCGGACAGGCCTCCAGCCATGACCACAGGATGGCTTTAATTTTCGGGATTCCAATTTTTTTCTCCCCGCAGCACGGGTGTGTTTATACACCGATAACGGAACGAGTGATGGCTTGGAGGAGGAGTGGTCTGTACTAGGTACCTAGGTAGTACATGCGGGTACGCCGGGAAAGTCGGTATGTAGGCGTCGAGGATACTGTAGAGCTTTTTGTACAAGCATTGCTACTGCTAGGTTGGCAGTGAGGAAGTAGAAGGCGTTTGTGAGGGTGCCGGCGGCACGTGGTGTCGGTCAGTGAGAACGGAGAACGGCGTGGCGGCGGAGGAGAGAGCTTGGGAGACGCATCTTCCGGGGATGTAATGATGAGTCGGGAATCGAGAATCTTCGCTCACGGCGCGCGGAGGTACTCCAGGAAGTGAAGTGCTCCACTTGGGGATCAACCCGGAGTCAGCCAGGATCTAATCCATCCAGATCATGACATCGGCCGGCCGGCTTCGAGTCGAGTTTGAGATTCATCCTGGGGACCATTAGCACTACCTACCTACATACCAGGAAGCCCCCGCGAAGTTAACCTTCTTCTTCTCGACCGGTTTGTCCCAGCACCATTCCATAGAGTAAATCCTTGAAGGCTGGAGCGCCTTCGCAGCTGCCCCAGGGACATCCTTCAACAGTCTCGGCAGCTGGGTAGCCATGGGAACTGGACCGAATAGCCTCCAGCTGCAGGAAGACGTAGATTTCTTGGATTGCGGAGGGACGGACGACCGAGATCTCTCGGGGGCCTGCCGCCTGCGGAACATGTCAGATGTGTTTCCGGTGGGAGGATGGAGATCTGTGGGGATCTTTTCACTCACCTGTCCTGACGGAGTCACCATACTTCCAAATTCCGGTGCAAAAGCACCCGATGAACCAGGATAGGTACTGGTCACCAGGTGGCAGGTGGGCCTTAAAGACGGCAGCCGCTATCTACGAGCGTTTTGCATCCCGTATCCGCGATGCATTGGCGGTGAAGCAGATAGAATATATAGGTAGACCCCCGACATACGGAATATATCCGCCGGCGATCTGCTTGAGGCGCAAATCGTGCCCGTACGGGATAATCGAGAAGTTGGAACTCACGGCCAGCGCTGCTGCTCCAACCGAGCGATACATGGTATTGGTGCACTCTGGCAGGGCACTCATCGTGAGGTCAGTGCTGAAGGATTCGGAAGGCGGACTGGTGGCACGGAGGGCGGAACGGGGGAAGATATGGCTTGCTATAGACGACTTGGGTACTCGAAGTTGGTACGTCCGCTCTGCAGAGCCAGTAGGTATCAGCTATCGTCTCGCAGAGCACCTACAATAGAGTACATCCGTCAAATGGCTGCGTCACTATCAGTTCCTAGATGTACAGTGGACACTGAAGAGCCAGATGCCCGGAGGGAGATCCGAGAGTTCGATGCATGCGCCAGAAGCCGGGGAGCTCAGACGTACCCGGTCTTAGATTGGTTGGACGGTGTGTGGAGGAGTTCACTCCACAAATTTCATCTATTCCCCACACTTGCCGTTTCCGCTGGTTGTCTATCGGACACGTGGAATACTAACACTCTATAGCCGATTTCATGAACCAGCAGGATTTTGTGCGCCTCCGTGGTGAAGACGAAGACTCCTAATCACTCGAGCAGGAAGTACTTGGTATCTGTAGAATAGTACATTGGCCAGGTGAAAGATTGTTTTGCAGGTCTGTTAGCAATGATACCTACAGCTTCTACAGACCCCACCTATGTAAGTATCTAGCGACACAGCGGATCGCCAAATACTCCAAATGCTGGGTACAGCGGCGCCGCGGTAATTTAGCGAAACCAGGGCAATTCTTTGTCACTTCGTGAAGGGTTTCTCCGAATTCCTCATCCAACGAGGAAGCTCTGGATCATCCTGAACGGGGTTCGCCGCTGGTTAGGCCCAATAACGAAGCTGAAGGATATGACACGCCCACCTCTCAGGGTCATCAGCCGACAGAGGATCGTACTCCCCGCGCTCGGCTAGAAGCTGGCGCCCTATGTACCCGGCCAGGACTCAGACGATTCTTCGGCACCACCGACAGGTACCGTACATACTGGTTCTTCGACGGTGGGCTGGATGGTAAGTTGATTATTGATAACCGTGGCAATATCCGACGATTTGTATGTACATAATGTACTTAGGCACGACCGCCCGGAATTGTATGTAAGTGAAGGGTATGTAACTGACAGTTTGTGCCATCGGGTCCAATCACATCTTCAAGCCTAAGCTGCTTGGCCATGCATGCAAAGTGCGTAATTAGCGATGTCACTGTTTACATTGCATCCACGTGGGAAAAGAAAGGAAAGAAACGTGGAACATATCAGGGGTAACTATAATTCTGCACTCATGTTACCTTTCTGCTTGGGATTAAGTGCACTGTGCACGTACATACACAGGTATATCTATTCAGATCTATGATGAGAGTGATCCTACAGCCGGCGACTCCGAAGCCGCTCAAGCTCTCGTCTAATTCGACAGCGGCCAAGGTAGGTACGTAGGGGAATTCTTCTGGAATGTGTGTGGCTTCGTTCGCGGCAGTAGCGGATAGAGATATGTATAAAGCCGGCACCGGGTCGGACTGCAGTCTCATCCGCTGGTGGTTGAGAACTACCTATTGCTGAGCAGTCCGTCCAATCTGAAAAGATCTGAGGATTAGCTATTAGTCAGGCATAACCAGATCCACCGACGGCAAGATCCGTCCTGTACCTTTAATACCACTATATAACCCTTCTTCTCCTTCTCCTTGCTACTAGTAGATACCTAGTACCAGTTAGTCCCGGAATCGGTCAGACTGTTTCGTGCGTCGAGTCCCTTCTTAGGGAGAGCCTGGATGAAAAACCAGGCAACTACTAGTAACAGAAGTCAGTATACATACACCTCCCGAAAATGTACCACAGGTGCCCTCCTCTGTGGTTGCAAACGAGTAATATAGTAGAGTACGTCAGCCCCTGGGTGGTGCATTTAGGCACAGTATCTTTCTTAGCTCGGGTGAGCCAGCCAGCGATGTCGGGATGTGGACACCGGTGATGATCAAGAACAAAGGATCCAGTCGGCCTCGAGAATCGCACATTGCTCTCGAGCAAGACTTGCAATGCACTAGAATTCCACCCGTACCGGTGGACGTATGTACCGGACGGCACGCAGCCTTCTATGGCATATATTGTAGAGATCCAATCCTTCGCAACCCTATTGACCCCCCGGTGTTCCAGTGGATACCCTAGAGCACCTAGATACCGGTATGTCAGCGCCGGATTAATCGTGGGCTTCTTTTGGCTCATCCACCTAGGTACCGTAGCTGGTGTTCGAGATATAAGGTCAGCCCTAAAGAAAGCGTGTATGTAGGACTCACGGAACCACTGCAGGACGAAGAGTGGGAATGCCGGTTCCCGGCAAGAGATATGAGCGCCAGAGTTGCCTCAGGGTGCGGTTCATCCAGTCGTTTTACCTCTTCGCCCTGGCCGGTAGTTGTACTCGGTAGGTATCGTAGGTGTGTAGGCAGAAGGAACGGCGACGCCGGGCCGTCGTGTGAGCAGTCAATCCAAGCGGGACCCATTGTGCAGGCTGACATCTCTCCTTCTGCGAATGATGGATGATTTTCGCGGTGTGTTGCACGGCTCGCCTGAAGTTATGCACGGCGAGGACGCCCACATGGACCATTCACGACCTTTATCCTACATATACGTACACAATCCCTCAATCCTTCAGGAATAGCGCAAGTCCTACAGGCCTACTGAGTTACCTACCTGGATCACTGCCACCGCAAGACACTACGAAGCTGTTTTATAGCCGGCGGCTTTCCCGCGAACTTGATCTCCAGTGGATCGGATCTCTGGGGAACCGAATCTTCATATTCCCCATACTCATAGTTAGAACCCATCCTCCCCACCCTCCCCACCCCCCAATCCTTCCCTCCCTGCAGGTGTTTGAGAAAGCGGACCCCATGGCCGACTAGTCCGTATCTACCACTTGAATGCGCATGTAATGGGATTAAACGCTCAGGATATAGGTACCAATGATCCGCCAGGGCGGCACTCGAACCTTCAGCCGGGGGCGAGGTTCGAACGCATCAAGTACATACCCCCTACATATCGCGACCAAGAGCTGAACTTTTACCCATACCCACCGACGCGTTCGCTTGCGGGTTATCTCTCCTTAGAGTACCCCGCACTCTGCTCAGGAACTTATTTGATCAGCAAGACCCCCGAAAGGCTGTACGTATTGTACATTGCTGCTGCTACGACTAGTACATACTACTCACCCCCAGTTCGACGCTCACTTATGCTCGTTTTCCGACAAATAACGTTCACGAACCGGCCTGTTACATATACTACGTAATCTCTGAATCGGTGCCTGCGCTTGGGCTATCCGGACGGCTATATACACACACACACGAGTGATACCATATCGTGCACTGCGGCAGGGACTCCAATCCACACGAATAATCGAAACGTCTCGACGGAAGGCGCAGTTGGCGCACAAGGCTGGGGACGACAAACAGCGGCGATAGTAGTCGTAGGCTACATCAATCGAAAATGGACAGTCGGCCGTCACCACCACCAAACTCAACTCAAGGACCGGCACCCCAGGACTACGGCCATGGACTCTCCCGCTCTCTGGTGACGACCGCGTACGCCGTATCCATACTCCTGTTCGTCATTGGTACCATTTCGATTATCCTGAGGATATACTCCAGGGCGGTCGTGGTAAGGCTATTTGGTCTGGACGATTGGTTGATGACAAGTATTCTCGTGGGTCTATCTGTGCTATGGGTGGCGACGATAGTGGCTGATGAAAGGGGGATAGGTCTTTCATTCTGGGCAACATGCTATCCTCATGCTCTTCTTGCATTATGGGGCGGGATTGTAAGTCTGCTCTTCGCGGTCAACGGGGATCCATTCAACTAACCTTCGTGATCAGACATAACAGTGTGCTGATGGAAACGGACCCCGGAAGTCTCGCCGTTCTCCCCAAGGTCCTCCTCGCCGAACAATTCTATTATGCATTTATGCAATTCATCATCAAGATGTGCATCCTAGCGTTCTACCTGCGCCTCTCACCACTCCAGACATTCCGCAGAGCCGTGTATGGTACCATGGCACTCAATACCGTCTGCACGGTCGTGATCTGGCTGGTGTACTGTTTGCAGTGCATACCTTTGAAAGGGTTCTGGGCTCCGACCGTCAAGGCGAAGTGCTTGCCGCCATTGTTCTTGAACTTTTTTCCGGCGTCGCTGGTAGGAACCCTTCGAGCTTTTCTCGGCTTCGCACAGAGGGTGCTGACAGAATGGTGCAGAACATCGCAACCGACGTCGTCATCTTCATCTTGCCTTTGCCAACACTGTTCAAACTCCAGACTAGCCTCAGACGGCGGGTTGCGGTGATGTCGATAATGAGCGTCGGCGGCATCTCCCTGATCGTGTCTTGTCTCCGACTCATCGTGTATGCCCCCCCGCGCCCTCTCTCTCTCTTTCTCCCGATCGTTCCTCCTTTCCGGTCAGCATCAATACTAACTCCGGGACCTAGCCTCCACCAATTCGCCGCCGACCTAGACTTTGCCTACCTCCTGGGCAAAATGGTGATCATGTCTGCTGCCGAGCTCGAGACGATGATCGTAGCGGCGAACATCCCGTCCTACAAAGCGCTCTGGGTGCACGGTCTAGGGTGGAAAGTCTTCTGGGGCAGTACTCGGAACGAGAGCACCGGTGGAGCCCAGAAGCTCAGCGGGTACGAGCTCACGCACCACAGCCGGCTGCGCGCGCCCACGAAAGAGATCGGAATCGACACCGAGATCGGCCTGCACGATTCCCAGGAAGAGCTGTGTAAGAATGAAGCGGCGGCGGCGAGGGCAGGCGGCATACAGGTCTCGAGAGACTTCACCGTCACGAGTGATAGGTGTGGAGAGAGGGACGCGGCGAAGTTGGATAAAGAGAGGAATCGAGCGTATTATGATGTCGGCAATAGTTGATGCATGGATGTAACGGTAGAGATAGGGATGGATAGACGCAATCATTGCAACAGCTTTTTTTTTCCTTCCTCTTCTGCTTTTGTTGCGGCATTCGGTGTTCGACGGGTCTGGTCATGATAGTTTTAAGTACACCATACGTTTCCTGTTCCCACCAGAGGCCGAGACGGCTGGCCCCGACAGGTTGAAGGAATCGATATCACTCGTGGACAATATACCGTAGATGATAGATACCCACTCACGTTCACCAGTGGCACCGAGCAGCGGATATTTCAACTCCCTACCTACTTATTGTGGAAGTTCGCTTCCCAAGGCCCACGTAACCTATCGACAGAGAAGGGAAGTGCGCAGCACGAATGAACCTCGGGTATACTATATTCTCTATCAATCGAAAAGGTGACCTTGTGCTGAGGTATGTACCGGTTATCAAGCACCAGTCCTGGCGCTACGTCAACGGTCAACATCTACATATGATAAAGCAAGAAACCTCTCAGCTCCCAGCTCCTACTCATCCGGGGGTTTGCGTACTACCTACATCACTACGTGACATTTCTGATTTTTTTGTTTCATCATTTTGCATTCGCCCGTGAGCGATCATGCGCTAGTTATGCTCTCCTAGTACCTACTAGGTATCATGGTTGCAGCCGATCCTGTTCCCACGGGGTTCCCGCGGTATTGCCGCGGCCGAATTCCGATGGCGATAGATAACCGGCTCGACGGGGATGCGGACACACTTCCCTACATAACCACCACCTAGTACCTACTGCATACCCGCCGGTATTGAAGCGAGAATCTGAGATCGACATGGTCTTAATTAAAGTTTTGCGCACGCACGGGAAAACTTTTAACCCACGCTCCGCGGCTCCGAGTGCGGAATTCGAATGATACCTCGTGCTGCAGAAAGTTGAAACTGGACAACAGTCGACATTCTGGCTACCTCTGCTTGGGTACTAGTGAGTAGGTCAAGCTACCGGTGGGGGTTAGCTTCTGTGATCGTCCATGGGAGGTGGTACAATCGGGTGCGAGCTTTTGAAGGACTGCGCGAGTGCTTTTACCTCATGTCCCGCTTTACTCCAGCTACCGACTCAATAACTATCAACATCTTGAATGAGGGTAGCTGCAGTCACGTCCTTGCTCCCCCAGACATATGTGCGGAGCAGTCAAGCATCACAGAACCATTAATTTCGAAGATGATTCTCCAGCCTTCAGGAGAACGGTGTGCAGTACCCTCAGTGGTTTCTCCCTCTTTACAAACACGTAACATCAAAGCTCGACGCCTTAGTCGCAAGCCAAGAAAGTTGAGCTTACACAAACAGGTCCCCTGTGATATTTATTCTGGAGTGATATCTACAACTCGATACGGCTGGAAGGAAGGACAAAACGGCATATATGACGAAAAGCACGATATGCCGTATCTGACTCCGCGGGGATGGGAGATGTCCGTGATGAAAGTGAAAGGCCTGCACCTTCAAGTTTAAGGTGCTCATGTACCGGCAGGATCTCAGAACGGCACCAAGGCCGCCCAGCTTCCGCCGTCTTGAGGGGTAAGAATTCGCCTCACTCATCGTAGGTACACCCTTATCTTTCCGGTCAGCATGAGGAAGTGGATTTAGGAGGATTCTGGACGAGGGCAAGAACAGCACGAGAATTGCCAGAGGAACAGTCAAGTAAAGTAAGGATAGTATCATGACTGGCCCTCAGTCTAAAAGTACGGAGCCAGCCGTCAAGACAGTTCACTGACTGTGCGCAACTGGTAACAACAACAACAAACTCATTCAGTACTTGGAGAACGAGTGCCACCTAAAACCGAGGCAATAAACCCCCCCCCCTCCCTTTTCAACGCCCGAAAACAAGCCTCATTCGTCGTCCATCACCATAGCACATAATCCCCCACCGTCAACTACTTGGGACCACCCAACACCCTACCAATAACAGACTTGACTCCCTTGAAACACTGCGCCTTCACGTTGCCAGCCACGCATTGGGTATCGACCTCGGACGGCACCACGGTCCAGTCGTCGTCTTCTTCCGCCGGGGCCGGCGCGGGCTTCGCCGCCGGCACGGGCTTGGCTGTGGATATGATACTTGCAATCAGCGGGCTATTATCTTTGAAGATTGGGCACCGGACGAGTAATGGTGTACTTACACTTGATATTCTCGACGCGAATAACCTTCGTGCCGCTGGGGAAGTGGACGTGGATCTCCCTGTCGCCGTTCGGCAGGCGGTGGGTGGTGACCTGCTGCTTGTAGGCAGGAATGTACGTCCATCCCGTGGAGAGGGAGGCGTCGACGGGGTTCGACGGGGAGGACGACGAGGAAGAGGATGAAGAGGCCATCTCGGTAATCGGGTTTATGGAAGCGGTATGGAAGGAAGTGGGATGATGAACTCGGCGGGTTGTTGGCAGGGAGTGATGCCGAGGGTTAGGTTGCAGGGACGGTACAAGGTGAAAAGATGAGGGAGTCTGCTGTGGTAATGAAAAGAACCTTCGCAGGCACAAACGGAGGGTCAGAGTTGTCGAATTTGGGGAGGGAGAGGGAAAGGGAGAGGGGGATGGGGGAGTACAGCAAGTTAGTCACTCAACTCTGCTTCACTTGCTTCTGCGTTTCTGCGTAGGAATGGTGTGAAGTAGGAAGATGGAAATCGCTCTCTAGTAGACTACAATGTGGTGGGAGTGATGAGTCGTTGGTACGGTTGTTTCTGATCTTGGAGATGGAGAAGGAGAAGGAGGAGAAGAAGAAGAAGGAGGTAGTACGTGGGAGGGGAAATGGAGAAAGTAGGGACCTCTAGTTGAGGCCGAAACCAGCACTGCATGCTCATTTTCATTTAATCGTCTGCTGGATGAATAAATGAGTTGTTACGTAGCTGCAATAACGGCTAGAGGAAAGAAGAAACAGCATACTCCAGAGAATAAACAAACAGCATACAAAGATAGAAAGCATCCTTCCACGGCACATTCACATTTGTGTGATGATCTAGCCATCTTCAAGTTTCTCTCTGTCGAGGGCATGTTCTGTGCAAGTACGGCCCCAGGGACGTCGACCATCTGCTCCGAGAAACAGGCGTCATCTGTTCAATACATTCCCGAGGCTACGTGTAAAGCATTGAATGATCTTTCGTTAGCAGTCGCCCTCGGCCAGCAGCAGAAGGAAAACACAGATTAATCAATTCACCATCTTCTACGGCTCTGCCCTCTATTTCTAGTATTGCTTTTACCCTTTATCGGATTCTTCCATCGCCGTATCCATCCACCATCATCCCACACACCCGACTCTCGTAAAGCCGTTAGTCCTCATACGACATCAGTCTATTGTCTACCACGGCTACACGTCATCATTTCACAAACATCGAACAAAAATGCCATTATTCCTGTCCTGAGTAATTTCACCACGATGACTTCCGTCTGCCTACGCTTGAATCCGAATTCGATACGAGAGCTCATAGTCATCAGCCATCATTCGATACTAGGGCTTGTCATCATGAGCCCTCATTCGGTACGAGTGCGATATAGTGAATAGCCATATTAAGAATCAATGGCAATAGAATGTTTCTTCAGGTAGATCTGTATTGAATAGCTCTACACGAAGCTATTCATTGATATTCAACTGAAGGGGGCCTTACGTGTCTGAGGAAAACCCTGCCAAAAGATGGTAGCATCTCGTAATTTCTTGTTCTTTATACGCCGGCAGCATAGCTGGCAGCTTATGAGTCTTATCACTGTTTATTTCATGCATTTGCTTGTTTGTAAATGACGGACTCTACCACTGCGACCAGCTGTGGCAGTATGGGAGTGAGATCGGCAGGTTACCCTATCGAGCCACCCTACCCATCGAGCCAACCCGCCCATCGAGCCACTCCGCCGATCCTTCTTCACATCACTTCAACTCTCCTCTGTCCATTCTTCACATCACATCCACTCTCCTCTGCCCATCCGTCTTCACATCACATCCACTCTCCTCCGCCCATCCGTCTTCACATCACTTCAACTCTCCTCCGCCCATCCTTCTTCACATCACATCCACTCTCCTCTGCCCATCCGTCCTCACAACACATCTACTCTCCTCTGCCCATCCTTCTTCACATCAAATATACTCTCCTCAGCCTCAGATCGTAGCCATGGCGGCAGCATTCTTCGACGGTGCAGCATTCTTCGACGGTGTTGCGCAGATCGTAGCCCGTCTTTCTTCACATCACTTCAACCCTTCTCGTCTCATCCTTCTTCACATCAAATTTACTCTCCTCTACCCATCCTTCTTCACATCACATCTAGTCTCCTCTGCCCATCCTTCTTCACATTAAATTTACTCTCCTCTACCCATCCTTCTTCACATCAAATCTACTCTCCTCAGCCTCAGATCGTAACCATGGCGGCAGCATTCTTCGACGGTGTTGCGCAAATCGTAGCCCGTCTTTCTTCACATCACATCAACCCTCCTCAGCCCTCGGCGGCACGACCTCAACCACAACTGTGTACGCTGTCCCCGAGCCGACCGAGCCATCGGGTGGTACCATCAACCATCATCGATTCATCCATCCAACCGGGTGGTACCATCAACCATCATCGATTCATCCATCCAACCGGGTGGTACCATCAACCATCATCGATTCATCCATCCAACCAGTGCCGCCCAACACCAACAAGACGGTTGATACGACTTTAGTTACATTAAGGGTCCTTTATGGAGCATACTGTGGGTCGGACGACTACTGCAAGACCTTTCACCCACGCGCAGATCTCCTCCCCATGGTTCGTCTTTTTGGACGTGACGAGAAATATCATCTACTATTCATCTTCAACAATGCTTTTCTTAACGGCAGGGAAGTTTATCGTGCATTCTTTCGATCAAGAAATTTAGAAACAGCATACCGTCTCCATGACCAACCGATTCAATTGGCTACCGGCCCCAGGGCCATAGATCTGCAGATGTTGCCTGCGGCATCACTCGTCGTGCACTTCCTCGATCAAACAATTGCGGCGAATTTGAGGCTGCATTTCTATGCAGCATTCCGTCTCCATGACCAACCGATTCAATTGGCTACCGGCCCCAGGGCCATAGATCTGCAGATGTTGTCTGCAGTGTTGGACGTTGTCTGCAGCGTCGGACCTAGTCTGCAGTGTCGGATGGGGGGGGGGGGGGGGAGGCGAGAGGAGGAAGTGAAGGTCGACGTTGTCTGCAATGTTGGATGAGGGGGAGGCGAGAGGAGGAAATGAAGGCCAAAAATATATGCAACGTCGGATGGGGGGGAGGCGAGAGGAGGAAGTGAAGGCTAACAATATCTGCAATGTTGGATGAGGGGGAGGCGAGAGGAGGAAGTGAAGGCGGACGCTGTCTGCAGTGTTGGATGGGAGGGAGGCGAGAGGAGGAAGTGAAGGTCGATGTTGTCTATAGCGTTTGGAGAGTAAGTGAAGGAGGAGCTGTTGGCGAGAGGAAACGAATGTGGTTAGTGGTCAGCATTAATGTTGGTGGATGGCTGGTTTCTTCTTTTTCTTTTCTTCTTCTTCTTTCATGATCATCATCTAGCAAATATGTCAAATGTACTGAGATAGATAGGAGAATTGGTAGGAAGATAGAACTGTTTTGTAGCTTGCTTTTTCTTCTTCTCCTGGCCAGTGTACTTCTATATATACAGAATATGTCTGCAATTGGGAGATATCCCCGCCGGCGAGACCAGACAACAGACCAGACAACAGACCAGACAACAGACCAGACAGCAGAACTCATCTCCTCCTCCGGATACAGTTCGCATGACTGAGTCCTTGACTCCTTCAGAACTGAGAACAGTGCTCCTTGAAACTTCACCATCACCATACAGCAGACATAAGGAGAGAACCTTCATGCGCTCCGCACGCCGTAATCTGACAGAATAGACGGTCAACCCCCCATATCCGCTCTCTCCTCTGTGTGCGCTTCCTTTCTCGTCAGGCCTGGAGAGGCATTGGCAAAGAGCCCTCGCACAACGGATAATGCGGCAGTCACTGCTTACAGTCGCGTTTGGTGTACTGCGGAAGTTGCATCGTGTTGGCTGGGTCAACACAGCTGAAAGAATGAAGAAGACTCCGTTCTGCAGTGGACCTGATCCACGCAAGGAAGGTGTGAAGAATCCCGTCCAGTTAGATTCCTAGACGAGTGCGGCATGATGACTGCCCACGTGCGTGCTCCCCTCTAGTTCAGATCCGCTCTAGCCCGATCGAAACCCAAATCAAAGAGAGCTACTTTCGAGCTAATCACAGTCCATCGGCAGCCCTCGATCGGTTCCCCTCATGCCTCATGCACGCCATCCGATCCTCCCCCAACCTCCTCCATAAACTAAGCGCCCGTACCCCAGCCTGCGCAGATCCCGCGCACACGGCAGCATCCCCCACACAACCACTAATCCGGCAATCCGCCGGCCTCCAATCCAACCACACAAACGAACGGAACGCGCTCGATCTTAGATACCTACCCCCCCTCCCACCCGCCGACCGCGCCCGTAAACGACCCACCACAACAAACCACGTAACTCATACCTGCCTGCTCTACATGCACTGACGGAACGGACGATGCCGCGCTCGCACCGAGGCCCCAGCCGCCCTGGGCCACACTCTCTAATCCTCCCGTTCGCGCTCACACTCACGACCGCCGCCCTCGCCTCCGCCGGTCTATACTTCTTCTCGTCTGAGTCCTCCCCACCGAGCTCGTACCCGGGCAGCGACAGTGAACACGAACCGCCGCGTCGCAGCCACAGTAGTGGCCACCACTCCCACCGCCGTCGCCGCCGCCATAGTGACCGTGTCCATGACCACATCACCGAGGAAGACACCGATGCGATTGAGGATTCGCGCCGGGAGGAGGAGCTTTATCGGAAGCGGAAGTCTGCTGCTGGCGTCATGTCCTATATGAAAGGCGCCGTGGAGAACTTTACGCATCATGACGACGACGATGATGGGCTCGCGTTCGAGGAGGACGAAGAGGTGGTGCACAGGCCGAGGCCAGGGAGGGATAGGCCGTCGCAACAGCCACCGAGACCGTCAGTGATTGACACCGCCACTGGCCGTCGGCCTACTGCCCCGTCATCAGCCCCCATCTCCGCCGTTACACCGAACCTCCCCGCCCAGAACAGCTACACCGCCTCAACCTCCGCCGCCTCAGCCTCAGCCTCAGCCTCAGCCTCAGCCTCCGCCGCCAAACCTGCCCAGAATAAGAGCCAATACGTTCCACCGCCGCGCAGGAAACGCCCAGTAGTACTTGTTGTCGAAGAGCGCAAGGCCACACACGGACATGATAGCGACGCCGAGTTTGAGGAGCTTCTACCGGCGGTGCGTTCTAGTTCCCCTTTTTATCCACACCGTCCTTGGTGTTGTGGCACTAATACGTGCGCCGTTTTTCAGCGATCGCTTCTCTCGAAAATCCCGCACCCGCTTAAGCTATCCAATACAATTCTGTACATCCTGATCCACTCTCCGCACATGGCTTCCGACAACCAGAGCACTACCGCACGGAAGGCGAAGAGGAATGTTAGATCGAGCGACAAGTTGACTGTCCTGGAAGCTCCCGAACCAATGCCTTCGCCATCACTCCAGGGCATCCGATTCCATGAGGACATGAACAAGAGTACTTTCGAAATCGCCAGCGAGATCCTACCCGACGGCACATCACAGGACAACATCGTGCCCTTCGCATCAATGGACGCGCTTGTGCCGCTCCTGCGCAAGCTGGCCCCTGACGTCGTGTACTTCGAAGAGGCGGCGGTGGATGCGGAGGGAAGAGTAGTGGATGAGGTTCTTGGTGGGAGATGTATCAACCGCGCGGTTGTGGTTGTGGGTGGTGGTGACGGAGTCGACGATATTGCGGGACTGGTTGACAGCAGCGATGAAGATGACGCCGGCGACAGGAGGCGGGGAGAGGGGAAATGGTGGGGCCCTGGGGCGCCCATCAGAATCCGGCATGGAAAGCGCGTGGATGTCGTTGAGGCGTGGACTGTCGAGGACGATTGGAGGAGCCGTATTGAGGAGGCCGATGTCGCCCCTCAGTAGGGCGTATTTGTGTGGGTGGGTGATGATATTTGATGACTTTGTTTTTTTGGCTTTCTGTTTGTTGTACGTATACCCGGTGTATTTCCAATTTTGATACTATCACTTCCTTCTTGCCTTCTCCCTTAATACCTACACCGAGGGTTGCTTTGTATATCATGCTTTTTTGGATGGATGGGAGGGAGGTCTGAGGGGAATGGAAAATAATCAGCATACCCAAGTACTGAAGTACCTACCTTGAAGCCTGACTGGAGTGAATCTTGAGGTGTCACTCGTGAGAGATGGCTCCATTGCCACATCTGCAGTCTGCACTGGCGAGACCAAATGTGTGCTTCCTCAATGCAATCGTAAATGCAGGCGCATAGGCTAGGGACCAACGCCCAGTCTCCAAGCTCTTTGTTGAGATATATGGGTGAACAGATGATAATATTCTATTCGATACAGAAAAGAAGAACCTATCGTCCACGGCGAAGGCCTCTATTTATGATTGAGCACCGAACAAAGTTGGCCGCCGAACAAAGTTGGCCGCTCATCAGAGTTCGCCAGGCCCGCTCATCAGAGTTCGCCTGGCCGCCGTCGAGACTCTTCCACCGCCAAACCTTAACTGAGATCTCCGGGCGACCAAAGTTTGACACTCTTCTATGGCCGGTGTTCTACATAGCCCAGTTTGTCCGGTTTTCACCTATGGGCTGGACTGGATTACCTATGTGACGTGGTCCGTCTCAAGGCCCGGACGGGACGGTGCAGCTTGGGGGTGTGACCAGACAGGACAGCCGGCAGTCGACTGCCAAAGATGTTCGGAATCACCGAAGAAAATTCCGGCAAAGGACGTTGCTGTGAGAATGATGGGGTTCTTAATGGAGGAGTCGGGCATCCGGTATGCAGAGAAGGTCTAGGGTGGAGACGGGGCAGAAAGAGACCGCGCGGATGATGTAAGGAATTACAAAAGTGTCATTTTGACTTTACGATACCTGCATGCTTCTAAAGAGGTAGCTGCTTCTGTAAATCCCCCGAGCAGAGTGCCTGCAATATATTCTCTATCGCTTCACTTACCTTCCCTCGTTCCTGCAAACAACCCAGCTATGCCCACCGTTTATGCCATCATCGCCATCAAAGAGCTTTACATCCGAAAACCACTAGTTTGGGTCTCCTCATCCATCCAGAGTGGGTCAATACCGTAGAATTCGCGCCTGATGGCAAGTTCTTCGCATCAGTACAATCAATGGTCTAGCAGCTTTTAGTATGTGGATGAAATCCTGGTGCCCCCCAAAGTTTTTAAGAAGCCATTGTACTTGCCACCGTTTAGCGGACGTTAACCGCAATGAGCCCAGGGCTTTGAAACTTGGTGTTTCAATGGGTAAGGCTAGACTGTTAGGATGGAGCTTAATACGTCGTTTCTCGGTGACGCTACGGTTTGAAGTGACTACGATCATCTTGTCCCCTCTACGGATGTCAAACACCAGCTTTATTTTGTATTCAGTGCTGTGTTCATCTTTCTTCATATGGCTTTTATATCACGAATTATGCACATGTCCGATAGTTTTCGGCCCTTCGGGACCGGCCGTGGGCAGCTGATTACATGCAATGACGTGCAACACCGAGTCAATCATGATGATGCACTCACTGACGTTCACTCGCCAAGTGAGAGGTGTTACCGCATTCTTAGACCTTCTCCGAGCTCTCCATTAATATGTATTCTCATTCAAGATCATTCCGGAGGTTGCCGTTACGCGGTAACTTCTCTCTCTTTCTCCGTCAGGTTGAAAGCGCCGCACGTGACGCCAAGCCTGGCACATATCGCCATCTCTCTTGCACTCGCGCCTGAAACTCGACTACCAACTTCAACTTCTCCAGCTCCCAAAATCAAAAGTCGCACAACCGCACGCTCGTTCCACTCCGCTCCTGCAGTTGTCGCCAATTCCCACTCTCTCTTTACGCGATCGCGCAGACCCCTAAATATCTCCTCCCCCCAATGATTGTGGCATAGAAGGAGCAGTCACTTAGCTATTGCAAGCGAGCAAGAAGCCCCCGTTTAACTTCCCGACCGCGCTGTCGCGAAACGCACCGTAACAGAGCCGCATCGAGGGGACCAGGACATACTATCACACACCACCCACCACCCACCTACCCTTCAACACTCGCGCGCATACCCCTCCCCCCAGCATATGCCCACGACATCCTCACAAAGCCCATCCTCAGTGCTCCCTATCTCCCGCATAAAGCTCCCCGCCTCCAATATGGCGGCTGCTGCCACCTCGAATCCTCCTAGGCTGACAGGAAAACATCCACCGGGCGGGTTGGCATCGGCGTATGGGCGGCCATCGGCCGGATCGAAGACGCGTCCCCAAGCGCTGGCGAATGGCGTTGGTGGTGGTGGCGGTGGGGCGGCGGCTTCTGCGACGGGGACGGGTACGCCTACCGCGGCTAGTAAGCTGGCGGAACGTAAGAGGGCCGCCGCAAATAATAAGGCAGCAGAACTGGCACGACAGAGGGCGAAGACAAACGGGGGTAACGACGACGACGACGCCGGTGGAGGAACCAGACGGGAATAGTGTTACGGCGAGGGAAGCTAGAGAGAGAGCTGCTGCGATACAGGTTCGTAGGTCGTTGCGCGCGCGCGCCGGCGGCGGTGGACCGTATGGTGGCGGAGGAAGCTATTGCTAATTCTTGTGCATCTGTAGAAATTACCGCCGCGACCGCCTGTTATATCTACATCTTACATTCTCAAGCGATTTACCGGGAAACCGCCGAGCTTAGTGTTACACCTCCACCAGCTTAACTTCCGGTTCGAAGGGCAGGATGGGAGTTTTGGATATGGCAGTCCTATGAGGGTGTGTTCTTGCGCTGGCGTTGCCGTTGCCTGAGCTGTAGCGCTAACTGATGGCTTGACTTAGACGATTCTGGAATGTGTCCGTAATGAAGAGATTCCCCATGAGCTCATAGAGGAGTTTAGGGATGCGGGGACGATGTTCTACGACGGTATGTGTGCGCGGCGGGGTAGGGTCATGGGGGCGGGGATAAACGGGACAGTGGTCTAACGTGCGCAGGCTGTTTGATTGTGCAGATACATGACCATCGGTCGGCCTCTTCCACGTCAACGTCGAAGGTCAAGAGCAAACAGGACCCCGGGTCGATACACAACTACAACGAGTGGATATGTCCGTCGCCGATGGTTCCATTCCCGACTCCGAAGCCCCCTGAAGCGGTCGAGAAGAAGGAGGAGAATAAGGACGGCAAACCGAAGGGACCGAGGATCTTCACCACAGTTCTACACCCCACCCCACTCACCCTACACTGCGACATGGCCGTTCTTGCCTCAACGCCCATGCCAGGCCGATCACAAACCCTTGCGCAAACTTCTACCACAACTACCCCACGGTTACCCCCTACCCGCCGAACGATATTGGACAACTCGAACTTGCACGATTTCGAAGCCAAGAACCTTTTGGCCACCTCTCCATCTCTGATCCTAACCCCGGCAAAATCTGTCGAACATGCAAAGATGATCCACAAGATACTTCAGCACCCACTACACTGCTTTCCATTGCCTCCGCCGAAGGCGCGGAAACGCACCATGGCCGAACTACAGGCGGACGAGGCACAGGCGGCAGAGCAGGAGCGACTGCTGCTATTTATGGACGAGCGCAGGTACGCCGCACACAACGCCAACGGCTCAGAATCCGCTGTTGGCGATGGATCCGGCTCGTCCTTTGAGCACAGCTTCAAGAAATTCAAGGTCATCGAAAGCATCAAGCTTGCACAGACCGAGAAGAAGAAGGAAGCGGCGGAGAAGGCCGAGAAGGAGCGGAAGTTGCGTGCGGAGCAAGATCATGCCAATCGTCAGCGCGCCGAGATGCGGAAGCAGGAGGAGATGGAGAAGCAACGGCAAATAAACGCTAGGAGGGCGGCGAGCGCAAGTCAGCAGGGGAGTCCGGTGCTCGCTCAGGGCCCGATGGGAAGCTCCGCTGCGCAGGTCAATGGCATTACTGCTACAACGAGGCCAGGTTCCTCGGGTGGCATGAACTCTGTGCCTATGAGCCCGGCGCAGCAACAACATACTGCTAATATGCGATTACAGCAGCAACAGCAGCAGCAACAACAGCAGCAGCAACTCGCACACGTTCAAGCGCAAGCACAACAAGCACAGGCACAGGCCCAGGCTCAAGCTCAAGCACAGGCCCAGGCTCAAGCGGCACAGGCCCAGGCCCAGGCCCACGCACAGGCCCAGGCACAAGCACAGCAGCAGGCCGTGCAACAGCATCACCAGCAACAGGCTCAGCAACAAGCCCAACAGCAACAGCAACAGCAACAGCAACAGCAACAGCAGCAGCAACAGCAGCAGCAGCAGCAGCAGCAGCAGCAACAACAGCAGCCCCAAGCCCAGGCAATGGCAATGCAACACTCCCTATCACAACACTCTCAGCATCAATCCCCACGGCCACAACAAGCCGTTCCCCGCCCTCAACAGCAAATCCCACCGCAACAGCAACCGCTTCAAATCCATCAGCTCTCCCAGACCCCACTCCAACAGAGTACCCCCCACTTAGCCTACATCAACCAACTCCGTCAACAGGCCCAAAGCGGACAGAACCCAATGGTTGGCGTCTCACGCCCACCACAGGCCCAACCCCAACATGCCCCAGCCGCACGCCTTCAACCTCCTCAGATGAGCCATCCGCACGCCTCCCCTCGTGGCACCATCTCCTCTCCACGGATGCCTCCCAACGCCACTTTGCAGCAACAACAAGCCGCACAACACCAAGCCGCTCTCTACCAACAACAAGCCGCCATGGCCGGACACCCGCAAATGATCTATGGCAGCGCAGCATACATGCAAGCCGCGCAGCAACAGATGCTCATGCAGCAGCAACGGCAGATCCAAGGCCGCGGTGGCCAGATGATTGGCAAAAACATGGCTGGCCAGATCCGAGCAGGGCAGATCGGTGGTGGCGGTGTCGGCCGTGGAATGCCCATGCAGCAGCAGATGGGGGTGCAGCAGGGCGTTGGAGGTGTCGGTGGCCAGGGTTTCCAGGACTATGGGATTAATATCGGGCCTGGCGGCGGGATGATGCAGCAGCAGGGGATGGGCGGGGTTAATATGATGGGTGCGGCGGGGAGAGGCGTGGGGATGGGACGGGGACGGTAGTTTCTCCATCGCCATCCTTTCCATTGATTGTGTTTCCGGTGTTGGGCGGATAGGGTTTGGTTTGGTTTTTTCTTCTCTTTCTTTCACTTTTTTTTCTTCCAATCGACTCGCAATTTGGCCGGATTATGCGGATTGTGGGAGTGTTAAATGTTACAGTGGTTTTGCGCTTTAGCTTTTCTTTTCTTTCTACTCCTTCTATTCCTTCTTACTTTTTTTTTACTGTTTTTTACTTTCTTTTCTTTCTTTTCTTTGCTGTTTTGCGGTCTTCTTCTTCTTCTTCTTCTTCTTCTGTCTTTTTGAGTGCTGCTCAGTGTTTACATGCAACTGCAACCAGGCGTTTATCGAATTGAAATATATGAATGGATACAAATTTCTGCGTTGGTCTGATGCTTTGCTTGTTCCGCCGTGCTGGCTGGTTAGGTAGTGGATAGTCAAATGTACTGGTGTTTAGATTTTGAACGGCTGCTGGTCAATGAAGATAGCGGGTTATTTGAATGGTAGAATCATTTGCCGGAATTGCAGAGCCTAGGCGGTGGTATATTCCCACTACGCCCGCTCGCCCCTAGGGTGAATGGGATACGGTACGGCCGATTATCGACACCGATCACTCGCCGCACGTGCCCGATTCGCCGCGCCAGTAGCCAGCTACTCTGGATACCTACGTCATACCCGCCCCGACCCGCCCGCCCGCCCGCCGCAAGAAAGAGAGAGAGAGAGGTATGCTGTGCCATGAAACATGAAACGACGATCGGGTGTGTAGATACCGTACCGTACCAGGAGATACCGTGCCGAGTGTAGACCCCCCCCCCCCCCCGCCACCAACCCCGACCCGGGGCAGGAGGATACCGGCAAGGTTCAGTAGGCCCGCAAGTGCAGAACTACAACCGCAACCTACAGCCCACAGCACAACACGGCAAAACCATCAGGACCGTAGGAGCATCAGTCTTCGGGACCACAAGTCTCCAAATCCCCAGTCTCCAATGGAACAAACCCTCGGAAAAAACCATCGGAACAGACCCTCGGGAATCGGAAACGGGATCGGAATCGCAATCAACCATGTACGCTCAAACCCGAACCGGCGTAAACTCCCATCCCAGTGCCCGCCCCCCTTCCCGGCCCGCCCCAGTGCCTACCCGGCCCCGGCCCCGGCCCCGGCCGCAAACATCCCCGGCCCAAACCCCCAGCTCGGCAGCACCCACCAGCTCAGCAACGTCCCTAGTCCACTCGCAAGCACATACCGGTACTGACACTCGCAGGTACTGCTAGCCTGCCAGTCTGCCAGTCTGCCACAGAAACCGAAATATTCTATATCCTGCCGTTCCTCTCCATCCTCTCCTTTCCCAATGCTCATCCGCTCAATGGATACCACCATGGCACTATCATATCAACTATGCATGATAGGTAGGTGAGTAAGTAAATCCGGACCAGCAGCACCAGCATATCCAGATTCCAGCCATAACACCAGCCATCATTTCAGCCATCACAGCCAGCCATCACCGTATCCAGATTCCAGCCATCACCATGAGCCATCACTATCACCAGTGAATCGAACGTAATGTACCGTAATGAACCATACCATACCGTACCACAACATAACATAACTTATGCCAGTCTTCGCATCTTCTTAGCCACGCAGCCACACAACAGCAAAGCATCTCGACAAAAGCCCAGCACAGCGTGGCACAGCGTGGCACAGCACAGCACGATAATAGTGGAGTAAAACAAACAAAACCCCTCCATAGCCCGACGGTGACCTTAATACCTAATCCACAATTGTCAAGTCAAGTCAAGTCTCAAGCACAAGCAACAGCACAGCATACCTAATAAAAGGACAAGAAGAATAGAAGAAAAGAAGAAGAAAAAAGGAAAGAAAAAAGGAAGAAAAAACACATCAAGAGAACAAATATCCATTCACTCCAGTCCAGTCCAGCTCCCCAATCCCAACCCAACCCAATCCCATCCAACCCAATCCCATCCCGTCCCATCCCGTCCCGTCCGGCCACTGCGCAATCCAGCTTTGTCCCCCATAATCCTCGCGCCAGCTAACGAGCCCCATCCCCCCCCCTCCCCGCCATTTTCACCCCACGCACAGCCATTCACAGTAAATAAGGTAACAAAACACAAGAAGAAGAGACCACAGGAGGCAAAGTGAAGTGCGTGACAGGTCGAGTAAAAGTTAAAGAAAAAGAAGTAGGATGCAGAGTTGAAGAACGTAAGTAGTAGTAAGGTAAGGTAAGAAGTAATTGCCGCTCACAAATCCCTCCCAGATTGTCGGCTTCGGTTGGTTCAGGTATTGGTTGTCCCCGCTGTACACAAAAAAAAAACACACATTTGAAGGAAAAGAGAAAAAAAAGAAGAGAAAAGCAAAAACACCCGTACCATCCATTAAGAACTGTCCACACGATGGCGGTGGTAAGTGTGTATCCACCCAGAGTGAAGAGTTTTCTACATATCTATCGAAGATATGGGCTTCACCTCCCTCATCCGATTCCGTAAAGAGAGGTCGTTTCAAAGATTCTCACGAGGCTCGGCTTCCCGGTATGCTTGGGCCCTGGCAGCTTCGGCTTCTCGGTCATCTCGAGACTTGGCGGCTTCAGTTCCCTCATCCTGGATGGTCTCCCGGAACCACGGGTGCTTGAGCGCATCTTTGGCGGTAATCCTCTTGTTGGGATCGTAGACGAATATCTTCTTGAGCAGATCGTGGAACTGCTTGTTGAAGGTATTGTTGCTGGGGATGATGTCCTATTTCGACTAATCAGAACGATGGGAAGAAAAGCCAAGATATCACGGCTGGAGAAAAGGTAAACAAACCTGCAGATGCTTCATCGCGTTCACGTACTTCTTGCTGGCCCTAGTAGTTTCCGCATTAGGGTAATCCAGCCTGGCTCCCTTGAAGTACCTAGGTAATGTCAGTGAACGAGTCGCCGGGAATGCACGCCAAACGGATAGGTCCGTACTTTGAAGCATTTGAAGTGTTTCCACCACCGCTCTTTCCCGCGATTGCCCGAACCAGCTTCGCGTCGATACGCGGCCCGCAGACGGCCTGCATCATGGCGAGATGCTCCAGGTTGTCGTGAGTCTGGAAGAGAGCATCGCCGGTATAAAACTCGACCAGAATGCATCCGATGCTCCAGATATCACAGGGGAAACTCCATCCCAGCCCCAGGATGATCTCGGGGGCCCTATAATGTCGAGTACTCACGACGCTAGAGTGGTACTCGTCGTCAAAAGTGGCCGAACCGAAATCGATGAGACGGATATCAGTATCCAAGAGTATCCGTCGAGTCCGTCCTTGGCGCTGGGTCAGGTTGGACGACGACGGAATCGAACGGTTGTAGTTGTACGTGTGGAAGCCGTTGTTGACTAGGAGGATATTCTCGGGCTTGAGGTCCGTGTGGATCAAGTTGAGATCGTGCAGAACTAACCAATCAGGTCAGCATCCCATCCCATCCATCCATCCATCCATCCATCCACCCATACCGAACGCGGGGAAAGAAAAGGGAAGAAAGCACTCACACGCAACACTAGTGAACAGCTGCCGAGCAAAACTCTGGATGTGCGTGCTAGGAAACGGAGCAAACTGATTCCCCTTGAGGAAATCAAAAACACTCATCCCGAGGAGATCGGTAACGATACCTGGAGATCTTCGTCAGCAGTGAACTCAATCGGGCTTTTGTCGTGTGAGCGAGAAAGCTGACAGATATGGTTCTTGTAGTCGAAGCAGTCCCTCAGATGAATGCACTTATTCCTATTCTCCTTGTCATTGCAGGAGAGGGTGGATAGAACTCGCAGTTCGATCCTCGACGCATCCCGGTATTTCTGGACCGATCGAATCACTTTGATCGCACATTTCGTACGTTTCGTGCGGTCGTAGGCCTCCACCACCTTGCCGAAGGTGCCCTGTCCTAGTAACTTGGTGATGCGATCTGAACACAAAAAAGGATTAGTCCGGGTCGATGGTCGATGGTGGTGCACAGAATTGTGGGGGGGTGGAGGGAACGACTACGCACATCGAGCAGTCAAATCCGTATTCGGTGAAACAATGTAGTGTCCGTCGTTGTCGTCAACCCTCTGTTGACTATTTCTATCCGGCTGTTATACCAAAGAAGAAAAAAGGGCGACCAGTCAGCAGCGTCCCATCCAAGTGCCGAAGAGAAAAGCGTAAAGCGTATACGAGGGAGGGTGGGTTATCGATCCACCTCCGCGAAACGAACGCTGATTTTTTTTGCAAAGCCAGACTACTTACATCCTGAATTGGTTGCACGTAAACATCCTTCGCCTTGATCGGTGGTTTCGGTGGCGGGTGATAGCTCGCAAACGCATCCAGCGTGTTGGCAGCAGCAGCAGCCGCTTGACTTGCCCTCGTAACCCTCTTTCGCTTCTGACCGTTGGCGGCGACGGCAGCAGCAGCTGCTGCGGCGTTCGAAGAGGCGGCGGCGGCGGCGGCGGAGGCAGTGTAATCCTTAATGCTGCTCACGGACCCCAGCGAAGTCCCCGCCGTGGTACCATTGACGCTCGAAGCACTCGAGTGCGCCGACAGAGTGGTGGGTGAGGCGTAGCCGTTGAGATGTGGCGTCTGCGTCGCAGAGTAGGCGTGGCCCTCTGGTTGACTTCCGTACACGGGTTCGTATTTGACGGACTGTGCCGACTGCGTTGACTGAACTTTTCGCTTCTTGTCCGCATGACGAGGCGGAGCGTTGTTGGCGGCGGCGGAGGCGGCGGTAGCAGCGATCGGATATTGCACGGTTCCATTCTGCCGTGAGGAGGACGATGCCGGAGCGGGGGCCAACGCCGCGGTGCCTGCTGCTGCGGTTGCTATCGCCTGGTGTTGTCGACCGCTGCGAGACGACACGGCAGGAGGGGGCGGACTCGGCGAATCGTCAATGACGATGATCTCCTTCGGGGGTCCATTCCGATAAAATTCCTGCCAGTCCGGTGTCCGCCGGCGGGATCTCCGGGGAGCCGATGACGAAGTGGACGCAGCTTGTGTTCTCGACGCCATCGTTCCTGAAACTGTCGTACGCGTTTCCACGGACGAAGATGGGGACGAGGCCGACGACGGAACTGGAGCTGTCGCTAGCGGGCTCTGAGGCTGGAAGTACGGTAGCGGAGCGGGTAATCGCTGGTGGTTGTGGTGAGAGTGGGAGTTGAGCGAGGTCAGGGCAGCGTGCGGGTTGGTGCTGTGGGTGTTGTTGTTGTGGATCTGGAGCGGTTGGAGGTGGTGGTGGAGGAGTTGGTGCGGGTTGTGGTTGTGGTTGCTGTGGTGGTGGTGGAGGTGGTGGTGGTGGGAGTAGTTGTACGAAGAATAAGGATTGGCGATGTCGAGTGGAGCAAGTGCGGTAGCTGTGGAAGGAGTCGACATCTGGAAAACGTTCCGCGTATTTTTTTTATTCGGCAACGCTTTGCAAGTGCACACGACTCAGCGAGGAGACTCGCTGAGGACTATCGCCAAACCGTTATCTTTTTTTTTCTCTTTCTCTTTCTGCCTCTGGCTCTTGTCTCTGCAGCGCGAAAAACGGAAGGGGGTGGTATGGTATGGTGCGTGTGGTGTGCGTGGTGTTGTGTGGTAGTTGGCGGAATATTGTTTTGAGTAAAATTGACGTGGGAAGGCGAAGGGGGGTTTGGAGTGCCGAGAATTTGTGGATAACTAGAGTGTATTGGAACGAGGCGGAGAGACCGAAGCAAGCAGACAAGCAGGCCGGCAAGCAGGTAGACCAGCAAGCAAGCAATACCAGCGTCACTTGAACGAGGTGAGAAGGGGGGAGACGGCGAAGTTGGGATCGGTGGAGAAGGAACTCTGGCCACGCCACACGCAACAGCAAGCGGTTGAGGGGGTTAAAGGGAGAAGCCGGGTGTCGTGATTGTTCGACTTCGTCTTATTCTTGTCGTTGAAGTTACGCTAAAGGGAATAGAGTTGTTTGGAGTTTGTGGCGGCGTGTGAACGCTGCAGAGGAGGAGGAGGATGGGAGGGAAGACGGAGGGACACGAGAGATGGAAATGGAAGCAAGCCAAGTTCGATTGTTGCCCGCGGATTCTATAGTAAAGGGAGTTTTTTTCTTCTTTTCTCTCTCTAAGTAGGTCGGCTTCAGGTCTATAGTAGGTACGCAGATGGTTTTCTGATCTTGTTCCTCCGTTCCCCGTGTTCTCGTGCCGTCAGAAGTCAGTGGGGGCATGGGTGGTGCGAATATCCGTGTCGTAACAAGCAGCAAGCGAGACCGCTAGAGTATCGGCTGCGGCGGCGGCAGTGGGAGGCAAGTCGGAGCAAGCAAGCAAGCAAGCAAGCAAGCAGGACGCAGTTGGCAGTTTTGGCTGAACGGGCGAGTCTGAATGGATCGTGGCAAAAGCGTTTGGGAGGGGGGGAGGTGGTTGGAGTTTGGGGGTCTCGTGAATTCTATTCTTCTTTGACTGCTTCTGGTCTTCCCGTCCGTTTCTGCTATGTGGCCGCGGAGGTCTCGGTGATTGGTTGTGCTGGCCGGGTTGACGATGGTTAACGATGGGGTGTATTGGCGGTGGTGGTGGTGATGGTGGTAGTGGGTGTGGCGGCGGATTCACGTTACTTCTTCTTCAAGCAGGCAGATCGATATCGAACCAAGTTCCGATTTGCAGGCTGCAAAAGAAAAAGAAAAAGACGAATAAAACACCAGAGCGAAAAGGAAAGGGAAAAAAGAAGAAGAAATCTCTAAAAACGGCAGACAGACAGGAACTCTGCCTGTAGAGTATAGTTAGTACTCAATGGAGTGGGGTACGATATCTAATTGAGAAGACGCAGCCAAAGAAAGACGGAGATGCTGGTGCTGATGATGTCGGTGTTGATGATGCTGATGCTGATGATGCTGATGATGCTGCTGGTGATGATGATGATGCTCCGAGTTTACATAACACCGGCCGGGCCGGTGGCACTCTAGAAGTGGAGTGCTCGCCTCGAGCCACGGAAGTGGTCGTGAATTGTGATTTGCTAGAGTGCTGACCCTCGCAGCAGCCACACGACTCAACGAGTCTGGTTTCCGTGTGTACAAAACTCGGCTGCAGCATAGCCTCCGAGCCCGGGTCACTGGCCTGTCTTGTTTATGTCCGTCTGTTCATTTCCATCCGGGCTCGCGCGTCGGCGGTCGCGGAGGTGGTGGTTGTGGTGCTGGTGGCGGCGGCGGCGATGGCATTATCACAGTAATGATGGTGGTGATGGTGGTGGTAGTCATGGCGGTGGTGATGTTGCGCGATATAACGGACTCCAGAGTCCAGAGTACCTAGTTTAATTATGTATGTACGAGTACAGCATCGCTTCGCTTCCGTCTTTCACATTCCCAGGCTCAGCAGACATGTCCGATGTGCATTATTATGTGATATCCGTAACTCCAGCTTCAGCTCCAACTCGAGTTCGAATCTCGCACATAATAATAGCGATCGATACGAAGCATCCTCATCTTCACGAGTTCGAAGTTGCAAGTTTGAATCCGTCGAATCTCGTAATAGCCATACATACAAACAAACCATCCTCTCCATCCGTCCATCTCGGCCATTCCTCGTCCGTCAAAAACTTACTTACCTACCGAGATCGCCATCGCATGAATGCAAACAGGCCAAAAGCCAAGGGCCCACCCACCGCCCCACCGCCCACGGCCAGGATCCATCCCATCCCACGGGGTCGATCTGGGCTTGGACGGGTTAAGGGCTAGCCGGTAAGTACTCTAGAGCACTTTTGCAGGTGGTGGTGGTGGTGGTGGTGGTGGTGGGCGCTGGACGACCCTGATCGTGATCATACCGTACTTATGATGTGTGCGGAGAGGGTTTCGACACAGCGATGATGTCTTTTCTCTTTTTTTCTCTCTCCTTCTTTCTCTCTCTCTCCCTTTCTCGCGGGAGGCGGGGGGCCAGAGCGCTATGTACCAAGTTGAATCATCAAAGCGACGAGAAGTCCATTCTCTGTTTTACCTTCTCTCTCTCGTGAACTGAGCTGAACTCGAATCTGGGTACTCTAGGTAAGTTATCCCTTGAGCTCTCGAAACGCGTCCACTCTCCCACAGAAAACCCTGGCCACTTTACGCCCCTCCCCTCCCCCCGACCGCCCATCTCCACCCTATAACTACGCGTATCTATCATAGGTAGTACCTACCGTAGTTACATGTCATAGAGTACATAGGAGGTATCTCGCAATCCGCGTCTGTCGCTCAACGGCTACTGGAAACATTCCGGCCAGCAAGTACCCAAGTACTATGTTACGCCCCCCTGGGCCCTCACAGAGTCCCCACGAGCCCGTCCTGTCCTGTCCTGTCCTGTCTGTCCTGTCCTGTTTTTGCACTCTACCATACCATACCGTACCGTACTATACACCCTGCATGTCACCGTCCGCACCGCCATCCGCACCACCGACCGCACCACCGTCCGCACCGCCGTCCGCGGCGCGCGCCGCAGGCCGTATATAGTAGTACCTACTACCCAGTGGAGTGGAGTGGACAAGTAGTAAGCAAGAGCAAGCAAGAGCAAGCAAGAGCAAGCAAGAGCAAGCAAGAGCAAGCAAGAGCAAGCAGACATCACAAATTCCAGGTTTGGTTTACGACGTGCGATCGCCCAGAAGGGCGTGGTATGGAGGGTACGTGTGGGCAGGGGAAGTTCTCTTCCGCTCCGTTGCTGCGTTGCGCTGCGTTCTTAACTTCTTGTTTGTGCGACGACAGACCGGCGCTCGCACTCGTCCACTGCTCGCTGCTGCTGAGTGCTGCTGACTTCATCTGCTGCCCGGTGCAAGGACGGCAATTTGGATTTTGGATTTTGGGGGAATTGCAACTGCACAACTGCAACTGCTGCAACTGCGAGACAGCATAGCATGGCTGCTCACTGGTGGACACGGTGGATACTGGGGATATTTGTGACACCGGGGACACTGCGGACACTGGGCACTGGATCGTAGATCTGGCGCTGCCTGCAGAGTCAGCGAGACGATGACGAGAAGACGAGAAGACGAGAAGGCTTGAAGGGATGCACGGCGTGCACGGTGTGCTTAGTCAAGCGCAACCACCACCTCCACCGAAACTGAACGACTGAACCCCACATACGGCAGAGAGCAAAACAGCAATCGAACACCAGCCGCCGCACGGTGAGCGGTGTGCAGTCAGCGGTGTGGGGAACAGGAAGCAGGCAGTCTCGAGCTTACTCTACCTACCGTCCTACCTCCGAACCTACCTACTCGAGACAGAGAGAGCGAGAGAAGTCAGTATCTATGCATCGCTTCTTCTTCCTCTTCCTCTTCTTCCTCCTCTTCCCCTTCTCCCCTCCCCCTCCTTCAAAAAATTTACGATAAACCCTCCCCCGATTCCCATCCCTCTCATCCCCCAGTGTTTCCATTCTACAACCGAACATCGACCGTAGCTAACGTTCTCTCGGCGCGTTCTCATTCCCGAGCGAGCGGAGAGGTGTCGGGCGTTGGGTCGGGTGTCGGGTGGCGTTCTACATTTCTACACATCTTGTGGCGCGCCAGATGCAGAGTAGGTAGGTTGAGTAGGTAGGTTGAGTAGGTAGGTTGAGTAGGTAGGTTGAGTAAGACTCTGTTACTCTGCTCAGCGCCCGCTTCCCCTTCCCCTTCCTGCAGTCCGGCCGGAACCACGGCAACGGCGACAGCAACGAAAAACGGAAACACGAGGTGTCAACAAACAGCACGACAAAGCAGCATGTGCTATTCCAGAGTAGCAGCAGAGTAGCAGCACGGTCAGCCATCAGCCATCCACCGGTAAGCGCGGCCCCGTGGAAGAGCAGCGTTTCAGCCACACAAGGCTGCTGGGGGAGGGGGTTTCGAGCGGGTGGCTAGTACTCTATGCATAGAGTACTGTAAACGAGGAGGCGTCTAAGCGCGGAGGATCTTACATACACTCCAGGCGCTGGCGCGTCCGGAGCGCGTCCGGAGCGCGGGCTAACAGGATACATAAAACTGAGGGGTGGGGTGGGGGTGGGTAAGATGGGTGAGTGATAGTTTGTGCACCACCCTCGCAAGTCGCGGATCGAGTGGCAGAGGGGGGAGGTGGGTTTTCGTTTTCGCAGCGGGGATGGGGTGTAGGAGTGAGAATGGAGTGTAGGAGCGGGCTTACGCGCTGGTGATGGGTAAATCCACGAGGCGGGTGCGAGGCGGGGTTTGTTTTTTTCTTTGACGTGCTGCATGCTTATGCGCATGCGCGTGAGCTTGAATGACTACTCCGAGAACTACTTGAGCTAGCTTCGTTGATGTTGTGTATGCTTCCAAGCTTCGTGACGGACTTGATGCGGCGGAGCCAGGCTCTAGGTGCTCTGGAAGACTCATTCAAACTTTGGTCTGGGGATGATGAATGATGAATGAGGGTCATAATTTTGAATAGCGTCACACAGATAACAAACAGTCAGCGACTTGTTATGTAAGTACACACTTTTTTACCCCTCGAACCGCAACCCAAGCTCAATAGCCCCCCATAGCCGCAACCCGCGCTCAACAGCCCCTCAATGCTCATCGCAAACCAACCCAGCGCCACTGACACTCCTCCCCCCCTCCTGCGCCGTTTTGATCTCCCCGCGATCCCCACATACTCGGAGATCCTTTCGAACTTCGTCACGATGATCCCCCGCCACGCTCGTGCACATACTTCCTAGGTACGCTGCTTCCGGCTGTTGACATCACCCAAGCGCCATTCGCCGCCGCAGGCCCGCATACCCCGCAGGCCGCAGACCCGTCCGAGGGTTTTCGGACATCGAACGGTGGGTCGGTGACAGCCCATGTGCTTTGTCTCGATGCGGAGTCAGATACCATCTCCTCGCGCGCTGCCTTTACCCAGAGTACTCTACCTACCGATGTGTAAGTCTTACGTAATCGCATGGCTGTCAACGTCAACGTCAACTTCCCCGGTGAACGAATTCGGCGCTGCTTCCTGGAGCTGCACTACCTAGCCTATAGTAGCCTGTCCACGACCCCACGACTACGTAGAATCGATATCTCCTGGAGGTGGATGGACTGGTTTGGATGGCGAACGGATGTCAGGAGGAGTGGAGCACAGTGCACGCTGAGTTGAGTTGAGTCGCCTAGGTAATGGCGGTTAACTATGTGCAAAATGGCTGAATGTGGTGTGAGTGCGGGTGGGGGTGGGCGTCGCTTGCCCCCAGGCGCTTCGAACGGCACAAAGACCTACCTAATCGACCGTCGACAACCGGTCGAATACCCATCGCCAAAGGGTCCCGGCGATCAATGCTATGGAGCTAGTGCTTAGAGGATTGAAACCGAAGATTCGCTTCTACACTGGTAATCCATATTTTGGTCTGGCTACATACTTTCCCAAACGTCGGTACACCGTACCCATCGGAAAGCCTGCTACATTCGGCTGTGGCTAATGTGTTCCTAGGTGTGTGTCTCTATTCACGTAAAATCACTCGGTATTGAAGTCACTTGGGTAAGAAGATCTGTGAAGAAACGGGGTATAGTACGACACACGGTTTGGGCGGTCAAGCTTCCTAGTACCTATTCAAGCGTTTTCGATACTATTGGGTGATTTACCGAATGGTAACAGCTCGACTCTGCACAGGGCTATCCATAACATGGCTTTTCTTTGCGGTGTCATGGAAATTCGGAATGCGATACTCAGTTACATTGAAGCCAAATTGAATGCTTTACTACGGCTAATTCTTCTCTAGGTACAATGTAGGCAGTCCCGGTGCCCGCTCCTCACTCATCGATCCTAACATAACTCGGCGCGGGCGTATCATCGCTCAGATCCGCCCAGGCCGTCCAATGCCTTCCGACATGCCTCCTCTCCTCCGCCTCATCCGCAATCGCGACGGCCAGATCCGCGACCGAAATCCCATGCAGGCGACCCTCCATGGCCTCAGCACTGTTCCTATCCCCCTTCAGCGGGAGAACATCATACGCCCACATATACACCCCCGTCCTCTTCCCGGGTCGATACAGAGAGCTGGGGCTAACAAAGGACCACGCAAAATCCGCCCTGCCCTCAAAAAACATGAAGCTAGTCCTGCAGGCGGTCACAAACTCCATCGCTGCATCCCTGTTTTTCACCTCCTGTTCATACGTCTTTATCACCTTCTCCTCCACCTCCCCGGCCGTCCCCGCCTTCAGCGCGAGCCGCGCATTCCGGTACCCCCGCAACGCGACCCCCGACGGCCCCAGGCGCTCCTCCATGTACGTCACGTGCGCGTGCGAGTCGGCTATGCCGCGGCGGTAGTCGAGCCACCACTGCGGCGACTCGAGGACGGAGACGTGAGGTTGTCCCGGTAGGTGCAGGGATCCCGTGCCGCCGACTTTAATGAAATACGGGACGCGCGCCAGCTTTATTGCGAGGATGACGCGCCGGGTTACTTCGAGGAAGGGCACTGCACCCACCCACCAGGACTACGTCAGCATCGAGGGGGAAGCGGGGGGAAGCGGGGAGGGGAGGGGGGGAAGGGGAAGCACTGTATTTCAGCGCCGCGAAACCGGCGGCGTGCGGGCCGTACTCGTCGACTATCACGTCGAAGCCGGCGAATGCCGCTGCGAGCACGGTGATGTCTGAGGTGATGTCGAGTTGCTTCGGCGTGTAGAGCGGGTGGATCCCGAGCTTTTCGGGGTGTCGAGAAAGACCGGTCACTCGGTGGCCGCGCGAGATTAGCTCCTTCGTTAGCCAGCTGCCGCCGAAGCCGGTGGCGCCAATTACGGCTATGTTCAGCGGAGTGGTGGGGGAGGGGGAGTAGGTGGTGGAGGCCATTGCAATAAGGGAGGTGTGGTTGGTTGCCTAGGCATCGAGACGATGGGGGTGGATATTATATGAGTCTGTGCCATTGAGACGGTCCAGCAAAGATGGATACTGGCAGAAGCTATCCGGCAGCAGGTGGGGCAGATCATCTCCAGATCCCCAAATGTGGGGTTTACTCTGAATTCCCAGCAGGGTTGTGGACCCGAGCCCGGCCGAAGCGGTGGTGGATCTGCCAAACCCTCAAGATGGAGCCTGTATAGTGATTTACGATACTTCTGGAATCACGACAAGTACCTCAACATCGTCTAAAAACGTATAGCAAGTAGATAGGTGTTACAAAAAGCCCCACAAAATCACGGCAACCTCCCAGTCTTTAGCCCCTCCTCAACCCACTCCTTCAAATCCTGATCCAGCAGCCCCATCAGCACCGGATCCGTTCCCTCCTCCACCCAGCTAACATCATGCGCAAGCGCCAGATGCACTCCCATCCCCCTCAGCACCCTAAGCTTGGCCATTGTATCCTTCGCCGCCGGAATATCCACATGCAGCGCCCCCTGGCTGCCATCGGGATTGCACCACGTGGCAATATCGTATTTCCCCTCGAGGAGGCCTCTGGGAATTGTTATTTAGCCACATTCAAGCATTGCAAGGAAGGATAGATGAAACAGCGTACCGTGAGTGACAGCAATCACTAGCCAACAGCACCCACTCGCCGCCTTCAATCCTGACGGCGCACGCCAAGTTCCCGCCCATATGTCCCGGCGCCTGGATAACCCACATGGTGCCATCGCCCAGAAAGTCCATCGCCCTCTCGAACGGCCCAAACCTCTTCCACGGGCCCCGCAGCGCCTCCCAGCTCTCGGTGCGATGCTCCGGATGGAAGAAATTCCCGTCCCACGGAACATCCGCTAGCTCTTCTCCGGTGGCCGAGAAGTGCCCGGCGCCGCAGAACTCCGCCGTGCCTGGCCCGAAGTACCCGGTTGCCCGCGGAAACAGGGCGCGGATGGGCCGGCAATGGTCCCAGTGTGCATGGCTGAAGATCACAGTATCCACCCCCTCTGGAGGTACTCCCGTACGCCTCTTGATCTGCTGCTCGATCGGCTCTGGTGGAGCGAAGGGGCCGAGCGGGAACATGTGTTGGCGCACCCACGGAGTGTAGTCGTCTGGATTCTTCACGGGAGTCAGTAAGGGGGCTTGGAAATGGCAGGCCAACCAAGGGACGAACGAACGGAGGTGTTGCCAACATCCCACACGATCTGACGGCCGCTGGGATGCGAGATGTGGAAGGCCCAGTTGAACATTGTAAATGGAGTGGCTGCGGCGCCGGCGTGCAGGAAGTTGGCTGTGGCGGTGAAGCTGCCGCCCGCGAGGAGGGTGAGCTCCACGTGGCTGTCGGTTTGGGGTAGCGGTGAGGACATGATCCTGTGAGGAAGGGTTATTGGACTGTCTTCAGCAATCTGAGGGGTGGGATGGAACGTGCAATGGTACTGACGCCTCACTACACATGGCTGCGAATCTTTACAGTGATACCGAATCGATAGAGTGAACTCCTTTTCTAGCACTCCTCTGGTCCTCCAGCGGTTTGATAAGGGCATGGCCCAGCCCTCGAGGGGTATCGCTCGTACCATCCCGGCACGGCTCATGGGCGATGCCGCAGGTGTTCTTGGTGAGTCCCAAGCAGCAGTCTCGTGGCCATCAACACATGCGTCTGACCCCGTCCGCCGTAGCTGCGACGCAACTACCCCTTGTTGAAGCGAGTAGCTCTCTCCGCAATTGCGGGTCCGGGAATTGGGATCCCGTTCTGATTTTGTGGGGCCGACGTTGCCATGTGGAGATCTCTGGCCAGGGCGCGTTTGAGGTGTAGAGTAGAGGTGGGGCGATGTGGGGTAGTTTATCGTCGGAACGTCGCACAAGCGACATGCTCGGCCACTACCAGCGTCACTTGCGCCGACATGGCAGTACGGTACGGGATACGTAGACCGCGTAATAGCCGGCTGGCAATAAGTTCTCGCAATGAAAAGATTAAAGAAAACTGTTTGTGCTCCAGAGTCAACCTATCAATTTCAATCCACCGCCGCAATCACAATGGCAGAAAACTCAAACTTCTTGGATGTCAACTTCGGCTTCATCGGTATGGCTCCCCTCTCTCTATTCTCTCCACCCAACTAGCTAACATCTCAGGCCTGGGAGCAATGGGCTATCCCATGGCGATGAACATCTGCAAAAAGATGTCGCCAACCAAGGCCCTTTACATAACCGATGTGAGCCGTCCGGCAGTCGAAAAGTTTCTTGCGCAGGCGATGCAAGAGAACTGGGGAGGTCTCGTGGTGATAGTGGAGACGGCCAAGGCGGTGGCCGAAAATGCGGAGACAATCTTTACAATTGTCCCCGCAGCAAGCCATGTAAGGGATGTGTACCTCAATCCCGAAACGGGGGTGATTGCTGCAGGGAAGAGCGAGGGAAGGCTGTGTGTCGAGTGCTCCACGATCGATCTGGCGACTACGCGGGATGTCGGAGAGAAGATCATGCAGGCGGGGGTGGCGGAGTATGTTGATTCTCCTGTCTCGGTGCGTATCCTGCCCACATTGCTGTCAAGATCCAGATGCTGAGTGTCATTACAGGGCGGCGTACCAGGCGCCACAGAAGGAACCCTCTCCTTCCTCCAAGGCTGTCCGCCTGCCTCCGCTCTCTCCGCCCGTCTCACCGCGGTCTCGCTTCTCATGGCGTCCCCCGACAAAATATTCCCCTGCGGCCCGCTCGGCAGCGGGCTAGCCGCCAAGATCAGCAACAACTACCTCTGCGGCACCAACCTGCTTGCGTCCGCCGAGGCGATGAACTTCGGCATCCGCAACGGAGTCGACAAGCACATCCTGTACAAAGTCATCCAGAACAGCACGGGACAGAACTTCATGCTTGACAAGGTGACGCCTGTGCCGGGAGTCAATCCCGCCGCCCCGAGCAGTAGGGATTATCAGGGTGGGTTCAAGGCGCAGATGATGGTTAAGGATATGACGCTTGGCGTCGAGGTCGCTGAGGCGACGGGGGTGGTGGCGACTATGGGCAGGGCGGCGTTGGAGGTTTACAAACAGGCGGCAGTGGATCCGAGGTGTATCGTAAGTTGTTTCTCTGGAGTGGGTGGAGTTGATCTTGAAGCTAATCAGTGACGACAGGATCGTGATGTGAGTGTTATCTGGCGGTTTTTGGATGGACCGGAGTGAAGATTTTGTCCCGCGAGGGTTGCCGGCAGGTTACTGGTAGAGTGATATGGCGAGAATTAAGCAAGACCTCTTCAGAACTTTTAATATCACTATGGTTCAAAATTTCTGATGCGAGTGATGTGTCGTGCCCATGTATTGGTGACCAGCAACTGTGAACTAAAGCGAACCCGTAAAGCTGAATGAAAACTTGCATGATTGACTATCTCGGTGGCTATTGTGGCAGAGCGATGGTGGAGCTGTCGGCGAGAGGAAACGGATGTAGTTAGTGTGAATGGCAAGGGCAGCCAGCGGGGAGAGAGCGAGCATGAGAGACCTTCTCTCACTTTCTCTCTCATCTACAGAATAGACGATCAACCTCTAACTCCTCTTTCTTCCGTGTGTGCTCTCCGCTCGACCCCACCACCGGCTTGGAAGGGTATTGACAGAAGAGCCCTTTGCAAAACTAGTTTCCCAGCTTCGCTGGCCTACCGTGGTCAGGACGAATTACTTCACAAGCAGACGACCACCGCAATTTATTCACGATAGTCCTCAAGTCCAAGCATCAACACCACCTCTCTAGGATGTATTCACTTCTCCACTCCATACGCCTTATCCCACAACTTCATACTCTCCACTCCAATCCACCTCTGACTCTCATCTGGATAGTCCAAGACCGGTCTCATATATATCTCCTCGACCGAACATTCTCCACACAGTCCCGTCTTTGTCCCGTCGTTAATGAACAAGTCATATGCTTTCAGTATCGTGCTCATCGGGGTGGTATGTTTCTCCGGCCAGACGGCGAGCAGCTCTTTTGGCGCGAGCGAGGTTGCGACGAAGCCGGGGAGAATCGTGTTCACCGTGATGTTCTCGCCGAGCAGGTTGGGGCCCATGCTGCGGGTGAAGCCGACGAGCTGGTGGTGGTGGTGGTGTCAGTGATGCTTCAAGTGAGAACCTATAAGGGAAGGGGGGGAGCATACAGCATGCTTCGCAGCAGCGTACTGCGGCTGCTGCGCCATCGGATACAAGCCAGCAGGGGAGCTTGTGATAACGACCCTGCCGCCGCTGCCCGGGTTTCGACGGAAATAATGCACCGCCAACCACGTCCCGTACACAGGTCCGAGCAGATCCACCTCGATAGTCTGCACATTTGGCTTCCTAGGCGTGCTCTCATCCCCCGGGACACCAGTGGGGCCAAACATCTGTTCGCGATCGGCGATGCCCGCGTTCGCGGCGTGGAAGTCGATGCGGCCCCATTTGTCCCAGGCGGCCTTGAAGAGCGCCGCTTGGTCGTCCCACGAGGAGACGTCGGTGCGGATGAAGATTGCGGAGTCGCCGGGCAGAGTGGCTAGTGCAGATAGGCCGCCCGCTTCGTCGATGTCGGCGAGTGCGACCCGCCAGCCTTGGCTGATCAGGTGCTTGCTGATGGCCAGGCCGATGCCGGAGGCAGCGCCGGTCACCACGCCGACGCGAGCGGACGACGACGGGGAGGAGGAGGAGGGCGCAGTAGACATCTGCCTATGGATTTCTGTGGGGAGGCTTCGTCTGGTCGAGGTTTGACAGATACCGGTACCTATATACACGCAGCAAGTCCACCCTCTCCTCGTGAGACTACTAGTGCAACTCGGTATGCTGAACAGCCCCCCACAGCTTCATTTTGTGGGGCACCCCGTCCTAGCTAGCCGAGGTGGGCTCGAATATTTGCCAGCAAAGGTATCATAGAATGTCCGCGGTGGAGCTAAAAAGGTACCCGGTGCCCCTCGTTGGTACCCGGTGCCCGCTGGTTATGTGTTCCATCGGTTGAGAAGTAAATTTTTTGGTTGGTTGGTATTTCAGTGACTTTGGAGTCAATCCAAGTCAGTGGCAGGTCAATCCATATTAATGACAAGTCACTAGGTGTGCACATAGCAAGTCAGTAACTTTTATGATTCAAGCGCAAAAAATTCCACTCATCTGGTCTGTGCTGTGCCCATAGACAAATTGGCCAGTATACAGTTATGAAATGCAAGCAAGCAGATCCTTAGTAAAATTATTTCAATGATAGTTGCTACAATATCTCGATTCTCGGGGTTCTCTCTTTTTCTACCTACCCCACTTTCTGTCTTGTTGCATTGTCTTCGTTGCATCGATGCCTGAAATTATTGCTGTGGCTGGTGAGGGTGTCGCGTATCATACATATCGACGAGGGCACCGTACCGGGTAGATACCTTTTTAGCTCCACCGCGGGCATTCTAGAATCTATGGTCTATAGATACCTTTGCTCGAATATTTACACTTTAGCACGGCCTGGCACTGCATTGACGAATACGCCTAGTTAGGTAGCGGGCGCGAGGCGCAACTAAACCCTGGCGATGGCCTAGGCATGGTGAGATTTCGGGCATCCGGACTTTCGGTGGTCGGCATGGCCTAGGTGCCAGCTATGTGGGGTCCTAGAAAACTACCCCACGCGGATATCCACGATGACACAACCACCATAGGTATCTCCAGCCCAACCAAACCAAACCAAAGAGGCCGTAGGTATGCTAAAGATGATCGACGTCTGGGTGGGTGAATGAGTATTGATATCCCCAGGCTTATCCAGTAGGTATAGTAGACTGGGTATCAGCATCTATTTTGGATATAAATCTTGCCTCCGCTTTGGTTACAGTTACATACGAATTTTTATCAGCCCGCTGCCCCCTATCATCATCATCACAATTCACCACTGCCCTACCTACCTACCTACGTCCCCGCCCGCCCGCCCGCCCGAAATGGCACTGCCCATCTACATCTACGCCATCCTCGTGCTCGCCGTAGCCCTTGCAGTCGAAAAACTGATCAAATCTAGAAAGCCGCTGCCGAGCGGCTATCGTCGAGTTCCTGGGCCGAAGGGCTTGCCGTTGATAGGGAATACACTGCAGATGGCGAGAAATCCCCGCCCGCAACAGCAGGTGAGGGATTGGGCAGATCAGTACGGAGAGCTGTTTATGATCCAGATGGGGTATGAGAACTGGGTGTTTTTGAACAGGTATTTACGGATTATTTTTTGTTTTTTGGGGGTGGGTGGCATGTGCTGACGCTGAGGATGTAGTCCCGAGGCGGTCAAGGAGATCCTGGATAAGCAGTCTGCCATAACGTCGTCGCGAGTGCCGAGCCCCGTCCTTATGGACCTGGTCTCGGGCGGGATGCGGTTCTTGCTCATGCCGTACAGTGCGCCGTGGCGGAAGATGCGCGGGATCGTGCACCAGCTGCTGACGCCGCGCATGTCCGGGACGTTTGTGCCGAGTCAGGAGTTTGAGGCGAAGCAGCTCGTCTTCGATTGTCTGACGGATAATGAAACCGGCATGGACTTCTATCAGCATGTTAGGAGGTATACCACCAGTGTGGTCATGACGAGTACTTATGGAAGGAGGATTCCGAAATGGGTGAGCCGCTGTGTCTCGGCCCTCGGAGAGAATTGCGCTGATCATGGGCAACAGGATTGCGATGATATCAAGCAGATCTATGGCGTGATGGAGGACTTCTCCAAGACCTCTGCACCAGGCTACTTCCTCGCGGACACCTTCCCGCCTCTTGCCAAGCTCCCGGTATTCATGCAAAGCTGGCGCAAAGAAGCCGCCGTATACTACGAAAGGCAGTGCAACATTTGGATGCACTACTGGTCCACGCTCTCCTCGCAGATCGCCACTGGCGACGCCCCGGCCTGTTTCGTGAAGCAGTTCAAAGACACCGGATACGAGAAGATGAACATTAGCGAGATGCAGGGCGCATTCGTGGCCGGAACCATGATCGAGGCGGGATCGGAAACGACTTCGGCGGCACTGAATATTGCGCTGCTACATCTGGCGGCGTTCCCACAGAAAGCCAGAGCGGCCCAGGAAGAGATCGACCGTGTCGTCGGGCCCAAGAGATGTCCTTCCTTCGTCGACGAAGACCAGCTGCCGTATATCCGCGCCATCGCGAAGGAAGTACTGTGCGTACCCCCTCCCCCTCCCCCTCCCCCTCCAGATTGTCCCTGATCGCGCGGCGACTCACGCCCAACTATGCAGCCGGATGTTTCCAACTACCACCTTTGGAATCCCGCACTACACGGATGACGACGTGAAGTACAAGGACTTCATCATCCCGAAGGGCACCGTAGTCGTCATAAACCAGCAAAAACTGCACTATGATCCCCAGCGCTGGGAGAACCCGTTCGAGTTTCAGCCCGAGCGGTTTCTTTCCTACCCGCTGAAGGCGGGGGCGTACACTGCCATGGCGGATGCGAGTAAACGGGACCATTTCTCGTTTGGAGCTGGTACGTGCTTCCCGTTCTTCGTACGTTATCAGTACTTGACTGATTGTTCCCACAGGCCGAAGAATCTGCCCGGGCATGCATCTTGCCGAAAACTCGCTGTTCATCACGCTGGCGAGTCTGCTGTGGGCGTTCCACATTCTGCCGCCGTTGGATGAGAGCGGAAGGGAGGTCCCCGTTGATACCAGCGAGGACGCGTTTCTGCTCGGCAGCGGGATTCTGGCGAAGCCGTTCAGGCTAAGGTTGCTGCCAAGGAGTGAAGAGATTGAGGGTACGATTAGGAGTGAGTGGGAGATGGCGAGGAAGGAGGGGTTTGTGCTCGGCGGTAATAGAGTTATGGTTGATGGCGTTTTCTGCGTAGGGTGTGTTATGTAGGGAAGGAAAAGTCAATGGTACACACCTGTGAAGAGGATACTTTCGGACTGTAGAAATCTTTTTGGTCGCAGATCTGTACATGTAGATCGAAAAGCCTTCGATGGAAGATTGGATTGGATCAATTCAGACTGACTCACAGTATGTCACTCATAATTACCATTCGTTTCTAGGTGCGATGCTTGTTTCTGGAACTCTGATAGCCCTCTCGTGAGCTTGAACGTACATATAGACTCTAAACTTGTGAATGAAAATCATTTTGAGTAAGCCGACAACCTTAATTCCCGTCCCTCATCCACAAAAGACAGCGCATCAACTCTCCGCATATACAGGATATATCAGCCCACTACCCCTCGACCTCCTTCAAAAACTTCAACACCTCCTGCTGACACAGCTCCGCACACTCCGCATAGATCTCATGCCCCTTCCCATCGACCTCGACCAACCTGGCCCCCTCAATCTGCCCCTTTAGCCACCTAGACGCCTCCAAGGGCACAGCGGCGCTCCTCGTCGGCGCCAGTATCAGCGTCGGCGTCCTAATCCCCGCCAACACCGGGCGCGCATCCAGCGCGCCCAAGAACTCCGCATAGCCCGCCAGGCCCTCAGCCTGACTCTTTGCGACCTCATCGAGCCACCAGCTCAGATACGCCGGATCCTCGCCGGCAACCGTCCCGCCCACGGCGGCCAGCGCCTGCGCCCACCCACGACTGCCGAGCGCCCGGCACGCGCCCGGCCAGTCCTCGTAGCCGAAGGCGAACAGCTCTTGCGCGGCGGGCGGGAGGTGCGTCGGCGATGCGCAGAGAGTTAGCGACGCTACGCGCGACGGGTGCGCCGCCGCAAAGAGCATAGATACTATGCCGCTGGTGCTTTCGCCGAGGAGGTGCGCGCGGGTGACGCCCGCTTGGTCGAGGGTTTCGAGGATCTCGGATAGGATTGTCGAGACGGTGTAGGGGTAAGGCGAGTCCGGGGAGGGGAAAGAGGACCGCCCGTGACCACGGATGTCCCGTCGGATGATGCGGAAGTTCCGCGATAATGAGGGGATCCAGTGGTACCAGAATTGAGAGGTGCGCGCGAAGCCGTGCTGGATTAGGAGTGTGGGCGGCGGGGCGGCCCATGGGTCTGTGAAGTTGTCGATTTCGCAGTAGGAGGTTTGTCCGTTGGCGTGGGTGGCGGTGAAGGACGGCATTGCGGCCGTGGGAGTAGGTAAGGTAAGGTAGGATATGGGATATGGAATGCTGGATGAGAGCAGCTGGGCAGGTTTTATATTTGCAGCGATCAATGGGCAATACCCCACTTTACTTTGATCTAGGTATTCCCGGTCTCAATCTCCAGCATGAATGGTTACCGCAAACACAAGCTTCATTTCTCGCATCTCAAACACACATCGTTACTCTACTCTACTCTACTCTACTCCATTATTCCAACTCCCCGCTCTCTTTCATCTCCCCCAACACCCTCTCCGCGACCTTCGTCCCCTCCAACCCGGCGGGCATACCACAATAAACCGCAACCTGCAACATCACCTCCCTAACCTCCTCCATAGTGGCACCATTCACAATCGCGCCCCTAACATGCAGCGCCAACTCCGGCGACCTATTGAGCGCGCACAACATGGCAATATTCAGGAGACTCCGTGTTTTCCGCTCGAGCCCGGGCCGCGTCCACACGGCGCCCCAGCACGCTTCTGCCACCAGGTCTTGAATGGGCTGCGAGAAACCCGTGGCAGAGGCGAGGGAGCGGTCGACGTGTGCGTCGCCGACGACCGCGCGCCGTACGGCGAGGCCCGCTGCTTGTAGCGTGGCGTGCGCGGAGGCGATTTCGGAGGGGGTGGGGGTGCTCATTGTGGCTGTAGAGAGAGGAATTAGTATTATCCACTGCGAGGATGGGGATGGGTGCACACCGATTGCAACTTTGATGAATTCTGAGAAGGATGGAGGCGCCGAGTGAGAACTTGTGTATGTACGAATTTGTGTGGTTTAATGGGTAGCGGAAGGCATGTTCGGCGGCGCTTATACACCACCGAATTATTCCCCTACCTGTTCTTCACACCGTTGTAATTAAATCTTCTCAAGCCTAACATTGACAGACAACCCCACCCCGCACATTGCGGGGTAGGGTTGGCTGGGCTGAAATTGTGGGGTACATTGATAGTCCGCCCGACATAACACTACCACACGCAGGGACCCTGCTACCCCACACGATCAACGGCGGAGATGGGAAGTCTAGGGTGGGAACGTAAAGCTTGACTGCAAATCCCGTTTGTTATCCGAAAAACATCCTGCTCAGCCGAGAGGGCGAAGGGGTTTGCAATAATGCAAGAGCCGGTCGTAGGCTGTAGTCGGCCTGGCAAATTTGAAGGCTATGACAAGCTGTCCGACGAAAATGCGGGTGCGATATTGCGAGGAAAGGAACCCCTATGCAGGCAGGATGCTTCGTAATCCATAGTATACATGGTATTGGTATCTAATATACAAAACAACACGTGCAGAAGACGCCCAAACGCCATTGGCCGTCACAACTCCAGAACACAACCAAACCCCACAATCCAAGCTCCATCTAACCAAAATAGACTCCTTAGATACCAACCGCAAGCCCCCATTCAGATCACGCTGCCCGCCTCCTCGCAGCCTCAAAATGACTCGCCAACTCCCTTAGCGCCGCGCCCATACATGGCGTAATACCCCCTGTATTATCTCCCATTAGCCATGATTCCCCCCTCCCCCACCAGCACGCGGACCGCCGTGGGAAAAACTTACAAACCCAAGTGTCATCCATCATCGTACTCCAGAGCAGGACAATTTCCTTCGCTAGGCTTGTATCGTTGGAGATCTCGATATCGACGTCTTGCAGCAGCGTGCGGATCTCGCGGAGTACCTCGGACTCTTCGTGGGTCAGTGGCGGTTGAGTCTCTACCGTGTGAGTCCATTTTGCCAGGAGGAGGACTGTGGACGTTAGTTAGTAGTGTAGGTGGGATTCATGAAGGGGAGGGGTGAAATACTCCCGCACCAGCCCGTAAGACAGTGTTCAATCCCCCAATGCAGTGCCGCCGTGCGGCGTACGAGTACATATCCGACCTTGATGGGCTCGTGCAGAACCTCATAGACAGTTCTGATCAACCTGATGAGTTCGGGGTACCTGACCAACGGCTGCGCTACGAACGCGGCCATCGCGCCGGCCACATACGCGCCATCGTGCGCGTGTAAGAGGCTCTTGCTCGGAAAGCCAAAGTCGTGCGCAAAGTGCCGGACATGTGCCAGACGCAGAAGTGAGACGACATTGAACGGGAGCGGCGAGTCCGGGCTTGACGGTTTCAGCTCGCTCTCGTGGCGGCCGAAGAAAAGAATTTTTCGACAGCGGCTCAAAATTCCTTCTGCGAGACGGGAGAGTTCTTGGCCGCTTTGCTCACGTCCCCACATCATGGCGGAGCATTGGCCGGATAACCAGAGCTGCGAAAGCACGCCGTGCATCAGTGCCAGCGCGCCGAAGGCGGGTATCGTGCAGTCGGGCGGGAGGTCAAGTGGTTTGGCAAGGAGGATGTGGTCGATGCAGGATTGGTAAGAGAAGCTATGCGGATATCGTGCCGCAATTTCAGCCCATTCCTGGCCTGGTGCCGCTTCCCAGAGCTCTTCGGCACAAGGAAGCTCCTCGTCCAGGTCCGAGACTAGTGTCGAGACCGGGTAGGAGAAGGTTATGTTCAAGAGGCTACCGAAGACGAAGATTCCGTAGCGGATCCGTTTTGCGGTCTCCCGCTGTATCCAGGTGTGCCAGTCGGAGGTCTCGGTATCAAAGGGAAGGGGACGGTGATGGGATATTGTTGTATTTGCTCGGAAGTACTGCCGACAGTTAAGTATGGCACATGTAACGGTGGGGGAGAGGGCAACCCACATTGACCACCACTGCCTGCTCCAATATTGCTTCCTCCTTCAATATCGGATCATTGCTCCACGCACCAAAGCATGCACACAGCAGCCGTGTCTGTATGATCCATAACATATCACTCTGCGAAGGTTGCATCTCCCTTTTACTAGCCTGAGTAATCTCGTTAGTCACATCACCCCCACTCGCAGAAACCGGGAAAACGAACGTGATCCACCAGCTTCTTCGCCCAATCCCGCAGCGTCCTTGCCCTCTTACGTTCTAATGAATATAGTGCTCCAATGCTGAGCATAGCTAATGTCACTGGAGCAGGTGATGACCCAGGATCAAACGACGGGCTATGAACGATCGGCAGATGCTGATGAAATGCGGTGAAGTACGTGGCCAGCAATCGCCGTAGGGTGTCCCTATTCGGCAGCACGAAGCCCTCCACCAACTCTTCCGGATATCTGGCCTTGATCCCCGCAAACATTGAGTCCCGCGTCGCCGCATCCACCTCGGGTCGCGCAAGTGCGGCAGCCGCAGTGCGAAAGCGCATCTTTTTCTTCGGCCCCCCTGATGAGGTCGCAGATATCGAGGGTGTTCGTGGACATGCGCCGCCGATGGTGTGAGGTGTGGCGACTTTTGGACTGCTAGTGTGTCCGTACAGTACCCCGTCGTCATAATTGTGTTGGTGCTGAATAGCCAGACCGGCAGGTGACTCCGCCGCGGAAACCGAGAGTGGGCTCAGCATTCCGCCGTCGTCAGATAGTGGCAACGCGTTCGGATCAAAGTCGCACATCAATCCCATGAACTCGGACGAAATCCAGGGCGCGAGCCCGGGGAAATCGCTGCCGAACACGGACAGCAACGGTGGATCGGGGTATCGACTCAGTGCCTGCTGCTGCTCTTGTGGGCTGGTGCCGTCTTGCGGATGGTACGACTGTGGGAACTCGAACTCTCGCGCATCCTGGCTGTAGCCGTAACGCGGAAGACCTTCACCGTGGTGTTGGTGCTCATGCTGCGGCTGCGGCTGCTGCTGAAACTCGTGCTCGTGCTGAGGCATGTCCGCCGCTGATATCGAATTCTGTTGGAGGAGCTCGACGAGATGGTTTTCGCTGACGTTTGGCTGGTGAGAATGCGCCGGCGAATCGTTGGATGCACTTTCTGGATTGTCCGTCAAATCGTCATGGGTACCATCTTCAACCGTCCCGGTGCTCTGTTCCCGCTCTTGATTCCCCATCTGTTCTTCTCGAGACTTGTTCCTTGTGCCGTTCGCAGACCGCTGAGCTCGTTTCTTGATGATTCGGGGTTTATCGTGTAGAGTGCGCTCATGCCTTGTTACCAAATCCCTACCGGTCAACCCGCTGTCAGCTGCAAGCTCCTGCCGGATGTGAAATAGGAGTAGTATTCACTTTCTCGAGAATGACGCGCCGCAGAAAGAGCAAGCAAAAGGTTTGTCGGATGTATCTGCAGCCACGAGCCAGAAAAAATCAACACTCCGATCCTCCGAATTGCGAGACGACCAATTAAGCTCCAGGGGAGAAGATTACGGGCTCTCTCGTGTCGTGCCAGGTGCTCTCCACGCTTGAATATCGCGTCGCAATGCCGACAGTTGTATGTCCTCTTCGGTCTGCCGGTCTTTGCGGGCGGCGGGGCCGGAGCCCGAGCTGTGGTGTGTGATGTGGTCTCGGCCATCGTTGTGGTCGCTATGGCAGCCATCTTTCGGGAAGGGAAGAGAAAAGGCGATTGGAGAGGTCCGGAACAGACGACTACTAGACAGGAGAAGGATCATGAAGCTCCGAGAGTCCGTCGAGACAGGAAGCGAGAGGCTAAGAACCGGCCCTAACCCTCCATATTCGTACTCGGGGGTTTTAGAATCCATTACGGGGATGGACCGGCCGGCGTCCACCAATGGTACCGCGGCCCTTGCTGATCATTAAAACCCGCTATCTTGGTAAGCCAATCTAGACGAAATCTGGAGCGAAGCTGCACCTGCGCGGCGCAGAGTGTTCGGAGAGGGGAGCTGGATGCACAGCATGAGGAGATCAACAGGCCGGCGGAACCCGAGAAAGATATGTACGGAGAGGAAGGACGGACTTGGGAGAAATTGAGAGATGAGATGAGATTTTGAGACATGAAGTACTCCGCTAGGGATGGGAGGGGCCATTATGTACCAGCCATTGAGTTAAGGTTCTATGGATACTGGAAAACATCGGACGGCACGCTGGCGTCGCAGTGGGGCATCCTATGCAAAACGAGACGAATAGTTACTCTATCCAGTAAGCTCGTCTATCTAGAGTATTGTACATACTCGCTCCATCTTACCTGTCTTCACCTTTCCACTCCCCGCCAGCGGCCAAACCATCTTCCCTCTGTTCTCCATATACCAACCCACATCGTGCGCCAGCAGGACATTCACATCACATAACTCCAACAGCCCTCTGATCTTCCCCAACGTCTCCTCCGCCATTTCCTTATCCTGATGAATACACCCACATCCGCCGCCCTCCACCGTCCACGTCCCGATCTCATTCTCTCCCGTCAAAATCCCCCTATCATGCGCCGCATCACCGCCCAAATACCACCACCCCTCCCTCGTCCTAACCAGCAGATTGACATGCCCCATCAGATGTCCAGGAGCATCGACGACGAACACGCTCCCGTCATCAAACAAGTCCTGCATCCAGAACCCCGCAATCATCTTCCAGCCAGCGGCTTCACCAGCGACCGTGAGCTCGACGGTTCTTTCCCGCGGCAGCAAGCCGCGCTCGAAGTTGCTGTGCGAGCCGCCGCCGGGAAGGCCGTGCTCCAGCAGGGCTAGACTTCCAGCTCCGACAAGGAACTGTGCGCGTGGGAATGCGGAGGGACGCCCTATGTGGTCCCAGTGCACATGGCTCAGCACCACGGTGTCTATCTCGTCCGGAGTGATGCCTAGCGAGGCGAGAGAGAGGGTGACATCGGGTGTTGTGGTTACCGGCTGGCGGGAGACAATGTGCGCTTGGATCGGAGTGGAGTACTCGCTGATCGGATTGCGGATTCCTAGGTCGAAGACGAGCCGCCCGTGGGAAGGGTGTGTGATGAGGAACGAGAGTGACGGGACTGTGGTACGGTCGGTGGGTGAGGCACCAGAGATGAAGAGGTGTCGTGGGAGCGTTAAGTGGCCGGCTTCCAGTGCGTGGAGGGTGGTGAAGGATTGGTTTAGAGATGCGGGAGGGAGGGGAGAGTTCATGGTGGAGATAGGCAGAGGAAGTTGATGGCTTTGGGCAAGCTATGGTGGGCAATTACCATAGAGCCCGGGGTCTAGAGATGCCCCTTTTCTGTGTCCCATACTCAGAGCTCGACGGTCTGACCGAAGAGGTGGGGTTGGCGTTGTCGATTAACAGTCCCAGGCCCGAAGACCCACACATATCAGGCTACGAGTTTGACTAAACTACGCTTCTATTCGATCGGGGCTTGATCATGAAGTCGCTGTTACAATCAAGCAGAAATATCTCCAAAGACAGCTGATTTTACGCCTGGTGTTGTCAAGGCTGGACCGATGGCTCCACATACCAGTGATCAACTACCTACTATCAGAGCCCACAACCGCCAATTGCTACGAAGGAAAACTCTCGCCCCGAGATATAAACGGAGAGAGATGTCTGTTCTGTCCCACTTGCTGTCGTAGATATCACATGACGGACTTTTGATATTCGCTTCCACAGACAAGTCGTTGCGCGTGAGCAGGGGTAGCTGTGGGGCAATATCTAGTACAGCTAGTGGGGCATTTAGTCTATAGTAGTGGTGGGAATCTCCATGTACTTTGTGGGGTAGTAAATGTAGATCTTACGCGGGGTATCTGATATTCCAATCCCACCGATACATATGTTTGTGGGGTGCCGGCGTGGTGCTAACGTGCTAGGTGGGGAGAGCCAATGGTGGTGTACGGTAACACCTCAAAATGAATGGAAGCTGAAGCATCAATTGAACGAGGTCACTCTAACCATCAATTTCACAGTACAATCAACAATAGTGAGCGATGGCAGAATCAATCTACCCACCCTCGATAGGCTTCATTGGACTTGGGGCAATGGGCTATCCCATGTGTTCCCAGCTCCGCCAGAAACTACCGGTCACCACGCCGCTGTATATTTTCGACGTCAATGCCGCCGCGCTTACACGTTTCACCATCGAGCACGCGAATAGCGGTCCCATTACCGTCTGTTCGTCTGCGAGGGAAGTTGGAGAAGCCGCTGTATGTACTACCATTCGCTCTCAGCGGTGTAACTACCACTGATCATTTGACAGGACACAATCATATCGATTGTCCCGGAAGGCACGCACGTCGAAGCGGTGTACCTCTCGGCGAGCGGCCTACTGCGTGTATCCAACCTGGCGGGAAAAACACTAATCGACTCCTCGACGATCGGGGTGTCAACCTCGACCTCGGTGTCCTCGTTTATCCCCGCGGGCACGCGCTTCCTCGACGCGCCGGTCTCCGGCGGCCCCATGGGCGCCGAAAAGGGCACGCTGACGTTCATGGTCGGCGCAGCGGAAGACGCGTTCTTCACTGCGCGGCTGCGCCCGCTGCTAATGCTGATGGGGAACAATATCTTTGCTTGTGGAGGCCCAGGATGTGGCCTCGCTGCAAAGCTGTGCAATAATTACCTCTCCGGATTGATCGCTGTGGCCACAAGCGAGAGCATGAACCTCGGGTTCGTCCTTCCATCCTTCAGTCCTCCCGCCCAAACTAACACACTGTAAAGCATGCGCTCAGGCCTAGATCCCGCCGTCCTGCACGCGATCTTCAAGACCTCGACAGCGCAGAACTGGGTCAGCGACAGCTGTAATCCCGTCCCGGGGGTATGTCCGGAAGCGCCGCCGAGCCGGGGGTACGAGGGCGGCTTCAGGGTCGAGTTCATGAGGAAGGACTTTCAGCTTGCCGTTGAGGCGGCGGAGCAGGTCGGTGCGAGGCTGGAGCTGGGGGAGGCGGGGCTGAGGGTTTATACTGCTGCTAGTAGGGATGAGAGGTTCCGCGGAAGGGACTCGAGAGTGGTTTATAAGTGGCTGGGGGGAAGGGATCCGACGGTGGCAGAAGGAGGGAAGGAGGCAGAGATGTAGTTATGACGGCGGGATACATATAGAACGGGAAACCTCTTTCTTCATGTCAAACTCTCTCCCATCTAGAGTTCATTCTCTAGGTTTCTAGTGATATCAAGTGATACTCCATAGTGGTGACCTCTGATTATTCCCGCAACCGCTCTTCCGCCTACGCACTGGGACGCAATGGAAAACCCATGAATAGATGTGTGATTTCTGTAGAATCCGAAGTATCTGCCATACGTTTCTTCAAGCAATGAAAGTGCCCGCCGAGAAAGCCGTGCGAGTGATCGTATATGATGTTGCAATTGATTAATCTTCAGAATCAATCTACTGACAGGTTAGGGTGAATAGAGCACTCCACACAAAGGTCTCAGAATGGTGGGCAAGTGATACAATTGGAACTCCAGGGATGTACCTAGGTGCAACACGAGGAGTGCGTGGAGTCTACACAATGGACAGATTCCCAGTTGAAGCAAAAGCAGCTTACCGTGATGATGGATTTCTAGATACTAAAGGAAAACACAGCAATTCTTGCAATAAACGTAAACACACGAATCACGATAATGCCAGCACTCGCCCGAAATCAATCCACTTTTGCCATGTCAAGGTCCTTCATCGCAATCTTAGCCACGTAAAGTTCCTAGCTCAACCTCTGATGTTACAGCTTGGAATTGCGAGTCGCTAAGTACAACGTCACTTGAATGGGGCGGCGAGTTTCTACTGTGTTCTGCATCCGAAGCACGTCTAAATGCCTCCCATTCATTTGATTCATCTCTTTAAAAAGATACATACAAGCACCAGAGAACAGACGGATATGAAACTACAAAATAAAGCAAAAGAAGACAAAACCCCCACGCTCTACGCCGAAAAATCCTCATCCAAAAACTCGTTCATCTGACTTGCCATCATTATGCTCGTCTCCTTCGGCTTGGTATTGAGCGCACGGAAAAACTCATCTCTGGACTCCACCACCGTTGGATCTTCCGAATGCAGCCGGAGCTTGTTCTCCATACTCTGCGGATTCGAGTACTCGACGAAGGCCTTCCTCCGCACATCGCCGTACCGCCGAAGCAGCTGGTCGGACTTGTCGGCATCGCCCTTGACCAGCAGCCGGATTAATATAGTACCGAGCGCTGCGGCATCCATGAGTCCTGTCGTGAGTCCGAGGCCGCCGATGGGGTTGTTGGACTAAGTTTGAGATATCAGTCATGTATCCTCTGCAAAGTTTCGAGCGAAGAACTTACGTGTGCAGCATCTCCCGCGAGAATGATTCTTCCGACAACATACTCCGCCGCGACCCGTTGATGCGCCCAATACGGGCTCGCATTGAGGAGCTCACACTCCTTCCTCTCCTCCGCAGTACCGGGCAGCAGCTCCGCGAACTTGGCCGGTATCTGCTCCAGGATTTTATCGTCGGGCACATCCGTTCTTACACCGAAGGCGACCCTCCAGATCCCCTCCTCGGGCTTCCCCGTGCGCGCAACGACCGCCCAGTCCTCAGGGTCGACGATCATATTTGCCGTCGGGAAGTTGTACTTATCGAAACCGGGATACTTAACATTCGTAGCGACGAAGCGGAAATCATCCCACGTAGACCCTTCGAAGGGGATACCCAGGCTCCTGCGGACACTGCTCCCGGCACCATCACACCCGACCACATAATCGGCCGAAAACCACTTCTCGCCGCGATTTGTGACCATGCACACACGGACCTTGTCGGCGTCCTGCGTTGCGCCCGCGAAGCGGTGCGAAAATCGGATGCCGAAAGTCGGACATAGCTCGGCGCGCTTCTGGATTATCGCTGCAAGCTGGTGCTGCCCCATGTGGATACCCGCGTAGTCGAATTTGTTGACGCCCTTGGGCACCACCGAAAGCGACATCCGCGCAAGGACTTTGTCGCCTTTGCCGGCTGGCGTGCGAAACACGACGCCGTCCGAGTTGATGTGCCCCCCGTCGATCACGTCTTGCAGGAGTCCGACTTTTTCGAACTCGTTGAGGACGACGGGCATGTAACTGGGGAATGTTAACTGTGGTCTGAAAGATGGGGGGAGAGATGTGCATACGTCGTCGCCCGTGGGGATTGCATGATCCCTCGCTCGCCCTCGAGAACAAGCACGTCGATGCCCTCGCGAGCTAGCTTTAGGCCGAGGAAGAGACCGGTCGGCCCGGCGCCGACGATGATGACCTGGTGGTGCTCATGGTCGGTTGGCGGCACGGCTGGATGGAGGTGCGTGTTGAAGCTGGGCATATTTGTGTGAGAGAATTATGAGATGGGGAAGATGATGTGTGTAGACTCTGCTGGATGGTCAAGGTTGAGGTCGGATTGATGTTGCATTATATGCCTATAAGCATCAGGTCGATCGTTTGCCTCTATGAAGTCTCCGCGATATCATACGGCCCTCCCGTTGCCGACGTGGGGCGATCGTGGGGAAGTGGGGCGCCGGCGTAAGGGTCTTCCGTTCCCCTTCCGTCCCCGCTCACTGCCATCATTCCAGCATCCGAGATGACAGGTGGGTGGACTCCCTTGCATACGCGATTGATCTCCACGTTGTTAGTGACACGAGCATAAGGCTTCAGTTGAATGTGGGGAGTGCTGCTCGGCTGCGCATTTGGTGGGGTTCTCCACACTACATACTAGTAGCACATCCGATACCCCACAACGAACGACTGACATGGTTCGGGCCGCCACCATGAAGTGGATACAGGAAAGGCTTCGGTATATAGTATATTCCGGACACCGATACTTGTGCTGTGTTTGTCAGAAGAATATCAGGCTATCGTAACGGCAACATGATGGATTCTTTCAAGTCTCTTACTGTACCGGCTACTCTTAATCCTCTGGCACTTGCAGCGACAACGCTGAAAGGATATGCTTTGCTCGGGATCGTGGGCGTGGTGGTACGAAACACAGCTCCCACCTTCAGTGAACTAAAACTTGGCTAACAACAAACAGCTGGTAGCACTCCTCACAAAATTCCTCACCTCCGACAAACGACGAAAACACCTCCCACCGGGCCCAAAGGGTCTGCCTCTCATCGGGAGTCTTCTAGAATTCGCCGAATCCGACGAAGTCCCCAAGAAGGTAGAGGAATGGGCCCGAAAGTATGGCGATATCTTCCATCTCCGGCTAGGCCAGACGGATTACATCTATCTCAACACGCCGGCTGCTGTTAAGGAGTTGATGGATAAGCGAAGCTCGAAGTATTCTTCGCGGCCCTTTCTACCCATGGCGTTTGGGGTCGTGTCCGCTTTTCGGAGGATGCTGTTTATGGAGTATGGGCCTGAATGGCGGGTGAGTCTCTCCACTTCCACCTGCAAGTTGTGTATCTAACGTGGTGGATGTCTAGAGCCAACGCAAACTGGTGCACAACCTCCTCAATATCCGCCGCTCGATCTCCTACCAGCCTGTCCAAGACTTCGAGTCCAAGCAAGTGATCTTCGACATGCTCGACAACCCCTCGGGGTTCTACGACCACAACCGCCGATACTCCGCCTCGGTAATAATGCTCGTAACCTACGGCTACCGCGTAACGAGCTGGAATGACCCCGTGGTGCAAGAGATCTACAGCGTACTCGACAACTTCACCAACATCTCTGCACCCGGCGCCTTTCTCGTAGACTCCTTCCCCTCACTCGCCAATTGGCCGCAATGGCTCCTCGGAAACTGGAGGAGCAAGGGGCAAGCCATGTACGAACACGACAGCAAAGTCTACCTCAAGCTGTGGCGGCGGCTGAAGTCGGAAGTCGACGCGGGCACCGCTGCAGAGTGCTTCTGCAAGGACTTCTACCTGGCCGATCCGAGCAAGAATGGTATTGATGAGCTGGGCGCGGCGTTTGCGGCCGGTGGATTGGTCGAGGCCGGCTCCGAGACCACGTCGACCACGCTCAATAACTTTATCCTGGCCGGTCTACTGTTTCCTGAGGCGATTGCAAAGGGACAGGATGAACTCGATAGAGTTGTGGGTAGCGATCGGCTGCCTACATGGGACGATGAGCAGAACCTACCTTACATTCGCGCGATGGTTAAGGAGATCCTCCGGTGGCGGCCCGTCAACAAGTTTGGGATGAACCACGCGCTGAGCGAGGACGATTGGTGGAATGGATACTTCCTGCCGAAGAACTCGGTTGTCATGTTGAACTGGTGGTATGTCCCCCGATAGCAGCTATTGAATGTGGCAAGTGGAACTTACATGAAGAAGGGCTATCCATCGCGACCCAAAGAAATGGGAAAACGCAGATCAATATATCCCCGAGCGGTACCTGGGCGTGAATGAGTCAGCTGCCGACCTCAGTACCGCAGCAGACCCGAACGGCCGCGACCACTGGAGTAAGTCCTTATCTACATCCCCCAAATCACCTACTAAAAAACAGTCAGCCTACGGCGCCGGCCGCCGCATCTGCCCGGGAATCCATGTCGCCGAGCGGTCACTATACATCAACATTGTACGGTTCGTGTGGGCATTTGATCTGCACAAACCCGTGGATGCGGCTACGGGTAAGGAGATAGAGCCGACGATGAGTATGGTTAGGGGATTCCTCAGCACGCCGAACCAGTTTGGAGCCGATATCCGGCCCAGGAGTAAGCGCCATGCCGAGGTAGTGAGAAGGGAGTGGAGTAACGCGCAGAGGGAGGGGTTGAAATGGAGTCGAGACTAGGACATGTTTGAGGGCTGTTTTTCTTGATTGGGTTATGTAACTATAATTGTAACGAGATGGCGAAATTGCAAATCTCACTCGGTCCGATTTGTCAAAACGATCAAGTGAAAAAAATAATAGTGATGCAACTATAGTACCTATTACGGCATTTACTATGCCGCTGGAAGGCAAATTGAAACTTTCAGCTCCTCCCCTCTTCGAGTATCGAAGGTGCTATACACATGACCCCACGAAACCTACCGAGATCGTGACATCCCAATGTACTATACGTACTGTTTCGTTCCAACCCCATGGCTCTGGGTGGGGTAGTCATGTATATGGAGCTCCGTTATCCTTCAAGTTGATCTTCCCATCCACACTATTTTCTCCGCATGAACGTCGATCTCCATGAACCGCAATATCCCACTGCCAATAGCTGTCAGCGTATGACCGTTCCCGTGATTGGCCAGTCCCTTCAATTCTAGGTCCAGGCCCCACCCAACTGGAAGGCTGCACATGTATTCGGGCCATATTTTCGGTTATTGGAGCAGTCCGGTGCTCATGTAGCCCACGAACTTGGAGTGTCCCACATTGTGGGGTCGACTCGCCAATTAACCATAGAATAAGCGAACTCTGGGGTAACTATGGAGCACAGTGCACACGAGAACCCCACAAATACCCCACAATATCGTCGCTTTGCAGTCCAGTGACGATGTTTGCTTTGTCCTGGCAGTCGATCTCTGGTGAGTGAGTGATGGAGTATATATCCCACCGTAGTCGAACCGAAGTGGTACGATGATTAGCCACCAGCAATCACAATCAATCAACATGGTGTTCGGAATCCTCGAGCCCGCAATCATCTCTGGTGAAAGAGTTCCCGGCACCGCGCTCCTCGCAGAGCTGGAGGACCCCAGTCTCGGCCTTGTCAACGCCCGAGTAGCGAGTAGGCTCAAGCATGGCAAGGGAAAGAATTCGCATATCGTGCTGGTTCCGCAGCCGAGTGATGATCCGAACGATCCACTGGTAGGATGAAGCCGGTGATGAGTGAAATGGTGGTCGGCTAATGGTCATAGAACTGGTCACTACTTGTGCGAGATGGGATTTCCCTCATGTTCGCATTCACCATCATGACCTTCGCTGGCGCCATCGGGCCGCTTCTCTCGTGAGTCTCACCTTGACCGCATCCGGTCGTATGCATGTACTTCCACTAACAGCAACAGTCCCTTCGCCTTCCAACTGACCCTAGAATACAACGTCTCCTTCACCAAGGTCTCCCTCCTGACCGGCTGGCAACTCCTCACCGTCGCCATCTCCGGTCTCTTCGTGTCCCCGGCCACCCGTATCTACGGCAAACGCCCCGTCCTCCTCCTCTGCAGCATTATCGGCTTCGCGGGCTCTGTATGGCTGCCCTTCGCCACCTCGTACAACAGTCTCCTCGGCGGAAGAATCCTCCAGGGCGTGGGCGTCAGCGCATACGAGTCCATCAGTTTTGCGTTTGTGGCTGATCTGTATTGTGTGCATCAACGCGGCGCCAGGATTGCGTTCATGCTTGCGCCGCTGGGGGCGATCAATATTCTTTGTCCACTGATTGCAGGCGTCGTGGCGGAGAGACTGGGAATCGAGTGGGTTTACAAGATTATGGCCATCATGACTGGGATTGCGTATGTCCCCCCCATCGGAGAGAGGCTTGATACGGGACACATTCTGATGGCCGCAGACTGGGCGTCGTGATCTTCTGCATGCCAGAGACCACCTTCCGCCGCGACCGCTCGCCGATTCTCGCGCTGCTGCAAGAAGACTCAGCCAGCGAGAAGCTCGCCGCCGCGGTCGAGAAGGAGCACGCCTCGACGGAACCCACGATCCCCAAGAAGCGCTCGTACGCCTCGCAGCTGCATCCGTTCACCGGCCGCGTCTCCTCCGAGACCTGGTTTCAGGCCACCACCGGCCCGCTGCGCGTCATGAAGAACCCCGCCGTGTACTGGAGCATGTTCACGCAAGGCGCGGTCTCCGCCTGGACCGTCGCCGTCTCCATGATCCTGTCGCAAGTGTTCGGCGTGGCGCCCTACAATATGTCGCCCGCGGGCATCGGCTACCTCAATGTTGGCGGCATCGTTGGCGGCGTCGTCGCAGAGATCGTCACCATAGGCCTCAACGACAAAATCGTCAAGGCACTCGCCAAGGCCAACGGCGGCATCTTCGAGCCCGAGTTCCGCCTTTGGTCGATCGTCCCGATGCTCGTCACCGGTGTCGTCGGGTTTTTCGGGTTTGGACAGGCGGCCGCGGCCGGACACAGCCCCGTCGTCGTGTCGATGTTCTACGGCTTCATCACCGCCAGCCTAGTGTTCTCGCACGTTGCGAGCGGCAGCTACATGACCGATGCCTTTCCCGAGTGCACGGTCGAGGTGTTCATCGACGTGATGATATTCAAGAATATCTTGTTCTTTGTGTTCTCGCTGGTGATCAATGAGTGGATCATCAAGGAGGGGCCGGCGCAGGTGTTTAATACTATTGGCGGGATCCAGATCGTGGTTTGTGCGCTGTCTGTTCCACTCTGGGTCCTGGGAAAGCGGAATCGCTGGATCATGAGGAGGAAGGTTTAGGTTCAGCGGGTGGTTTTTGTGCTAAGAGGAAGTGAGAATATAATGATTCGCATCGTCACCTTAATGATACTGGTTACTGAAAGATTAAACCTTGTCCTAAGCCATAATCGTGATTCATCACTCTTGTCTTACGTGAGCGTACCTGACAGCGGCGAGTGGGTCGGGTTGGCGGGGTGGATGCACCGTACATATACATTGTAGATGTTGTACCAGGAATAGCCAATAATTAAGTCGTGCCTCACCACCAACACGAATTATAAATGCAAGATGAGGCACCACTTATCCTTGCGCCGGGTACATCTCCCACATATAAAAGTGAGACACGCCACGCACATGACTGCAGATACTGATGTTGAGTGAAGCTTCTAGAACAGTCAGGGCAGCAAATAGGTTTCCCCAGAGTACTCTGTAGCTAGATCGCTGTGGGGTGTTTTTCCTGTAACACGATGAATGGAGCCTCAAATAGTGAAAAAGAAACAGGTACAAGGTGTGGAGAGTGTGAATGGCCAGTCACCCGCAAGCATCAAGGTAGTTAGCCCCGCTGTCCGCCACACCGGCCACCTAGCCTCGTCCAGCAGCCACCAGCAACCACCAGCAACCACGCTGGCAGAAAAATACAACCGTCACGGATTTTGCTTTTCAACATCGATCGCATTGCGTGGCACCACGTGACATGAAACGACTTGTCACACCTACCGGCAGGTATTACGGTTTTCTTCCCTACCAGATCTTACCTTTGCTTCCTGCAGTTGGAAGTTGGAACTGGACAGGCTACAGCAACAACATGATAGATCCCGTCATTATAACTACCAACACAGTCTTTGGAACAACATCCGGCCGTTTGTACAATACATACAGGTTCATAATCAATCATCAATCACCAGCCCGGCCCAAAAAAATTCTAAATTCTGATTCCCAACACAGCCAACAACTCAACAACGCAACAAACCTCGCAGGTTTCATACTGATAATGACCGCAGAGTCCACAACGTGAATACGACGTAAATCGATAGTATCGTGATGGTGGCAGCCTGCTGCCTGTGGGGGCCGCAGGGCGTGGACCACCGCACCAGGACCAGGACCAGGTGCGTATGATACATACCACCTATGGGCCTATGGCCGATAACTCCGTACGCAGTGCGCACCGCCTGGAGATAGGGCATCTTCGTTGTTCCTAACTCCTGGCGACGTCTCAGACTCGGCGACTATCCGTTCGCTTTGCTTCTAGCCTTCTACGGTAGGCATTCTCCCAGGCATGTCATCCATGGCCGCTACCTTACTAGGTACCTGTGGTTTTGCTTTGCCTCTTCCTGGGACTTGGGTGCCTACATACGTTGGGCCACTTCGGGTATGTCGATGATTCGGAGATCGTTGCTCCGATATATATGTTCGCGTATCGAGAATCGAGATTCGACGGTAAGATGTCAACCCAGGTCCCAGGCCTCATAGCCATAGTCATAGCCTCTTCTCCTCCGATGTTGGAGGGACACACCTCAGCTCCGCATTCGTTCCTTCGAGCACTATTCCGCACTGCGCAGCGTGTTTGGGCCAGATTCACGCTCAGAGCAGTGTTTGACATAGGTAGGTAGTCCGGTGCGGACGGTAGTCTGGACTGGACGGCTTGCCTAGATCTGGTCCTGTCCGGCGATTTGGACGGACTGTGTAAACGTGGTCCGTCCAGTCCGTGGATCTCGTGGACTGCAGTCGAAGTTTTATGGACTAGTCCGTCCGAAGGTCGAACACTGCCCCCGGACGGCAGGACTGCCGAGATACAGTCCGGTCTAGGTAGTCCAGTCCAGTCCGAGGCTCAGGATGGACGGACGGACTGGACTAGATATGTCGAACACTGTCTCAGAATACAAGTATGCACTCGAGTACGTAGGCAGGTAGGTAGGTAGGTGTATGCCTTGGAATCATCCCCACCGGGCCGCCGGGCGTGCGGGCTTGTTGCATGTTCGCCCGTCTTGTGTTGGATACGGTACCTAGCGCGGGGTGCATACAAAATCAAAATGGCAATGAGCCTTCAAGTCGACTTCTTGGTGCTGTTAGCCGTTCGCCTAGACGAGTGCAAGGGGGCAGTGCAGTGGGGTCGGTTCGAAGGTGTACCGTTGAAGTCGATGCCTGGATAGGATACGAAAGGTACGTGTCCGATAGTGAAAATGCACCAGAGTATTCTAGTGGACTTCGAACGTCTCGCGTTCAGCTTTACAATGGAGTGTAGTGTGAAGTATGTAAGTGTGTATCAGCTGGTGTACATCCAAACAGGTGGCTCGAGTAAGCACTCGGAGGTGCTGGGATGCTAGTATTCTGGTAGGTAGTTCTCATTGGTCGAGGAAATATTAGTAGCTCTTGGTCTCACAGGTCCGTCAAGAAGATGCAGTTGAGCCTCAGCACTTGGATTGGCACGCGGGATCAGGCATCAGCCTGGGTACTCGTCGGCAAATCCGCCTCGTCGCGAGTGACAGATCATGCATAGCCCCTCTCTTGGAATAGCTAACGCGGGGCACAGAGAGCGTCGGAGTACATAATTTCGATTTTTCGTTGTAACAAGGCCCCTAGATGTCAAACCGCAATAAGCCAGTCAAGAGTATCACGTTTGGCACTGCCTGATTACCATTTACCAGGCCAGCGGCCAACCCCAAGACGTCGGATGCCCAAGGGAGCTCAAAGCCCAAAGCCCAAATCAGCCATGCCTCGTACCTAAAAACACGAGGGAGGGTGTTCGCGAACTTATCATTAAAGTACCTGATTACTTTGCAAGGGACAGCTGCGTGATCTGGAGATTAGCAATTCGCAGCAGCGCCTGCGCAATGCGCAGGCGTCGGCCGTCACTCCGGGTCTGCACATGTTCATCTACTTTGTAGTTACGTGCATAGTACCTACTCGGCTATTCGGAAGCCGGGTCGCTCGGTCTTCCAGAATCCATGCCGACGAAGAACCGTATTTAGCAACCGTATGCACCGCAAGTCTGCATGCCCGCTCGTATGCACATAAATCAGCCTCTTCACCACCAAACTGCCCATGTCGGTCGTCCGAACATTTATAATCCAAAACAGCGATGTGACATTTCGAGCACGAGAAAGTTCTCGCCGAACCTTTGGCTCCTGTAACTAGGTCTGTATGGTATAGCAGGTAGTTGGCCGCACAGCCACACTCGCTTCGTTTCGACTGCAGATTGCATCTTGCGCGCGGTTAATCTGTGCCGTTGGAACTTGGGGCTGATAGACGAGAAATGTCGGGGGATAAAGCCCTACGTTCATCTGATACAAACAGTGGGGCGCGGGTTGTCTAGTGATTGTTTAATCACGGTAATTTGGTTGGTGTGAAACTGTATGTAGAAGTAGAGTACATGCGCAATGATGTCTGTCTTCGAGTCTATCTTCCACCCGCCACCACTCGCAAGCCTAACGTGGTAGCGCAGGAAGAGAATCAAACCTGGAACGAGGGTCAGGTTTCGGTGAACCAGGCTTATTTCATTTGGGCGCTCACAGCAGCACCCCTATGTTGAAAATACTCGACACAACAGCGAATACTACTGATTTTTTTCTCCCAATTACAAACCCCAATCGTTCCCTATACTTACTTTTTCCAATTACTACTACCTATTATAATGAAATTCCTGTGACAAGCAAAATCTACCCGATTAGCAGTGCCGGGAGTGTTGGTACCGGAGAGCGGCTTTCAAATAGCTGTCAATTTTTACTTCGGCAATCGAGAGACGCCAGTTACCCGTTTCTATCTGTCAAATATACTGAGATTGATAGGAGGATAGGTAGGAAATGTAAATGTTATTATTGCTTGCTTCTTCTTCTACTCCGAGCCGGTGCCTTTCTATATACCTATACGGAATATGTCTGCCTTTGGGAGATAGACCTGCCGGCAAGACGAGGCAGCAAAACACATCTTCCCCTCCGTATACAGCTCGTAAGATCGAGACCATACAGAATACCCCATCAGCGCCTAGTCCACCAGGGGCACAGGAGTTCATAGTTTTGAAAACAATGGACTCTCCAGGTTCCGCAGCAGGTTGTGCTTCATAAATGCCACCCATAGGAGACTTGATCATTGCTTACCCAAAAGCTTTGCTGTAGGGCTTAATAGCGATCTCATGCATCTTTGCCACACGTCGTATGTAGTCAATGACTTTCTTTCCTGTTAAATTTGGACCGATAGTGTCAGATTACGGCGTCCGGAGCACATGAAAGATCTCTCCTCATGTCCGCTGTAAAGCAATGGTGAAGTTTTAAGGAGCACTGTTTTGAAGGAGTCAAGGACTCGGTCATGCAAACTGTATCCGGAGGAGGAGATTTGTTCTGCTGTATGGTTCAGCGCATCGGTGGTGGAGGTTCTCAAGTCGGAATTCTTTGTTGCCGCACCCCAGGAAGCAAGATCTGAGGATTATCAACAGTTCCTCGACTGAAGAAGGATAAGGTGAAGAGAGGCTATGCGCATCATGGAAAGGCAGAGAATTTGGGTGTTTGGATGACTGATGTAGCAAAGACCAAGGACGAATGGACATTCGTTCACATTTCCTTTCCATCGGGAACCGCTTCATCGGGATTCGGACTCGGATTGGAGTTCAGATGCCATTTCTCATTCTCTTCTATAGATTAATACATGTAGTAGTATCATAGTATCCCTTTCAATGTATGCAGACAAAGGCCCTCCATAGAGGACAACTCATTCGTTTCGGCCGCGAGCGATTCGTTTCTCGCACGTACCTAGTACCTACATCATCATAAGTAAGTTAAGCAAGCAACTGGAAGAACCTCACCTACCATCAGAAGTTCAAGTCTCGTTTCGCTGGTCACGTTCCATTTCGCTGGTTGCGTTGCGTTCGGTGGTGGTGGTGGTGGTGATGCGTGGTTGGGATGGATCATGGATCATCCACTGAAGTGGTTAGCATTGGTCCACCGAAACCTGACCCTCGTTCCAGGTTTGATTCTCTTCCTGCGCTACCACGTTACCACGTGACCTCTGTCTACAACGCCACTTTACAGCTGCGCCACACGTGGGGTGCCAGACGGAAGAACTTTATGTGGGACCACAACCGGCGATCACACCACGAATAACGCTATCATGTGGGCGATAGTTACCGGTGTCCAACTTTTCGGTGACAACATCAGAAAAGTTTACACCAAGCATTTTTGCCTTCGAAGACCAACATACTTTTTGGAATTCCCTGGTGGCGGAGTTCTTAAAATACTGGAACGCTTTGCGGAGTAGAAATTTAGATTGTTGCCAGTTGTGACCTCCACACTCTACAGAAAATCTCATTACCTTAAAGTTTGGTATGCAGTCACGTTCAAGCGGTCAACTAGGCTCAAGCGACCCTTTGTGTGTGTATGATTTAGCTGGCGCCGGTCCCTGATCGAAGCGATGGCGATGCGCATGCATTCTCGCACCCCAGTGAGACGTTTGATCACCAGCCCCGCAAACAGCCTCCCTTCTCCTGGGAGCGCGAGGTTAACTTGCAGTGGCGGCAAAGTTAGTGTCAGTTAGCTAAATCGTAGGGCAGGGAGCGAGTGTGCGCCCCGCAGCCTCATCGGATATGCAGATTCAGCAGGGATGCGCGGGCGCCACTTGACCCAACCGGTAGCGATAAAGAAGGCAGAAAACAACCCTCCACGATGTGCGCACTCGACTGATGGAACTAGGTTATAACGTGGAATGCGGACAAGATGGGGACAGGGGGGGCGCGCCTGTTGCGTTAATTAGACCTCGCCAGTGAATGCGCAGGCATCTCATCGCGGTGGGTGTTCAAGACCCTCTCGACTCATTGTTGGTCACGGGTTCGCCTTCGACCGTTCATCATTTGCCTTCGGAAGTGGATCCACTTTGTGCTGGACGATCCTGAATCGGCCATAGTTATCCGCTTTTGGTCCGAGTGGCCGCACCGTCTTTGTCCCCGCCACCTTTTTTTTTGGCTTGGGGGCTCATGGACTGACCTTCTGCTAGAGCAAGCACCTATGACTTGGAAATCGACTCAAACTCGCCACGTAGGTACCAGTTAGTACCGGCATGTACTCCCAAGCGAGACCGGCCCGGACTGGATGCCTCACCGTTGCGAGCCCGCCCCCTCCGCCCCTCAGCCTCTCCGGCCCGCCGATACTCGAGTGACACACATCTAGCGTTCTATCGGCTGGGAAGTCTCGATGCAGGAGCAGCAGTATATCTACCGGTCAGTCATGGTGTTGGCAGCATGGGCCGCATCGTACATAGATTCTGAGAGCAAGCAAGATGCCTTGGGGGATGCTCATCCATTGAGCAAGCCAGCCACGTCATACCGGTAGTCCGCAGCGGGATTTGAGCGATGAGATGGATGACATCCGTTGCCGGTATCCAGGGCGCCCGTTGAGCTTGACGGCTCTTTGTTCGTGTGGCTAGGGGCCATGACAACGCTGATGCGAGGTTCTCAACAGAAGGCGACGGGGTTGTGTGTGTTTGTCCGCGCCTTGGAAGTTCTTTCATTGTTGGAATGTAGTCGCAGAGAATACCGGTAGGTTTCATGTATTTTGTCCGACAGCCCTTGTACGTCCACTGCCGTTGAACGCCGGCCGATGTGCATGCAGTACTATACCGTAGTCTGCCCTCTTCTCAGTCTTGCCGGCAATCGGATTCAATGATCAACTACTGGGTGCCAGAGACTTGCGTGTTATTGGCAAAAGGGTCCTTTGTTTTCAAACATGTAGAGTAATTACATAGAATTTAGTTATTTAGGTGTGAGTGAGGGGTGTAGGATGATGGTGTGATTGATAGAATGCGGGAGTCCTCAGTATACAGGGTTGCCGGAAACCATACCTACATAAAGCACCCCTCTCCCCACACACCCCCACCTCCTGAACCTCACAACGCCCACCAGACATCACCGATCCCCACCGCTACTCCACCGCTACTCCTCCATCTTGGTCGAGCAGTATAATCCACACGCAGTCTTCACACCTAATTGATCGCTACATATGTGCTTTGGCCGAAAATCGCGCGGAGGCGACTCGGCAGTCGGGACACGCTCCGTGCCCGGCAACGGATCTCCACCGCCCTATTCCGGGCCTCACGATGCCCCGGTCGCCACACGCGCCTCAATGCCTCCAGCTATGGACGACGGCAAAGCGGATCCCTTCAGCTCCAACCCCACCCCTTTCCAACCCTCATATTATCCGCAGCCCGCATACAATCAACAGCCTCAGTACAATCAACAGCCTCAGTACAATCAACAGCCTCCGTACAATCAACAGTCACCCTACAATTCACAGCCTCCGTACAATCCACAGCCGGGGTACGGACCACAGCCGCCATACAACTCACAACCCCCATACAATGTACAGCCCTACGGCAATCCCCAGCAGATTACCGAAATCCTCCCGCCGATCCGCTCGCACCCGCCGGTCGATGCATACAGCGCACTGCGGCGCTTCGACACTGTCTTCCTGATCGACGACTCCGGGTCGATGCACGGCAAGAACTGGTCGCAGACGGCGTCTGCGCTCGCGTCGATAGTGCCGATCTGCACGGAATACGACTCTGACGGGGTTGACATCCACTTTCTGAACTCGTCAGCGTCGCAGCAGCACGTGCGCAACGCGGAGGAGGTATTCAACCTGTTCGCGCGGGTGTCGCCGCACGGCTCCACCCCTACCGGAAAGCGCCTCGGCGCTCTGCTGGCCTCGTACATGCACGCCTTCCGCAATAACCCTAACATCAAGCCCATGAATATCATCTGCATCACCGATGGTGAGCCCACCGATCCCACGAGCCTCGAGAGGAATATCGTCAACGTTGCCCGCGAGCTGGATCAGATGCACGCAAAGGAAAGACAGGTCGGCGTCCAGTTCTTTCAGGTCGGCGATGATCATGCCGCCACTCAGGCTCTCGAGGAGCTGGATAATTGCTTGGTCGAGGAACACGGGGTTCGGGACATGGTCGATACCATATCTTGGAAAGATATGAATGGGGGGCTGACGGGCGAGGGAATATTGAAAGCGGTTATGGGCGCGGTGGATGGGGGATTAGATCGGAAACGGAAGCTGCGTTGAGTTTTGCTGCTTGCAGTCTTTCATTAGTCTGTATCTGGGTGTAACCCATGTCGCCGAGATCTCATTGGTAGCGCTGTTTGAAATGGATTAGATGAGGGTGAGCGCGGGCCACAATGTACGGGAAGTGCATTTTATCGCGGGAAGTAAGGCACTGGTTCCTGCTGCTAACGACGTCTTAGAATGTTGTAACGTAGATTAATGGTGGATTGAATTGTGGCTGTACATACAAGGGAAAATTCCGGGCTGAAATTAGTTACATACAAGGGTTCGAGGTATTCTGGAGAAGTTATTGAATGATTTATTGGATGGGAATGTCAATTGTCGCTGTGCCACTTTCGGCGCCGGCGCGAACAGGTCCATCGGAATGAGGAGTGTAAATTGTAATAACCTCGATATATGTATAGAATGCACTTTTTGTATGTATGCCATATGGTGCTCCAGTGTTCTCCATAAACCGGTCCGGCCGTCCGACCTTGCCGGTGGACAAGGGAGTCCGTCCCACACACACCTCCGGACGGACTGGATGTATATAGTTCAGTCCCGTCTCGTCCATGGGTCCGGACTCTTCTAGACTACATCGTTACCGTTTGTATCGCTACATGTTTGCCCATAGCACGTGATGAGTGTTATGTCGCGGCTCACATCTATCAGAATTCTTGGGTTTGGTGGAAACGAGTGATTGGCGTGGGAAGGCCAAAGCCTACCTAGGTCTTAACCTGAAACCCTAAATAATTCTAAGGGTTATTGTGAAGACGCTACCCAGTTGGATTTTGAGCTACGGTTTGTTGGGCCTACGAAAAGGCTCCCCAACTCCTACTCCCCAACACCCGCTTCCTAACACAACTTTTACATTCAATCACTTAACTTCACTTTAGTTCACATCTAAACTCTTCGCAACATCCGCCATACTACCGTACTTCGGCTAGCCTTCCCGCCTACTTAGGTATTTCCTCCTCTTCCTTGCATCTCTCCTACACCCCAGCTTTCACGGTAGTCGAGGGAAGTCGGCAAAATAAATCTGTAACTTCGGGAAAAAGATTGCCTCTAATATCGAGTATGGACCCGGCTAACGAGATGCAGGCATCGCGACAACCATCGGATCATATCACAAGTGACCGTTGTGCCGCTCCCGGCTCGATGATTCCTGTTGAGCTTTGGCACCAGTGGTGCTTGTGCCGAGCCCAGCACTCGCACGTTGTCTCCGCCAATGACAGTGTTGCCGCCGCCTCGGGAAGCGCGCTACATAGGGCAATTGAGGCCCGCCGGCCAATCTGCAGCCGCAGAAAGAGTCAAGCCCACCTGCCTACCAGTCCATGATGGCTACCCTCCACCGCGAACGGAAAGTGATGAACTTGGATGACCTCATAGTGGAGAACGCGGAGTCGAATCGTCCAAACCAACCTTTCCCCACCTACTACTACTACCAACACCTCTCTACTCTACACCACCCACGTTCGTGGCCGAAATCTGGACAACACTCCTGGGAAGTGTTTCTCTGGTCTAGGGGAGATTTCGGGCTTTCCGAAAGACCCATGCCCAGTCGGGCAATACATGCGGGGCCTCTAGGGCCGCCGCTTCGATGTCGTCCAGCATTGCTGGAGAAGCGGGCTGCGGGTCCAAGTCAGAACGACACCCGGGAGATTAGCGACGAGCAGCCGAAAACGGATAAGGTTGGAGGCAGACGACAGAGGAAGGGAGGAATGCCCAACCATGAGGGAGAAATTCTGCCTGGTCCGGACGCCTCCGATGATCACGAGGAGTCGATCGCGGCGAGGTTTCGCGCAAGAAAGAGACGCGGTAAGCCCATTGGCAGAGGCGTGGGTAGCGATCGTGGACGCCAAGCCCGGCAGCGCAGGGACGTTTCTGTGAACAACGCCGGTACTTCCAAGGACGATAATGCGGCGTTTCTCGTCATTGACGTGATGCACTTGGTGAGTGGCTCATGATTCCGCGTTACTCTTCTTCCTCCTCTGCTCATAACTGACCGGACCTAGACTGCAATTCCCCATTTCTTTTTCATTTCTTGTTTCTACACCAGTTCAACACCTTATTCTTAGAATTAAACTTCTTTCTTCTTCTTCTCCTCATTATGACGGTCCGTCGGACCTCTCGCTGCAGAACCCTCGTGCCTTACTAGTCCTCCCTAATACTTTGCCACGCAGCCACTGATTTTCGGTGGATTTCCATTGCTACTCGACAAGTTTAACATAAATTCCCTTAATACGCCGCACCCGTCAGCAAGATAGTATACCTAGTGTTGGGAAACGAACACGCTATCGAGGGGAGACGGTGATGTTTACTGCTTTTTGTGTTTTGTGGGAGTGGGAGGGAGATGGCTATAGTCATTGCTGCCGTTGTCGTCGTGGCGAAGAAACTCCATGAAAGGTTACTCGTGGGCTTAGAGTTTTCTGATGAGGCCTTTTTTGAGGCCAAATGATTGGGCGGGATAATACCTAGAAGGAAAAATGAGCACCATTACTATTTATTATTTCGTGCCCATCCAGAAAATCTCGAAGGAACTTCTAGAGCAGCGACGTAAAATGGATCTCATCCACAGAATCTCACCCATCTCACTACGTGGCTTGGCAGGGTTACACGGCAGCGCCCCCACGCTAACTACTACTAGCACAGTGTCCTATGATATGTATGACGACGGCACTCTCGCGCGAAACTGGGTACATATCCAACCTCCACAACCGCCTCATCACCGTCAAACCCCAGCACTCTCGCCCGTTCAAAAATGCGTCTTCTAGCCACCCTCGCGCCGCTCCTGCCCTTGGCTCTCGCGCACGGCGGCGGCCTTCACGACCCACACGACAAGCCCGACCCGTCCCTCCCCTGGGCGGAACGCCACATGATCTCAGAGCACCACATCCTGAACTACGACGCGGGGGCGTTCTTTTCCCTTCACGACTTCAACAACGACGGGTATCTTGCACGCGACGAGCTGCTGCGCACGTACGGTCTGGAGTCCGTCGACAATCCGCCACCCGCCGGACATAAGTCACCCGACGAGATCTGGGAGACCGTCAGGAAGCTGGTGGGCCCCCGCGATGCAGACAGGATTAGCAGAGAGGAGTGGGCGAAAAGTCAGGTCGTACTCCCAGATTTTGGAACGGGACCCGGACATCATGGCGATGATGAGTGGGAGTATGAGATCCATCATTTTGAGAAGTTCCATTCCGACGATAAGGAGGATGGCAGTGATATGGTCATGCATCCGGAGGATGCGGAGCATGTGAGTTTTCTTGGTGTGGCGGGGATGAAGTGATGTTGACAGTGGGACAGTTCGCCCATCACGAGAAGGAGGATAAGGAGGCGGCTAAGGAGGCGGTCATGGAAAGTCTGCAGATTAACGAAGCCAACATCCCGCGTAAATTCAGGGTGCAGGAGAAGGGTAAATAAGTTTATGACGATGGATGAATGATTGTGCCGCTTTCGGACGGGGCTACTAGATGATGGTTGATATCCGGGGACGCCCACCATACTGTGGGTGTCGGTCATGTAATGTAATGTTGAGATGTATCTGTAAGTATGTACAGTCTATACGATGCTATTCTAGACGCGAATATCAAAAACGCAGTGCAGTACGCCAGGTGCAAACGTTTTGACCTTCTCGACATGTTCACACTTCACCTCCGCACCCCGCATCCTCTTGAAATCCTTCACAATCCCCTCCCTCATATCCTCCACCTGTTTCTCCCCAACATTCTCATGCACATGCGCACACCCTCCCTCCTCCAGCAGTTCCGTTGCCACAGGCCACGCACCACGACTCGTCGGCAGCAAGCCCAGATTAACATGCTTGACCCTCCTGCCTCCCATCCTCTGTACCGCAAATTCATTGCTCTCCTCAAACACCACGACCTCCTCGCCCGCATCCTCAGCCTGCACCCACTCCTTGCCGTGCTTTACAACCCTACACGTCCACCCATTCATCTTGCAGCCCCTCCGCAGCGCCTCCACACTCCACGGATTAATCTCCCAGCACCACACACGCTTCGCTCCCGCGCGGAGGTAGCAGAGCACGAAGTACCCGATGCCCGCGTAGAGGTCTGCTATTTCTTCCCCGCGCACAGAGGGGAACGACAGGACTCGCGCCTTTTCGCGGATGTTCCCGCGCGAGAACATCGTGTGCTCCGGCGCCCACGTCTGCTGGATGCCGTGCTGCGTAGTCGTCACCCAGAGCGCGCTGGTGAAGTCGTCGGAGGCGGTATAGGTATGCGTATGTACGTCGACGGGTGGATGCAGAAAGACTAGGCGGGAGGGAGAGCGCATCGTGCTCGCCGCATCGATTGGTGCGTTGCGCGCGATGTGTGTTACGTTGTGGGCTGCGGCGAGAAGTGGGAGCAGCGAGGGGTGCGCGGCGAGGTAGGTGCTCCAGGCGGGGGTGGTGAAGGCATCGCTGGGGAGTAGCAGGAGCGGTGGGTACACTGTGCTACGTTTCGGGGCTGTGGAAAGGAGCGTACTGCTGTCGGAGGTGGGATGTGAGGTGATGTACTCGTGGAAGAAAACGTGAAGCGGGGAACGCGAGGTCGGGAGTGCCGTCTCGGATAGCGCGGCGGAGATGAGGGCGTACGTCTCCACCGGCAATCCGATGAGTTCTATCGGCGGAGGAGAAGGGAGAATAGCATCCATAGGATGATTCGTGGGGAGATTAGTCGCGATATGGTAGACATGATCGCCTTCCTCTTTTTCGTTGTCGGGAGTGGGGGTCGATGACGTGGGGTCGTTGAGCCGCCGCCTTCTCTGCAACCGTGAAATGGACTTGCCCCACAAACGCTGTGACTCGAGCCAATTCTTGGCGACCTTCACGTCTACCGCACGAGAAACGACGACGGCTACGATATTGCTAACGGAAGCAAGATTCTCGATTTCTTCGTCGGAGTGTAAGGAGGTGGACATCGATGGACGCGTTCCGGGGGTTCGTGCAGAAGTTTGGAGTCGGAGGGGTCGGTGGGGGTGATGGCGGATACGGACGGCCGAGGTTTGGCTCTACGAACCCCCGCGTTCTGAGCTCTCTATGAAATATACTGAACAGTCATAGTAGCAGCAGCAGCAGCACGGCAGAAATGTCCGTCGTCTTCCATCCAGCAATCCAAATCACACAACTGACAATCACGCAATAGCCTCGACACCCACCTCCCCCTCACCAAGTCCTTTGTCTCAGAAACGTACGTCTCCCTCCACTTCACCTAGCTATCACTCATCTAACGATTACTTCGCAGCCTCCCCCGCGCCCCGATCCTCGCCGTCGCCAAATCAAATGCCTGTAAAGCCACGGAAGCACATGCGCTTGTCCGGCGTGTCGACGAGCGCATCGCCTCACACGCTACGGCCGCCGCAGAGCTAAAGGAATACGTATCGCAGCTATCGTCCATGAGCGCTGATATCGACGTTGCCGCGAAGCAAGCCAGTGCGTACTCCCCCACACCTCCCCGTTCCTTGAACTCTGCTTATGCGAACAGAATCGATACAAACCCAGCTTCTCGAACTGGAAGGCATGCTCTCCTCTGCCGGAAGCGGCGAGTTGATTGAGTTACAGGCCGCCGAAGACGCACGGTTTGAGGCCGTTGCCCGCGAAAAGAGGAAGAGGCTTGCGGAGGTACAGAGGGCGTACGATGAACAGCTTGAGGCCTTCCAGAAAGAGCGGGTGAAATTATTGGCAGCCCAGGGAGGTACGGCTGGAAAGGGAAAGGGGAAGAGGCGGGTTTTGCCTGTCGGACGGGGCCTGGAGGAGGTGGCTATTACTACTGACGAAACGGCGTCGGGGCTGGAGGATTTCTTTGGGGGGAGTGACGAGCGGATAGGAGAGCAGAACGAGGCCGTGCCGGCGGAGAGTACGAGTGATTCCAGGAGAGTGGGGAAAGGGAAACAGAGAGAGATCAAGCCCGCGGAACGATCTAGACCAACGGCCGCGGCGCCAGCAAAGAAGAAAGGGAACCATGCTATCATGGCGGATGAGGATATCGACGAGGAGGAGGAAATGATGGCGTTTTATGGACGGTGATTCGGTAGAACTTTCCACGCAATCCGGCGATGGGTAATGGGCATAAAGGGAGCGCTCTGTTGGGCGGGCTGGAAACCACCACTGCTAGTCACTCGCTCAGAATCCAGTCCAAACATATTCAACATGAACGATCCACTCGTGATCATGATATCGCGGATCTTCGTTCGCAGCCCTCTCGACTGCTGAACTGTGTTAGCAACCCTAGTAGGAGAGGGTTCAGGAAACTTTACTACTTGATGCATGTATTCAACGGAAACGTGGAGCTCAAAATGGCATACTACAACTTTATATTTCGTTCTAGTTCAAAGCTATAAACCACGACCACTCTTCTAGCTGCTCTCGCCAGTCCGCATCCACAGCCTTCCTCACCACCAACATATATATCAACCCTCTACCAACGCCGTCTCTATGTCACAGCCCAACGACCACCACCACCAACCGGATGAAAGGGACGAGATTGAGACAGAAGAATTCAAAGTTACCGCCGTGAGCCCAGCAGTTATAGGAAGCGGCCCCGACATCAAATCACCACATCCGTCGCCTACCTTTCCGCACAGATCTGTGATCAGGGATAGCCCATACAGCTTAGAGCCAGCAAACGAAGCCTCCCAAGAGGACCCCATAATGGATATACCCTTCCCACCTTCGCTACCTGCGGCTATGGACAGGAAATCATTATCACATTCACCTTTCCACTACAACGACGAGGAGGAATACGTCTCTGACCCCGAGCACCAATCCGAAGATTCAGACTGGGACCACCTCTCCGCAGCAGACACACCGCCCACCGGACTGACACAAGATATCTACACGCCCACGGACCGAGCAATCGCGCAGACGCGGCGCCTAGCCAGCACAGCCGTTTCCACCGCCACCGCGGCAGCCACGCAGCTGCCCACGCTGACGCAGCCGTTCCTCGCCGCGGCGCGGAAGCTATACACGAACCTCACCGCCTCCACAGCGCCCGTCGACCCGCGCGACCTCCGCGCCATCCTGCCTGCTCCATACCCATCGCAGCGGACTATCCGCACGCTCGAGGCCCGCGGCCTGATACGAGCCCCGCTGTACCATCCCGCGCTGGAGCGCATCTTTGCAACGATCAGCGTGGCGGCGATGAAGTTGTATCCACTGTGGATGCGGCGCGACGGCGGGGGGTGGTTGTTGTATTTTTTTGGGAGCGAGGGGGAGAGGTGGTGCGGGTGGATCGTCGCCACGGGGAATGGAGAGCAGTGCTGGTGTGCGGATCGGGAGGGGTTTAGGGAGTGGGTTAAGGGGGGGTTGGGCAGGGGACGCAAGGCGCCTACTGGGAGGGGGTGGAAGGCGAAGGTGGAGGCGCTCGGAGAGGAACTGGAAGGCGTGGATTGGGGGGAGGGATGGGTTTGGTAGTGGGGTTGCGGATGTATGTGATGTGAGGCTTGTGATGTTGCCGCGAAGAGTACGAATCCCACCCACTCGACCCGCAGTCCGTAAACCCCTTCGGCTGCTTTTTGGTTTTGGTTTTTTGCTCAGATATGGAGTCTCTGTTCTTGGTTGCAACGATATAGGATTAATATTTTAAGGTTATGCATTTGGGTTTGGATAAAACGGGAGTAGTGGGCGTTGATGGGTGCATGTGTGGCTGAAGAATTTGTACGCCATAATGACGGTACAATCACGAATAGGCCCGGAGCAGTGGTTATGGATTTATTTCTGCGGTGGAGCCTATAAGGCGCCCTTCCTACTGACTAGTGAATACATTTATGAGATTACGGCCGCCGTGAGGCTGGTAAGGATGGTCGTCTGAATGTGTCATAGCAAATCACTCGCGAAGACGTAAGAAACCTCTAATTCTACATACGTTGGTTCCTGACTACTCGTATGAACACACATGAGAAGGAAGTCACATTGAGCCGCTTGGAGAAAGTTGGGTTGGACAGTGCACATGGAGATGGAGTGTGTAGCTATTGCTATGATCTTGGTAGATAGGTCACATGCAATCAATGAGTAAACGAAAAAAACACTCGTATGCACATGCGAACGCACTTCTGATGTACCGTATCGGTTTGTCTGGGTATGCAGTGGCGGTGCAACGGACTGAATGAATGTATGACAGCGGGGATTCCACCTCGGCGCTCGGCGGAGCGAGCTGGAATGGCTGGTTATTTGGTGGGCTCTCTCTCCTATAAAGTTTGAACGCACTTCAATGGTTATGGCTGCTCGCGTTGAATAGAACTTCTGAGTGGCGGGAGAAGCTAAGAGCCTGGTTCTTGCGCAGTGCTGATCGGGTCACGAGTGTGTACACGTGGAAAACCTCCCGTGAGTGTTGTTTTCCCTGAAGGTCTACCATGGTGGGACGGCAGCCTCAAGAGTATGCACAAATGGGAAACCCCAAACACAGCCAGGCTGGCGAAGCACGAGTTTGAGGCAACAAGAGCCAACGTGCGTGCGTGTTCCGAAAGTTGGTGGGCGTTGTGGTATTGGCTGTTCTGGCTGGGTTGTCAGCTGAGTCGTTCTGTAGATTTGCAAAAAAAAGTATTACCATAGCAGTGCGGTGGTCGTGCCCGGTGCTCTGATGGAACATGGATTCTCGTTGGAGTTGTAAGTTCCGCTGTCCGGGATGAAGAAAATTTGGAAGGCTCTGGTTCGTGACTCGTGAGTGACGAGGTCCGCTGGGGAGTTGGAAGTTGTGACAGTGATACAGTCGATCGGTTGCTGGAAGTAGTCGGTCGAAGAAGTCGATAAGTTGCTCCCATACGGTAGGTGCGTCAAGGAGTCCGTCAAAACGCCCCACATATATGATCCACGCTCACTGCACAGAACAGCAGCCACTCAAACCAATCACTCGCTGCTGTCGAATCCTTGTCATGGCCGGACCACGTGGAAATGACCAACACGCATACCCTGCACCGCCACTGGATACCTTGTAACATCTACTGTATGTAGATACAGTTGGAAGTTGGAATTGTGAAGCGGAACGACGAATATGTGAAGGAGGGAAATGCCTCCACTGATGAGTCGAGAGCGAGAATCGTTCGGGCGAACACAACACCTTCCTCCTGTGCTGAGTCGCTATTCCGTCAGAATCGAGTTTGGAGGAATGGTGGACTTTGAGTGTCTCCAGCGAGTAGTGGTGATGGTTACCAGTTCAAAGAATGACTCGTGCCAGTGGGCACTGGCAGCATCCAGCTTCCAGTAGGTACCCAAACATCAACCTGGTTCTCACTGCTTTCTTGTAAAGGGTCTTGAGTTCCGAAAGGATCTCAGAAAGTGTTTCAGATGACCATCTCATGATTTGACGATTGATTACCGACGAAAGTACCTGTGGTGAGATTACAGCCGAAATGGACACTCTTCCCTACGGCCTAGCAATCTCCATTTATATGCGCAAACCCCCACTCTTCTCCTATGTCCTATCTCCTTGCCTGTCAAACACCTTCTATGTAGGTAAGCACGGCTATCTAGGATCATTTCGTGGGAATAGACACGCGGCGATGCGGCTTTAGATGTCCCGAACCCATTGCTATGACTCCCTTTCGCAAGATCCTGCCTCATTGCGTTTGGCCATATCTGCCGTGTCATAAACCTGGGCCAGCTTTGAAATGCGTGGGAACAACAAGAAGGTAAATGAAGGTCGTTCTCTTGAGGTTCAGGCAGTGCAAAAGTTCCCAAGATGTAGATGTGATAGGCTTGTACACGGCATTATACAATCACCTTCAAATGGTAGCGTTGTTTCTGGGTGCGGCGGCAAGGGGGCTGCGGGGATCCGGAGATGAGGTACACAGATGGTGCATGGAGAGTAGCTAACTAGAGTTGCAACCTTGCTGCTGATATCCATGGCCATGATTTGCAAACGCTATTTCATGTAAAGTCCATCTATTTCGTCATCGCACACGACCTACCACAACCACCGCCACAACCACCGCAGCCTCCCCCTCCCCCTCATCCTCCTCCTCATCTTTTCCGCACCGGTAACCACTCCGCCAGTATTGCCTCCGAGACGTGTTACCCCCGAACAAGAAAAGCAAGACGTTCTTCGGAACCGCAGCTCCGACGGCCTTCCCCGCTTTCCCATAGCTCTAGCACCTCCATAGCTCCGACTGCTGCTATACCACCACCCGCCTGCGAGTGAAGCCTGCCTGCACGCCTTATCCTACAGCTTCACAACCTTGTCGCATACCGTTCAACGACTCTCGATCCCAATACTCTTGCATCGGGCTTCACGTCGGCATTTTCGGCTTGGATACACCTACAAGATCCTTTGAGCATGGCGTCTACCCCAGCTGGGGGCGAGCTCACCTCAAGGGCAACACCATCCCCGCTCAGCAAATCCCCCAGCATCTCCATCGACGATGGCACCGGCTCACCGCCACATGTGGAGCATGACACGGAAGACCCGCAGTCCAACGATCGCCGCTCGGTCAGTCCCAAGTCGACGGCGGCCGGAATAATCCTGAAGGACTCGATCGTGACCTCATCACAGCTACATTCTCCGTTGACCATCACGACGCCGGTCAAACAACCTGCGAACGGGCCGCGAAGCGCTCTCTTCGACGACCACGTCGCGTCCGCACACGTTCCCGGGAGTCTCCACCTCGCGCCCGACAGTACGATTCAACGGCTCGTGGAGCGCCAGGGGTATGTTACGTTGATCCGACAGCTTGCCGAAGACCTTGCGCACCGGGATCGCGAGCTAGTGAGCTTCCGGCGGAGAGCGGAGGAGCGCGAACGAACGTTGAAGCGGATGCTGGTCGAGGTCGAGGTGTCGAATGCGGATATCGAGAAGCGGCTGGCAAACTGCGCGATCCAGAGGGACTCCTCGCGTGATCCTATGAGGAATGATGGGGATGAGACGAGTTATACAGAGAGCATAGATGAAATGATGCATCAGGCCTTGGGCGAGGAAGATGCGTTCAGCATCGCCGACGACGCGAGCGGGTTGAATATCTACATGGATGATGACGGCATGAAGGAGGACACGGTTACGCCGAGGTCGACGCTCCGTGTGCCACCTGCTGCTGCTGCTTCTTCTGCAAAGATCGAGAGGGACACGGATTCAGTGTCGTTGAACTCGAATGCGTCCAGAAAAAGCTCGACGAGAGGGTGGAAGGGGTGGATTGTGGGGCAAGGAGCTGCTAATGGTCGCGACGAGGACACCAAGAGAGCTCGAAAAATGTCCGTTGCCGGTGGTACGGTGAAGAGAACATCGATATCGCCAGAAACCTCTAACCTACCACCGGGAGAGGCCAGCCCAATTCCCCGTTCGAGCTCTCGGGCATCTCTTGCATCCATGAGATCAACCTCCGCGAACATTAACCAGAAGTCCGGTCGGGTCATACCTGCAGCATCCATCTACACCCAGCACCATTTTGCCTCCGACCAATCGAAGGCACCGTCACAGACAGAAAGCGAAACCGCCAGTGCAGCACAAAGGAGATCATCCAACTCTGTCGCTCATTGGGCGCTTCGACTCGTTTCCCAAACACCTCCCGCCGACCAACCAGAACCTCCTACGAGCCCAACCCGGCGGCGTTCACTTAGTACCTCTGAAGGACCCATGGAAAGCTCCAAACGTAGGGGAAGCACGAGTACGGGGGACAGTCTGCAGCGGGTCAAAGCACGTAACTCCGTGGCGGCTCCCGGACGCGGCCGTGCACCGTCGACCACTTTCTTCCAAGACCTTCGGGATACGGCGGAGCGTATTGTGCCCCTTTCGCAGAGCAAGGAATCCAAGAAGCCGTCGGATGAAGCGGGGCCGGTGGAGATGGACATGATTGTCCCACACGAATCGCAACCCCCGACCCTTCTGCAAGGCTGGAATCAAGAGTATTCCCACGACTTCCTCACCGATCGCTTCGGATTCATTTACGACAAGAAGCAAAGATCGGTTTCCATTAAGGGAGCAAATTCCATCGAAGGGTCGTATACCGAGAGGAAGCAATCCGACGAGAGTGCCAAGAACAATGTCATTCCGGAGGAGCCCATGGAAACGTGCACATCGCCAGAATTGGACACGACGCTGTCGGAGTGGTCGGAGACGATTTATGGACCTTCTTCGTTTTCCGTTATCCAGCATCCACCTCTTCCTCCTTCGGCACCGAGACTGTTGACTAAGCCTGCCGATGGCAGTAAACCAGCTCACTTGACGACATCACTTGTGGAACGACTCTCTCGTCCGAGTGCTGCCATCTCGTCACCCACAACAGCGACCAATGCCGTTTCAGAGGCCTCGTTGGCTATCCGACCACAGATCACACCCGTAGGCACGTCAACAGCGGAAGAATCCACGGTTCGTTTGCTTCTCGGGCAACTATCGGACCTTCACGATTCCCTGCAGCATGACCGGTCCCTCAAATGGAACGAGTTTCTCCGTAAAGTCCGTACGGAACGCCGAAAAGGCGACGACGAGGAGAATGGGATGCCGGAGACACAGATGGCAGACGGGGAACTTATCGGCGTGGCGACGCTGGGAACCGAGGGCCGTGGAGGAAAGCAAAGATGGAAGGAATTCAGTAACCTTGTCCTGGGCGGCATTCCGGTTGCATTCCGGTGGAAAATCTGGACCGAGTGCTCGGGCGCCACAGCAATGAAGGTTCCGGGTTACTATGATGATCTGCTTCAGAATGGCCACGACGATCCAATTGTGATCAGCCAGATCGCTATGGATATCAATCGCACGCTGACGGACAATATTTTCTTCCGCAAGGGCCCGGGCGTGTCCAAGCTGAAGCAGATCTTGCTAGCATACAGTCGCCGGAACCCGGAAGTTGGGTACTGCCAGGGGATGAATATGATCGCCGCCAGTCTGTTACTCATCATGCCGAGTGAGGAGGATGCATTCTGGGTGCTGTGCTCGATTGTTGAGAGAATTCTGCCAAAAACTTACTTTGAGCCGAATCTCTTGGCTTCGAGGGCAGATCAAGAGGTATGGCCCTTCCTAACTGTGCAAATTGTCGTGTGCTGAACTGATCGTTTGGTAGGTGCTGAAACACTTTGTCGCCACCATCCTCCCATCACTTCATACCCACCTCTTGGACCTCGGTGTCGAGCTCGAGGCATTGACATTCCAATGGTTCCTGAGCATCTTCACGGATACCCTCGCGGCGGAGGCATTATTCCGCGTCTGGGATGTGATACTTTGTGTTGCCGGCTCGGTCTTCCTCTTCCAGGTGGCGATTGCACTACTGCGACTGAACGAGAAGGCGCTATTGCGTTGCGAGAGTGCCGCCGAAGTGTACAGCTACCTTAATGGCGGGATGATACATCAAGGGATCAGTATCGATGGGCTCATCAGGGAGTCCGACGGCCTCAAGAATCTCATTCGCAAGCCTGAGGTGGATAAACGACGCGAGATGGCGGTGAAGAAGGAACTGGGCGGTGAAACTATGGAGACCGAGAGGAGCAACTCGACTGTTACCGAGAGCGATGTCGGCCCGCTCGATGTCGATGGTGCCGGTAAAAGGCCACTCGCTGCGATTGCCGACGAGGGCGAATCCCCGGGAGTGGCTGCTTCCACTTCTAGGGAGGCGGATGGTGTGTCATAGATGGCACTGCACTGGGGGAACTGGCATGGGAATCAGGATGGGAATCGGATTGGGATACATAAGAATATTGATGCTGGGGCGCGATAATAAGACTTGGGGCGTTTGCGGATTCATTTTTTCTTTCTTGTTTGGGCTGCTATCTACCTCTTTGTTGCTAGGTACTTCTGTTTTATTGCGGCGGCGGGGATTTGTTTTTAGTTTTAGTTTTGGATCAGCGAGCGGGCGAGCGTGCGTTGGTTTGCATCATTAGGTACATGGTACATTGTATTGCTTAGCGGGGGATGTGGGGGGGGTTTTTTGTTGTGCATGTATGATATCTAGAGTTTTACATCGGTTTTCACATGGGCTTTCGTTTCTTCACTTGCAGTGCACACCAGCTGAGCAGCCTGAGCTGAGTAAGGCATGCTAGCGTGCTAGCGAGCTAGAGTAGGGTGGAAGTGGCGTGGTGTGGCGTGGGGTGTCGGGCGTGGGCGTGGGGCGCGGGCCTGACTTATCAGCGATTCAGCGGATGTTGCTCCCGGCCAAAGGGCTGGGCGAAGGGCAGGACACGAAGGACACGACGAAAGAGCCGGACAAGACCCACGTTAAGCCGTGGGGGTGGTTTACGGTAACTTCTATGTGCTCAAGACTCAAGAGAATCTTCACGATAACTACAGGAAGGGTATTTCGCTGACGAACTACGACAAGTATCCGAAGAAAGGCAGCACCGATGGGGGTGGAGATGGTGGATCGATTGAGTTTGAGTTTCGACCTCATGCACGCGCCACAACCACACAATTCACAGTTGGCAAAGGCGAAGTCAGTACCGTACTCTACATCCAAAGAGAGGGGGAAGCATGTTCATAAGGAAAGAAGACCTCGGAAATCGGCAGGCAGGCAGTTGCAGTTGCCTTCCCCTCCCCAGTGCCCACCCCCTCCCAGTCTCAGTCCAGGGGCCCAGCCAGCCAGCCAGCCAGCCGGAGGTACAGCCGCGACCTAGCCGCAGTTTTTTTAAAAAAAGTCCGGGGCCGTCCGGCGTCCACTCTCCACTCTGCGCTGCGCGGTGGATCTCGTGCATGCGCTGCTGCTTTTGTGAGGGCTTGCATCCCACAAGCTCCAACGCCTGACCTGACACCCGTAAGGTGGAGTAGAGTAAGCGGGCAGGGCGCGATTGAGGGGAGGGGGAAGGGGTGAATGAGGAATACATGAGAGGAAACAGGAAACAGGCAGAAAACGGAGGGGATTGGAGAGTGGTGACTGGTGACTCTGAGAATCGGATGGAAGGTGCCTAAGGTAAGGAAAGGACAGATGTTTCGCTGGCTGGCTGGACGACGGCACAAAGACTACCTGCGGTGTCTACAGTACGGACCAGTACGGGCTGGTAAGGACTAGCACGCGATGAGAAGATGAGTAGATGGTGACAAACAAGACGACATGGTGCTGAGAAGGGGATGATGATGACGAAGAAGGGGAGGAAGGGGAGAAGGGGGAAAAGAGAAAGACGAAGAAGTAGAATAGTGAGAATCGCATTCATGCTTCAAAATCAACAAGCTGATTAACTTCTGACTTTAACTGTATCTATCAGCATTGTAAGTTCCTTACATACTCCCTTACTACATAGTCGCCTTGGCTCTCCATCCTCCGTCCTCCATCGACCACTCACATTCCCACTGCCCAGCACTCCCCTCCCACCCCTGCCTCCAATCCAAACCCAACATTCCACTCGCGCTGCTTAGCAACCCACAAAGTCGCCCGTTCACTCACCAAATTCCTGGCTGTTTCCCCGTCTCAAGTCGCATCCGTCAACTCCTCCGCTTTCGCGCACTACATACCAACCCAAGAACAGAAGAGTCAACTCTCAAGACCTGAACCCACATGCTCTAAGAAAAGATACCTGCCCCATCCGAGAATACACCGACCACCACCTGTGCACCGCCCACTGCCGCTACCTCCTCCCATCACCCAAACCACCCATTGCCGCTACCTCCCATCCGAACTCCCGCCCGCGACGAGGTCGACGCATCAAACGCAAAGGCCGACACTCCAACACACATACCTATACTCACAGCTCGTAGCTCGACAGTCAGACACACAATTCTCCCTTCACCACTCTTTCCTCGTTCTTTCTATCGCTCCCTACACCTACATAATCCCACGTTCCCTGAGATACCTACCGGTTGCCTCATCTACCTAGCCGATCGGTATACTTGACAACCCAACCCACACTGCATCGCCAAAGCCAGTACCCCCCGTACTTTTGTGTCGCAGTAACGGCCAGCACAAGCACAAGCACCTTCCACGCTTGCCTGTCCACTTGCAGTCAAGAAGAAAAAAAAAAGATCATTCTCCTTTCACCTTGTACTACTCGCATCAAGCCTCGCAGCCAGCTCTCGTCTTCTGGCCCGCGTTCAATTCGCTTCCGCACGACGACAACGACGATATATCGATAAACTGGCGACCACACCAGCTCCGCGCTGCCACTCTCCCTCCCTAATGACACAACTCTTTGGCGGATCCTCGTCGCCGTCATCGACGAGCTCGCACGATCGGAAGGCCACGCTCACGACACCACCGTCGTCGTCGAAAGGACACATGCACTTTGGCGGGGGGGCGGGCGGCGGAGGAGGAGGAGGAAGTGGTGGTGGTGGTGCTGGTGGCGGAGGATCGACATCGGCTGCGGCACACGTCGGCTCGAAGCTAAGGAACTTCTTTCGGATAAATTCGTCGAGCCATTCGGGGAACAATGAGATGTCTGGATCGGGCCATGGCCACGGCATGAGTGGTGGGAGTGGTGGGAGTGGTGGAAGTGGAGGAGGAGGGTTACGACCGAAATCAAGATTTCTTCGTGGAAGGTCGACAAGCTCCGCCAGTCAACTGGATCATCCGACCGATATCTCGCCCACGGCAAATGCGAATCCATATTTTGCGCACCAGGGCCAGCCGGCACTGCGACATCACAACCACGACTCCGCTCCAAGTTCGCCACCGGACACGCCGTCGTCGGCGGAGAAAGCGGCGGCGGCGGCGGCGGCGAATGGAGCGGATAAGACGACGGATAGTGGAAAGGCGGAATTGGCAAGGAAGCTCAGGAGGGTGGCGTCCGCGCCGAATGCTCAGGGGATGTTTACCAATGGTCAAAATCCGGACGAGGAGGTCCCGGAGGTCCCGCCGATTGGAGTCATACCTAGCGGCTCGAATAACAATAGCACCGGGAATCTGCTGGTGCCTGGCGATCCGGCGGTAGATCGGTTACGAGGGCAGGCTTTTAGGAGGACTTATTCCAGCAATTCAATCAAAGTCAGGGATGTGGAGGTCGGTCCTGGGAGCTTCGATAAGATTAAACTGCTGGGCAAGGGAGACGTGGGCAAGGTGTATTTGGTGCGGGAAAAGAAGAGTAGTCGGTTATATGCGATGAAAGGTGGGAGATTCTTCCCCCCTCTGGATCATGTGTGCACGAGTACTGACTGTCAGTGTAGTTCTGAGTAAGAAGGAGATGATCAAGCGCAACAAAATCAAAAGAGCTCTGGCGGAACAGGAGATTCTGGCTACCAGCAATCATCCGTTCATCGTCACATTGTACCACTCGTTCCAGTCGGAGGACCACTTGTACCTGTGTATGGAGTATTGCAGCGGAGGAGAGTTCTTTAGAGGTAGCATACCCCCCATAAGCTTAGCACCCGGCATCAATTAACAATGTGTGCAGCACTACAAACTCGACCAGGCAGATGCATTCTGGAGGACGATGCTCGCTTCTATGCCGCCGAAGTTACTGCTGCGTTGGAGTACCTCCATCTGATGGGTTTCATCTACCGCGACCTCAAGCCGGAAAACATCCTGCTTCACCAATCGGGACACATCATGTTGTCGGACTTTGATTTGTCGAAACAGTCCGATCCCGGAGGAGTGCCGACCATGATTGTCTCACGCTCTGGTGCGTCGCAATCCTCGCTGCCGATGGTGGACACCAAATCCTGTATCGCCAACTTCCGCACCAACTCCTTCGTGGGAACCGAGGAGTACATAGCGCCGGAGGTGATCAAAGGATGTGGCCACACTAGTGCTGTGGATTGGTGGACGCTTGGTATTCTGGTGTATGAGATGCTCTTTGGAACCACGCCGTTCAAGGGCAAGAACAGGAATGCTACATTCGCCAACATTCTCCGCGACGACGTTAGCTTTCCGGAGCATGCGGGGGTACCTACAATATCGAAGTCAGTCTGCACCTTCGTTTCCATCTTGTAGACTTCGTTGACTGACGAGAATAGTAACTGCAAATCCCTCATCCGCAAACTGCTAGTCAAGGACGAGAACCGCCGACTCGGATCCAGAGCGGGTGCGAGTGATGTCAAGGGACATCCGTTCTTTAGATCCACGCAATGGGCGCTACTCAGACACATGAAACCGCCGATGATCCCGAATGCCGGCCGCGAGGTCGATGCCGTCAACTTCCGCCCGGTCAAGGAGAGCGAGAGCGTCGATATCGGCGCGGCCAGAGTACAGACTCCCAGCACGCTGCGCGCAGATATGGAGACACCCGGCGAGAAGGAGGTCGATCCGTTCGAGGAGTTTAACTCTGGTGTGTATTATGTTTTCCATCTCTCCGCCACGATAAATACTGACATGTACCCAATAGTCACCCTCCACCACGATGGAGAACACGATGCTGGCAACCATGCGCACATGAGAAGCAGCGATGAAGATAATGCGAAACCACCGAAAGGAAGCATGAGAAGACGTTAGTTGCGTACTTATTGATTCGTGGTTTGCGTATTATTCTTATTTTTTATTTTTTATTTTTTTTGTGTAGTCCCCCCCCCCCCCCTCTCTCTCTCCTTTTTTCTCTTTTTTGGGTGCGGGACGGAGCGGATATCATCTCTTACGGCCATATTCTGAATTGATTTTTACGTGGAGGACGGGGACGAGGCGTGGGAAGTGGGAAGCGGGATGTGGGATGTTGCGGATCGATTGCAACGGAATGCAGATGGAAATGGGATGCGATGATTCGTTGAATGGTGGGAATTGTGGGGACGGTGGGAACAGTGAAACAGTGGGAATGGAGGGGATCGCACTTGGGCGGGGGTGGATATGTCAATTATCGTATGGAGTTTAGATACCTAAGTAAGTACTTCTATGTGGCTTACGATTGTGATGGTGGTGATGGTGGTGAGGTCGTGACAGCACGGGACGGTACGGTGGCGATACCTTGCACACCACACACAGCAGAGTACCATACAAGTACCGACAGAGACAGACAGAGACAGAAAACAATACATTTGACGCCCGCTGGTAAAGTAAAGCAAATCAAAGTAGGTAGTATACAGAACAGAACAGCGCCGTGTATAAACATGAAATGTGAAATATGAAAGGAAAGCAACACTCCCACCTCGTCCGATATGCGATCATATCCTCTTCCTCCATACTGTTGCGCTCGGGGTATACAGGGTACATGGGGTCGCTTTCGGTGCAGTCGGGGATGTCGAGGATGATGGTGATGATGGTAGGCTGTTGGTAGGCTGGTGGATCGGTGCGACGAGAATACTGGAATACCATACATGAGCGTGATATGCATCGGCGAGAGTCGAGAGTCGAGATCAATTCTCCCGCCACTTATGCCCGCAAGTAACACACTGCGCACACTGCGATCAGCCCTATGCAATTCCCCTCGAGTGATGAGTATTTGACTCACCTTATAAAACGTAGTCATAGGCTCATCGGCGCTTCTGATCTGGACCATATAGAAGTACGCCCTCATGCCGTTTTCACAGTTCGCATCAGGACATTGCGCGTCAGTCTGGTCGACATTGTCCCACGCCCCGTCGCCGCCCATCACGTCGTCGACTTCCTTGCGCTTCATCGGCTTGCGCTCGTAGTACTTGCGTGTCAGAAGGAATTGGTACGGGCACGTCCGGCATTCGAGTCGGTTGCTGGCGCTCGAGGGGCAGCGGGATACGGTCAAAGTGTTGGAGCATTGCGGGCAGAAGAGGAGCATTGTGTGGTTGTTGGGAGGGGGTGCGGGCGAGGGGGGGGAGGAGGGGCGCAGGTGGAGGACGTGGAGAGGTGGGTTGGTGGTGGTGGTGCGCGCAAGTGGGTGATGGTGGTGAGGGAGCGTGGTAGCGGTGGTGATGGGACGTGGAGAGGTGGTGGTCGTGGTGAGGGAGCGTGGTGGTGGAGGACGTGGAGGGGTGGTCGTAGATGGGTGAGGTTTACGGCCGGTGGTGGGGTGGAAGGTATGGTCGTTTTTTTCGAGCCGCGTGAGTTCGTGTGTGACTAACTATAGTAACAGCTAACAACTCTAGAGTCTAAACACGCGACACGTGACCGTAGAGGTTCACGTCGCGTCACTCGCTCACTGCAGCCCAGATCGGAGAAAAATTGACACAGTTCGGTAGCGAAAGTAAAAGAGGACTTGGAAAGTTTAGAGTAGGATCTCTAATTATCACACACAGAAATCAAGATTCAAGAAACAAAGAAGCTTGGAAAATGGAAGAATTGCACCGAACACTTTGCAACATGAGAGACTAGCAATAGATATTCACGACCACACCGCTCATCGATCCTCACGGTACGGTACACTATCTGTCCCCACGCAGCTCCCTTCCGCTGGCTCGAAGCATATAGTCGCCGCCGACGACCGCCGCCCCCTCTCGTCGCGCACGATTTTCGCCATTCGACGAAATCGAGGCGGACTAAACCGATGGTTGGGTTGTTCTAACTGTTAGCTTCCTTGGAATCAAGCCCTTGGTTGGGTGAGATACGTTTGAGTCTTGGGCACGAGCGATTCCAGTCCGCTGCTACTTTCCGAGGGGCACTTAGAAAGCGTGAGGAACGTTGAAGCTTGAGTTTGAATGTGGTAACTGCTCCGCTCAGAGTGTCGGTCGAAAACTAAACCTCTGTTGGTTACATCAAGTTACTTCCTCTCGTCGTACATATCCACCGGGGAAGGCATTACCCCCTCATCTCAGCGAACTACCCGCCGGCTCCTTCCTTCCCTCCTTCCTTCCGAACGCCCAGCACCCATTCGCCTATAGCGGCTTGTGCACGGGACTGCGGGTAGCCATTCGAGAGTCCGCGAGAACAGAGAACCGAGATTCTGGAATGGATATCCACAATCCCGTACACAAGCCACCACAGGCGAATTGGTGATGGGTGCATACTGCCTAGGTTCTGGGAACTGCTCCCGAGAGGGGTGGGGGGAGGGGGGTATGGCGCTGGGATGGGTTCGGGCCTTTCGTTACAGTCACAGTCCCCACCCGTCGTCGTCGGAGAAGGACATATTGAGAGGTATTTACATAGGACGCTCGGTGACGCTGGCCGCTCGCGTCTGCTGGAGCCAGGTCGGCCACAGATATACGTACCTCGTCCTGCTCGTCTCCTGCCGAGACTCTCGATTCTCACCTGGACCGTCCTTTCAATCTCAATATCTGAAGGGGAGAACGCGAACAGGACATCGCGCACTCCAATGGACTTCTTTTTGTGGTCAGTTGCGGAGGTTGGGCGTCGAAACGCTACCTAGTGGTGGAGCTTGAAGGGGATTGTAGTATGATAGCGAAAGGACCTAGCCCCAACTGTAGGACACGACCGCCTGCAACTTATGTATTCGCGGGGCCAAAATGTCTGTCCCAACCCCACTCATGGGCAATCCATGACTCGACCGCTGCTCGACCAATAGACAGCGGCTATGCAAGCCACCGGTTGTAGCAGGGTGTGGGGATGACTTCTCGGCGCCGCGAGGAGAGTGGTCACTGGTGCCGAGCCTCGCTTGCGTCTGCATCCCTGTTCCGGATGTGAAGCAGCGTGCTGGATATTTATGTATCACTCGGCAGGTCGTTCTTTATGGGCACATCCGTGTTCTTGACATCTGTGATAGCTTGACAAAACCATTCGATGCTTGCTGTACAGCTCTGGGGATATGGGATCCGGCATGCATACACCACCGTCACACCCCAGAGTAGACAGTCTACCCTTCAAATGGACAGGCCGTCGTTACAGACATCAATAAGACTACATGCATGCCATATGTGTTCCGTCATCCAGTAAAGATGAAACCCCCCAATACAATCATACCCTTGAAGTGAAAATCACTGGCTCTCCCAGTTTACCCCCATAAATTTCTTCCAAAAACTGATGGCGCTGAACCGCGCCCCTGAAGGTGGCCAACCTCTCATCGCCCTTCGCAAACGCCTCATAAAGGCGCGCGACATTTGCCGCCGGCCCGACGTTTCCGCCATCATCCACCTTCACATCCTGAATCTTCCCATCGGCATCCTTGATCCTGACCCTGATATTGTTCGACATGTTCAAGAACACCGACGAGCTCGTGATCTCAACCTCTCCCTTTGTTCCGTAGATGTACCATCTCAACGCCGGCTCGGACGGGTCGAATTGGGGCCCCCCGCGGAGCGAGAATGAGAATGTTACGCCGGAAGTCAGGAAGCCGTGCAGGTTGATGTGATCAGCGGTGTTTTTGGGCGCGGCGGCGGAAATCACCTCGCGCGTTTTCCCGTCGACAATGGTGATGGTCTTGAGCTGGTTGGCGAGGAGTGATTGGAATGAAGTGATTTCGCCGAGTGAGGTTTGAACAAGGTCGACCACTGCTACGGTGAGCACCACTGTATGCGATCCAAGAGAAAAAGAGGAGACGGCTTACAGTGTCCGAAGTGGATAGACACGATGCTGCCGCCAACCTTGGAATCCAAGAAATACGCCATTCCCTGCGTCTCCACTGGCGCCATTTGCGACGCGGCCGCCACAACAGTAGAGCTGAGAACACCTCCGATCCTGCCGCTCTCCACGATGCCACGGATAGTATCCACCAGGGGCTCCACCCTTCCCTGGAGGCCCACAACCGTCTTCACGCCCTTCTTCTCGGCCAGTGCGGCCAGCTCCTCCGCCTCATCGATATTCCTCGCCAGCGGCCACTCGACATACGCCATCTTCCCGGCCTCGAGCGCGGGCTTGACAAGATCGTAGTGGGTAGCGACATTGACCGAGACGACGACGAAGTCGACGTCGGGGTCTGTGGCGAGCGCCGCCGGACTACCGTACACTTTTGTTTTGGCGGGGAGCTTGTACGCGGCCACGACGGCCTCGGCCGCTGCAATGCTCGAGTTGCAGATCGCTACTAGCTCGTACTTTTTCTGCCCCGCGCCCGACAGCAGGTACGGTAGGTGCGTGGAGTTGGCCCACGCATGGGGGTTGGAGCCTGAGGCGCCCATCAACCCGACGCGGATACGGGGTGCTGCCATGTTGACTAGTAAGCGATACTGAGGTGATTGCGGTTGGTGTTGGGATGGTCGCGGTTGATTTGCGATGACTTTGAGAGATATGAAACTGTGGGCCTGGTTTTGTTCTTCCTGGAGAAGAAGCAACTTTATATTGCTTAGTTCTTCAGCTCGGGGTGGGGTGAGCACCGGCCAATGGAGTTCCGGTCCGGCAAAGCTTCGAAAATTTCAAGCTCCGGCTTAGAAATGGTCAAGCGCCGGCTTAGAAATGTTTGAGGATCGGCAGAGCGGCGGCAGATGGCGTAATCGGTTGATCGTTCAAGCGAAACTAACTACCGGTAGCCCGGGTTCCGGCATCTCGTCGCATCCGCTTGGGAGGTTAGTTAGTTAGCCCTCATGCATGCATCCAACACGCCCAAATCCATGCATAGTTTTCTGCTCGTCGAATCTCAATAACAAGACCAAGGTACCAGTATCATCATCTGCCGAACCCGTGGGCTCCTGGGTTTCGTCGAACGTCATCGCTCGCCCGCCTCGCGTATGCAGCTCCGCAGGGCTAACATCGCCGCCCTGAAGGACTTGGCACCGACGTGAGTACTCTACCTATCAAGGTAGAAAAGTGTCTGCGGTCGTTACTCGAGACATGCTCGAAGGGCTCTTGTTGATATGCTATGAAGGTGGGCTAGAGAAACCGACCTATCAGGAGCTGATGCAATTGGTGGGAGACGACGGCCGGGGCGCAATATATCCGGTTTCGCAAGTTGTGTGTGATTAACGCCCTCCCCGCGCGGTGAGTCCAGTCCCTGCAAGTGGATTCAGCGGACAGCGTCTAGTTTACTAGAGCAGTGAGAGTCCCGCGACGGGTATGGACAACTGATGAACTGATTCAATTAGGTGAAAAGCAACGGAAGAAAAGGAGGCCTATCGTCTATGAACCTTTTGAGGATATCTGTGGTGGTTGATAATAGGTGCGTCTGATGTATTGAACAAGAGACTGACCGACTATGTAGACGAACATAAAAGCAGTATCAGAGGACATTTCAACGTTGAGAGACGGCATCAGGTCTACCCGCCTTCACATCTTGGTCTCACCATAGTTACCGCCGCTCGCCGCCCGCCGCTTACTGCAACACGGAGGCGCCCCCGCCCCGAATCCCACACTAGGGAGCTCAGTTTGACTCAAGAGAGGGACGGCGATGGCTACATGGACGGTCTATTGCACGCCGTCCCGTCTCGGGCCGAACTGGACGGTCTGCCGAAGGCTGGCGCTGCGAGTTGAGCGTGGGTGCTCGCCCTCTGATCCGGCCGTCTCGGCTTAGAACAGAATAGGCAGCATAAATAAGCATTGCACTTAACGAGTCGGATATGTTCAAGCAAGTACGTTACGATGGTAAATCTCTGGATTCGAAATAGCAGAGTCCACGAATGTACGGTAGTAGGCAAGACTTCGGGACTTTGGTTCTCATGTTCTACAGTCTACAGGGCTGCATCGCCACTACCAGAACGGCAACCCATCCCAACCCGACAGCTACACCTCATGTAACAACCACTCCCACTGGTTACCCCTTAAATTCAACCTCATCCATCACTTGGATCGTAACTTTAGACTTAGAGTTCCAAAATGGCCACGCGACTCCACTCAACCCGGAAAATCTCCAAAAGTAGGCCAGAATATGTCCAAAGAATTTGCGGAGAGAGTTGTTCTCTTGGTTCGTGGCTACAATCTAGTGAATTTTGAAAGTTTTTCACGCTTGTGATTGAGGTTTTAAACGAGAAGAGGCGCGAGAGATCTTCGCCATCTGGCAAGTCGCAATTTCAGATACAAACTTGCCCCATTCAGCACAAAAATCGTCACCTAAATAATGAATACTCTGGGGGCAAAGAGATGATACATTAAAAGCCCTTGACGGTCATCAACTTTCCAAAAGACAAAGCACCGATGAATAAATGCTGCCGCACGGTATATCACTCGCTGAAACCTGGCAGACAGATAAATCACACCTCTGATGTCTCAAAACAAGTCCTGGAAGCCCTGATTTCACCAATCTTTCTCTACAGCACTACTCTATCGCATTCCAAACGTCACATCGCCAGCTGCCCTGTCGTGGAAGGCTATAGAAGCGGTCCAAGTGTCCAAATTCTTCTCGAGGAGACGACATTTTTATTCTTCCATATTTACCTCTGAGGGTTGCTTATGATCTTCAGTATTGCTACGAAAGGTAACCCAGAATAAATCCTATTTTTAAAAATGTTACGATGGCATAGACCGCCGGACAAAAATTAGCCTCGTTTTGAGATGACGAAAAATGTCGACATTTGCGTCCAAAACCCAATGATCGCGTAAGGTCTGGGGGGCGCCGCTGCGTCACATCAATTTCTAGAGTGGCTACATCATATTTTATGAGTTCTAGGGGTTGAGGGCAAGGGTCATGTGGTGGTGGGCCAGTATGGTCGTGGAAAGTTAATTTGCGCTTCTGGGTGGAAAGCTAGCCTTAAACCATCATTAGAACTACCATAATATGATTGAAACCCTTTATTCGTATCTAAAGAAAAACTCTATCTAGTCACAGCCCTACTCCGGGGTGTTGGTGGTGCGACTGGGTGGGTGGAGGAGTGGCCATTTCTGAGGCGATTTTGGAACTCCAGCGCGTTACGATCCATAGGATAGCACTGATGATAACGGGGGGTTCTTTGCCGCCACCAGCAGCTGCAAGAAGTCGAGAGTAATAGGAACGAGGTTGAACTTCACTGGAAGATTCTTTCGCAACTCTGTTGGAATACCTACATATATGAGTAGTGGCACCGCCGCCGAGGAATTACACCGTGGGAATCCGCGGTTACGCTTAAGGTGCAAATTTCACAGGGTAGTACCTACCTATGTCGACGGGCTGCGTGTACAGCTCCTCTAAACTCGATAGGGAGCGGAAAAGCCTCAAAACAGGCTGTGGACATTGGAGACGATCCTCGGTCAAAGTGTGATACCTGGGCTGGTGTCAAGTGGGCGGCAAAAATCCGGGATATCGCGGAGATCGTGCGGAATCTACACATGCATAAGGTATCACTCCTAGTGTTGTACCAGTGAAGATGGTAATGGCCCTTGGTGGATCGCCGTGGCGGCCGTACGTGTTTTGGAAGCCAAAAGATCTGAGTATCTCCTACGTATGAATATCGTGCCTTGGATCCAACGAGCATATATATAGAGGGCTCGAAGCGATTTACCTAGGTATTGTAGCGCTGCGCATTGGCACTTGAGTCGCTGATCGGACGACATGGTACAAATAGTATCCGCTTTGATTGATTGTCTCTACACGGTGAATCCGTGGAACGTGTGCAAGATTTGATACATAGGTGCCACCGATACCATGCATGATGTGCGCTTACAGCCGCACATCACGAACCCCGTGATCGCCTATGAACACCCTCTGCCCACCGGACCACGAGCGTCAACCGGCCACTACTTCCACGATGGACCCTCTTTCGATTGCCCCATCGGTAGCATGGTTGTTGCAGGTCGGAGCCAAGGTCATCGGCTTTCTTTCCACCGCGATCGACGCCCCCAGCACTGCCCGCAACACTCTCGTAGAAGTACAAGCACTCCACGGGATATTTCGCTAGCTGGACGACTTCATCGTAATTTTCGCCCAACAGAGCATAGCTCGCAAATCCAGGATTGCAATCGACGACCTGGTTGTCATCCTGACGGGCTGCGTGTGTAAATTCTCTGAGCTAGATAGGGACCTCAAAGGCGTCAAGACGGACTACGCCTACAGCACCAAATATCAGTTTCGGCCTTGGGACAGCGTCAAGTGGGCAGCCAAAGAACAGGATATCGCCAAAATACTGCGGAACCTACAGATGCATAAGACTTCGCTGAATCTATTGCTGTCGGTTTATGCATGGTTAGTCTAGGGTCCCGTCGATGATACTTCCCCGGGGCTCCACCCAGCCCTTCCCGAAGCCTGATCTCTTTCGCACACGGCCAACACGTGCGTACGAATAGTTGCTGATACAGAGCTTATTACCTAGTGCATCAACTCAGCAACTGCAACCCGACATGAAAGAACTGAAGCAGTTCATGGTGACAGTCAGGGAGGCGGTCCCGGACCTTGTCGAGCGTATAGCAGCAGCAACTCCTCTTGAGCGTAACGACGATGCATTGCTAGGCCTTTCGGCAGCATCTGGACACGGCTTTTGCAGAGTTCTGGCTGAGACTCGGGTATAAAAGAAAGCGGCTATGGACTCATCAGCTAGTTCTTTCAAGACCACCCGCACGACGGAATCCAAATAGTCTCAGCTCACCGGTCTGAGCCTGGCCCAGATATCGAATATATCCGTCCTCTATCTTCCGGTATACAGTTGCGAGCTGAATAACGGCAGTATGTATGACCAGGGGAAAACCGGCGACAGCGGGGCGCAACTACAGAGCATCACGGGTGGGTTGCTCTCCTTAGGAAGGATTAAAAAGCCATGGAAACGCCACCGCAAGATCACCACCACCACCACGGTTCGGCATCGCTTGGCCCCAGTTACAGAGCAAGTCATTACACTACACGAAGCAGCTCGCCAGGGAGATGACATCACGGTCAAGGCTCTTCTACAAACGCCAGGTGTCGACGTTGAGTCCCGGGATGGCGAAGGCTTTACGCCACTGCACATAGCGGTGTACATCGGACACGTAGCTACAGTGCAGCTACTTCTCGACCGGAATGCCGATGTCGACGCTAGGTTCGACTCCGGCTGGACACTACTTCACTTAGCAGCCCGCTACGGACATAGACCTACAGTGCAGCTACTGCTCGACCAGAATGCCGACATTGAAGTCAAGTAAAACCGGCATGCTACGGCATTGCACTTAGCGGCTCAGTACGGACACATAGCTACAGTGCGGCTACTGCTCGACCGGAATGCCAACATCGAGTCCACTAACGATAAAGATCGGACACCGCTTCACCTAGCAGTCGACAAAGGATCCACAGCTACAGTGCGGCTTCTGCTTGACCGCAATGCCGACATTGAAGCCAAGGGAAAACAAGGTTTTACAGCGTTGCTCTTAGCGACCAAAAGCGGACATATAGATAGAGTGCGGCTGCTGCTCGATCGGAATGCCGACGTCGAAGCCACGGACCACAACGACTGAACATCACTTCAGTCAGCAACCCGCTTCGGACACACAGCTACAATGGAGTTACTGCTCGACTGGAATGCGGACATAGAGGTGATGACCATCCGAGGATTCACCGCGTTGCACATGGCGGCTGAGGACGGAGACACAGCTAAAGTACAACTACTGCTCGACCGTAATGCCGACATCGAAGCCAAAGAAAACCGGGGTTCTACGCCGCTGAACATAGCGACTCAACAAGGACACACAGCTAC